AGGTCCCAGCCCAGACTCGCCAGGTGCTGCGCACCTAGGCCCAGGTGTGGGCACCCCAGCCGCTTGCCCATGTCAGTCCATCAGACGTCACCCCACGATGTCACCGCCTCTTTGATGCTTTTGACTGAGTTCCTGTAATTTCTCATCTGCACAGTAATTATCCTTTTGCATCCGAGAAGGCAAGACAGGCCAGCAGCAGTCCCGAAGCCTCGGCCTGGGCTCTCGCTCTTGCCACGTCTGCTCAGGCTAGCAGGGCCTGGCCTGGAAACCCGGCCTCACTGTGTGCCACCAGCACCGCCACCAAGGACAGAGCCTCGTTACATCGGCCTGAGTGGCCTCGCTCGAATGTGTCATCGAAGACCTGCCTCACAGCAAGGAGCCGCGCTGGCTCCTTGTGCAAAAAACCAAAAACAATGTTTCGAAAATTATAGTTGTCATAAATACACACTTTCATTGATCTGTAGTTATTACACATCTAAAATAGATTTTTTTTTAAGATTTATTTATTTATGCATACAAGAGCTGAGGTGCAGGCCAGAGATGCGGGGGGTGAGAGGACTCACCAGAGACAGAGTGGGGAACAGAACAGGCAGACTGATGAAATACACTGCTGAGGGGAGTAGCGGGTGACAGGAGAGGTCTGCCGTGCCATGTGGGTTGCTCCTTGGCCTGCTGGGGATCAAACCCATGCTGCAGAGGCTGCGGATTACTTCATAGTGCGGGGCTTAACCCCTTGCGCCACCAGGGAGGCCCCTTGAAATAGATTTGAAGTGTTTTTATACCTCCATGTCAGCAAGCGAAACAAAGGTCCTTATAGTTAAATCAAGAAACCCAGGCAAGGGTCTTCGCAGCCTTCTGTTGGAGAAGGTTCCAAATATGCAGCTTTGCTTTGCCACCGCCGCGTCTCCACGGAGCCATGGGTGAGGGGGTCCCGCGTGGCCGGAGCTGCCAGGTTGGATCTCCGCAGAGATCCTAAAGAACCGACATCCTGTTTATGTTTCAGGAACTGTAAGAACCAAGGAGCCTTTTCCCCAGTGCGTGGCACTGGTGTCCCTGTGCTGCCACCTGCTGTGCGGCCGCCTGGCACTAGCTGGCATCCGCGGGGCCCTGGGGCCGGCCGGGCTGCAGTTCTCTGGCTTTTCTCCTTGTTTTGTAACATGGGGGGTGGGGGTGGGGGGGGCTGAAACCAAAGACTGTTACAGGTGGTGCCCCCTGGAGGGAGTGCTGGTGAGGTTAGAGAGCCCCAGGGAAAATGCAAGCAAAGTACCACATTTTGGAATGGAGCGGCTGATAAGCTTGCCAGGATTTGGTGTTGGGATTCAGCGTTTTCAGATATTCAGCAATTCCCGGGTCAGCGATTCCGGCCCCCCCAGTGCCGACCTTCCAGAGGCTGTTGCGGCTTCTGAAGGATGTGGAGATGCCTCCAGCTGCCAACCTCAGAGAGGAAGAGTTTGGAGGCTTTGCAAGTAGCCGAGCGACTGAAACTGTTCCCGGTTTGGCTGCTGTCACAGCCTGGCAGGGAAGGCGGAGACCCGGAGCCGGGCCTCACCGAGCTGTGAGTGTGGCCGTTTGTCGGGTCCTTCAGCCGCTGCAGCTGCTCTTTTGAGTGTCGCTTGTCTGGTGCTGTGCTGGGGCATCTCGGCAGCTCTGGGAGCATCTCCTGTTGTGTCTTCTGTTGTCTTCATGAGCTGGATCCCAGCCTGTAGTCTGGCTGCCGTGTGCTCCAGGCCTTAGTGGTGGGAAGACGCCATTTTGGGAGCATTTGTGTTTAGGGTTTATAAACACTGGACAGTGTTTCGGGTGAGGTCATGGCCATTTTTGGCCTCAGTAGCTCTTTATATTTCCCTGGTTTGCTAAATAAATCCCATCGTTGTTCTCTGAGCCCGAATGGTCTTGCAATTGCACATGAATGAAGAAGTCAGACGGGGGCTGATAAACTATTTGGGCAGTGTCCTTGCTGCCCTGCGTCCATTTCTCTGCATGCAATTTGGGACGTTGTTTCCTCAAGCCTGGCTTTCCCTTGCCTTCTGGTATCCTCACGCCTCTTGCCTTTCAGTTTTCCTGTTACTACACGGTACTGTGCCCATCTATGGCCCTGAACGTGGTCAGAACCAGGTTCTGTTGGGCTCAGGCGTGCTGAGCCGTTTGAAATGAGCTGCTGTCACCGTCCTGTGGCCTGGGGAGGAAGGGTCGCTAGACAGAGGTTGGGTGTCTAGCCCCTTCTGACTTTATTTTTCAGTAAAAAAAATTGTTTTATTTAGAAAAAATGTATAATCGCACCATCTAAAGTGTACCATTCAGTGGTTTCCCGCATACCCTCCAGGCTGTTCCGCCATCGCTGCTCTGGCTCCCGGCCATTCCCAGCCCCCGGGACTGCGTCTCCACGCATGGCGTGTCTCCTGCTTCCACCCTTGTGCTGAGCCGCCCTCCTGTGTGGCTGGGCCTGCACTCCGCCTGCGGCTGTGAGTGTCACCGCTGCGCTGTGGGGCTTGTGCTGCCTGGTGTGCACATTCGTGGTGCGCGTGGGTGTGCACTGGGGGCGGAGCTTCAGGGTCTGACTGTTGCCGCGCCCACCATGCCTGCCACTCCGCGTGCCCGCAGAGCTCGAGGGGCTGGTGCAGGTCCTCATTGCACCTGGGTACACCACGCTGGCAGCCTCCTCATGCTGGGAGCAGCATGTGAGGGCAGCTCTGTGACATTGTTGTCAAGTGAACCACTTTGGAAAGACAGTCGGGCGGCACTGAGTACAGGTCAGCACGCCACTGGGCGCTGAGTTCTGAGAGAGCGTGGCTGTGCCACGTCATGTGTCTGCCCCTCTCCAGACGACACGCTCCACTTTGCCGTGCAGGCCTGGCCGGCAATGGCTCCTCGCCGCCGCCCGTCATGCACTTGGCAGTGGGTTTGTGCCGTGACTTCACCAGGTGGCAGGAATTTGGGGACCACTGGTGTGACCCAGTGCCCTTCTGTGGCACACAACTCGTGGCGCGCTATACCCGGAACCTGTGGGGCGCCAAGCATTTTCATTGGCCCATGGGGAACGCCCATTCCAGCTGAAGAGTGGGCTCTCATCCCCGCGCCCAGTCCCTGCAGCCAGCGGCCCACTCTCTGCCTCTGTGGCGTCACCCGTCCTGCGTGTTTGGTGTAAATAGGAGCCACGTGGGCGGCCGCCTGCCTCGCACCCTCCCCTTACCGCCGCCTCCAGGCATCTGTGCTGGGCCTGGCAGTGCATCCTTCCTTCCTTCCTACCGCCACGGACTCCGCCGGCGCGCAGCTCGGCCACGCGTCGTCACCAGTGGACGTCCGCCGCGTGGGCTTTGCTTGCTGCCGCGTCTCGCCCGCTGCCAGAGAGCTGCTGTGAGTGTAAGCGCTGCCTGTCGGGACGCCTGTGTGCAGCCCGCGGAGCGAGCGCCTGGGGTGGACCGCCGGCTCCGTGGTCCTTCCACGCCTCACGTTCTGAGCAGTTGCCAGTTTCTGTAGCGTCTGCACGTTCCGTGTTGCCACCAGCAATACGTGAGGCGCGGCTTCGCCACGCCCTCGCCAGCGCTGGCTGTTTGGCCTGTTATCTTCCTGGATTCCTGCCGTCCTTGAGGTGTTAGCGGCTCTTTGTGGTTTTGGTGTTTCCCTTATGACTAATGGCGTGAGCGTCCGCTCATGTGCTGGTTGACGCTCCCTATTTATATCTTCCTGGGGGGAGTGTTTACTCAGATCCTTTGCCCATCTTTAATTGTCTTGTTTCTCGTTGTTGTCGAGTTTCCGCAGTTCTTCAGCTACTCTGTGGCTACCAGACCTTGATGGTATGTGTGATCTGTAGCTATTTCCTCCCATTTTTGTTGCCTTTTCGTATTTTCGATAATACCCTCTTATGTACAAAGTTTTAAAATTTGGTGAAGTCATTTCTTTTGTCTCTTGTGCTTTTGGAGTCATAGCTAAGAATCCTTTGTTGAATTCGATGTTTAAAGCATGAATCCTGTTTTCTTCTAAGAGTTTTGTGGTTTTAGCGCGTTCGTTTCAGTGGCCCATCAGCGTTTCTGCCTGTTGGTGTCTGGAGTGAGGGGCCCCAGCCCATCCCTCTGCCGCCTCTCAGAGGTGGTTTCTTTCCCGCTGGGTGGTCTTGGCATGCTTGTCAAAAGTCGCGTGGCCGTTGCTGGGGTGCGCATCCTGGGGTGTGGGTCCTGCCTCTTTGGCCCACGTGTCTGTGCAGGCGGTGTTCCTGTTTCGACTAGGATAGCTTTAGATTAAGTTTTGAAGTAGTAAGTTTGAGAAGTGTGAGTCTCCCAGCTTTGTTGGTATTGTTTTGTCTGCTTGGGTCCATTGAGGACTAGAATTTTCATTTTTGGAAAAGACGCGCCGCTGGAACTTTGATAGGGGTCACGCCGATTCTGTACTTTGCTTCAGGCAGTGTGTTTTCCAGAGAAACTGCACCCCTCGGGGTGCGTGTGTGCAGAGAAGATGTCCACCACAAGGTCAGCTCTCGCTTTTGGGGGCAGGCAAGACCCAAGGCTTTGGCGAGTGGAAGCGCCAGGAGAGCCAGCCCCTCGCCCCAGCACAGCCTCGTTGCCCAGTGGGTTCAGTGTGTCATTCTGATTCTGCCGACAGGGAGAGGCCCACAACTCCGTGGGGGGTGCCCAGGTGGGGTGGCACCTCCACATTTGGGGCAGGGTCAGCCTGCACCTCTTCTCAGGCCCTTAGCTGACCGGAGGAGCCCCCTAATGGGGACCATCTGCCTGGCGCGGCAGCCACCTGCAACACCCGGCCATCGGGGCCCGCCCCACCCGTGACGTGCTGGTGCCTACCTCCCGCCTCTCGGTGGTTTCCTCGCCTCTCACCCCTGCTGGATGTGCGCTCCTGGCCAGCGACCCTCCCGTGGCAGCCCTGGGCCCGCGCCACTGGCTGTATTGCTCTGTGGCTCAGATGCACGTCAGCTGCTGAGGGCGCCCTGGCATCTGAAGAGTCACTTCTCTTTCGCTGCTTTCAAAGCTGTTTTCTTTGTCTTTCAACAGTCACATTATCATCAGCATCAGCGTTGGGCTCTTCACCTTCACGCTGCTGGGGCTCCTTGTACCCCGAATGCGCAGGTTAGTGTCTTCACCAGGTGGGGGGCTGCATGCTGAGTGCTGGTGCCGCAGGCGGCCGCACCCGGCGGTTGCGCTTTCTTTACTACTTTTGCCTTTTATTGCTTCTACTGGACAGATGGAATTGGCTTTTCTTCCGTCTGCGTTGAGTGTCTGTGGGTTCACGAATCCTTTCTTCCCCCTGCTCGCTCCTGCAGCCAGGCCTTGCGGGGTCTCCGCCCCAGGTATTTCCCGTTCAGCTGCAGAGTTTCATCTTGGTTCATCTAAAACATTTCTCTTTCTTGATATTCTTGGTTTGCTGAGATGATGTTCTCATGGTTTCTTTTGCTTGTTGGATGATTCTTCATGTGTTTCTTCGCGAGCATGCCGGCAGCTGAGGTGCAGGCTGGCCAGGGAGTCGGCGTCTGGGGGGCCCTGCACGGGGTCTGCCCGCTGCCTTCCTCCGTGAGAGCCCTGCTTCCTTTCCGTGCCTGCGGATTTGGTTAGAACCTGGCTGTTCTGAGTGTGACCGTGTGGCAGACCAAGAAGGACATCCTCCCTTCCCGCGTTGCTGCTGCAGGCACAGCTATTGCTGGTGCTGCTCTTTGGAGCTGGTTTTTGTGCCGGGTGGTCACCCTGGCCCCTGCACATCTTGGTGGGCAGTGAGCGGTGCACAGAGGTCTGCTCGTGGGCCCGTGGGGGCTGGGATGTGGGTGAATGCCGCAGGCCCTGGCCAGGGCACACTCAGAGCCCCCCGCGCCTTCCCTCCCAGGGCATCTGATCCCAACGTGTCCTTGCAGCTGTAGGGTGGTCTGTTGTTCCTATGATCAGTTGTCCCGGGCATGCGTGCCTGTGACGGTCTTGAGTAATGACTGCCACCCCCGTGGCCCTGCGGCTGGGACAGTGTGAGGTCCCTGACACACCAGCCAGCCCTGGGGGCAGTGCTAGGGAGCCACGGAGGGGCCAGGGCCGGGGCCAGGGCAGCCACAGGTGTTGCTAGGGGTGTAGATGACGCTTGCGCTGCTTGCTCTGGAGAGAAGGCGGCCATGTGCACTCTGGGCTCAGGGCAGGCCAGCGCTGGACAGATGCTTTCTGTAAAGGGCAAAACAGTGAGTGTTTTGGCTTTGTGGCCTTGGCACATAGTTGAGTGTGTTTTCAGCCCTTTGAAAGACCAAAAAGCATTCTTCTCTGCAGGGCCTAACAAAAAAAAGGTATTGGCCAGATTTTTACCATAGCCTGTGATTGGCTAAACACTGACCTCCTGGTGTAGAGCAGATGCCTAGGGAAACTGACACTAGTGCCCCAGAGAAGACTCGCCAGAATGCTTGCAGTGGCAAAAACTGGAACCTGCAATAAGAACACGGGTAAGTACACTGGACTATTATATAGCAGTGAAAATGGATGCACTGTATCTACTAAACACAACAAACACATAGGAATGTACTCAAAGGGCTATTCTATGGTATGAGCATTTTTTATGAAGTTCAAAAATTGGCAAGATTTTGTTAAAATATTAAGAAAAAGGGCCTCCCCTGGTGGCACAGCGGGGCTACAAAACTGTCTGCAGCCTCTGCAGCACCGGTTCAATCCCTGGCCACAGGTGAGGGTCCCACATGGCGCGACAGACCTCTCCTGCCTCGCCTGCTGCTCCCCAGAGCCAGAGTGGGGAGCAGAACAGGCAGAAGGACCAAAGTACACTGCTCAGGGGAGCAGCGGGTGGCGGGAGAGGTCTGCGCGCCATGTGGGACCCTTGCTGGCGGCCGGGGATTGAACCGGCGCTTCAGAGGCTGCAGGCAGCTTCACAACCCAGCGCTCAACCGCTGTGCCACTGGGAAAGCCCTAAAAAAAAATTAAGAAAAAGATGTGATAGCAAGAGAATTAGAAATTACAGTTTATAAATCATGAATATAAAATAGTGGCTGCCTTTCATTTGGAGAAAGGCAGAGGGTGGCGGAGGAAGGCACACACAGGGAGCTGTCTGGCACCTGCCGTCGGTGTTTTCTTGTGTTTGCACATTGCACACATTTTGCACATAGTCTTAGTGTGTGTCAGATCCCACCTCGTGCACTTTTTTGCAGCACAAAGCAGATGCCAGCCAGGGATGTCTTGGCTAAACGCTGGTGTAGGCGGTGCTCGGCCGAGCCGCTGGCCTGGTAGGGTGGGGCGAAATAAGCAGCTGCGGTGGCAGCCTCCAGCCCAGCCAGGAGAGCCGCATGAGAAGAGTGGCGCCTCTGGGGCCCTGGGGCTGAGTGCGTCCTGCTGCTCCCCCACTGAGGGCCCGGTGCCCGCTGAGGGTTCTTGCTGGACGTGTGTCCAGTGCCATTTTGAACAAGGGAGGATGAATCTTCCAACTTTATTCTATTTCCAGATTGTGCATCTGTTCTGGGTCCCCTGCCTTTTTGTGAATTTTAGGTTCAGGTTATTAATTTCTGCAAAAATGAAAGATAGTTGAGCTTTTGATGGTAGCTGGGGCGAATGTGTCGCTCCGTGTGCGTGCTGCTGCGTCTCATCGCTGCAGTCTTCTGACCCCAAGCACGGGGCTCTTCCCTCTGTCTAGAACTTTCATGTCTTCCAACTTTCAGTGTATGCATCTTTGCTTCTGGTTACATTTATCCCTGGGCGTTTCGTTCTTGATGATCGTATAAATGGATTTTCTTAATTTCAATTTGTATTGTTCATTGCTGGTAGACAGAAACACAACTAACTTTCATCTGTTGATCTTGTATTCTGCAACTTTGCCAAGGTTTATTCACCTAGTTTTTAATCATCTCCATAGTATGTTCTGTTAATGAGATTATGTCCGAAAACAGAAAGTTTTACTGTGCCCTGTTCAGTCTGAAAGCCCTTTATTTCTTTTTCTTATCTAATTGCCAAGAACAGGCCTTTGCAGAGGCCTCGAGCCACCAAGGACGGGAACAGGCTCTGTTGCCGTGGGTTGCTCCCTGGCCGGGGATCGACCTCATGCTGCAGTGGCTGTCGACAGCTTCATAGGTTGCATCTTAACCCCTTGCACCACCAGGGAGGCCCCAAGTCATATGCTCTTAAAGGGCGCTGGCCTTTTGGGGTGAGCCTGAAAACTGTTGGGTGTCAATGAGGCTCCTCTGCCACGGCGTGTCCCATTGACAGCACTGGCTGGGTGCACCACGGGTCCTGGGGCTGGGGCCCAGCTGTGAGACATTCCCCTCCCACCTTGCAGAGGCCAGCACAGGCCTGCTCCCATCCGACATCACCGAGGGAGGGCTATAGGCTGGCCTGTGCCTCAGGAGCAGACTTCTTTTTTAAAAAAAAAAAATTGGGGGGCCTCCCTGGTGGTGCAGCGGTTGAGTGCTGGGCTGTGAAGCTGCCTGCGGCTTCTGCAGCACCAGTTAGATCCCCGGCTGCCGGCGAGGGTCCCACATGGCGCGCAGACCTCTCCTGCGCCCGCTGCTCCCTTCAGCAGTGTGTTTCGTCAGTCTGCCTGTTCTGTTCCCCGCTCTGGCTCTGGTGAATTCTCTCACCCTCCCACACTTCTGACTGTACCCAGTGCTTGTATAAATAAAAAAAATTTTAAAATTAAAAAAAATTATTTTGTTAATTTATGCATATAAGAGCTGGGGTACAGGCCAGAGGTGCGGGGGTGAGAGGACTCCCCAGAGACAGAGTGGGGAGCAGAACAGGCAGATCCACTGAAACCCACTGCTGAGGGAAGCAGCAGGGAGACGAGAGGTCCGCTGTGCCTGTGGGTCAGCTCCCTGGCAGGGGGTCACACTCAGGCCACAGTGACTGCCAATAGCTTGATAAAGCTGAGACTTAACCCCGGCGCCCCCAGGGAGGCCCCAGGAGCAGACCTCTTGCTCAGCAAGCAGAAAGGCTGAGCAAGAGCACCCTTGTTCTGTGGGGCCCGGTGAGCTCTGGAAGAAGCCACCTCTCTGGGGCCCTGGGCACTGCAGAACTGCCTAGCTCTGCCCTTGAGCTGCTTGCATTGATGGGAACTTGGGGGCACTGGCCCTCTGTGCTTGTGTCCCCACCACTAGCTCCGTCCCAGCACCAACAGACCCCAAAATTTAGCTGTGGGGCGTGAGGCGTGAGGCTCTGCTATGTGCGGTGTTGCGGGGTGCTGGGGTGAGGTGGCCCCGGGCACCGTGGGGCGTGTGAGTACCAGTGTCATCAGGCCTGGAAGAGGCATGCTGGTGGGGCACGGCGGGTGTGTGGGGCCAGCCCCGCAAACACCACCAGACAGCATTGCGGGACCGTGGTGTGAGCCTGCCTCAGCGGGAACGCTTCCATGTGGCTGCCGCCTGCTGGGCCCTCGAGGTTCCCTGGGCAGTGGGGCTGAGATTCGTGGAGAAAGGCCCTGGTGCTTCCCCCCGGGCGGGCGAGCTCTGCTGCTCAGTCTTGAGAGCCGCACCCCCACCAGTGGGAGCCAGGCCTGAGCCGGGTGCGGGCTGGGCCTGGGGGTCACCAGCCGAGCCGGCCGCTCCCTCCCACGGGGGCGTGTCGCCAGGTCAGGCAGCTCCTGCTTCACTCCCTGTTACTCTCCCCGACAGCGTCTCTTCACGATGGAGTCGAGTAAAAAGATGGACCCCGCTGGCACCCTGCAGGCCAACCCCCCGCTGCAGCTGCGCCCCGACCGGGGTGCGGCCAGCGCGGCCGTGCTCGTCCCGGAGCAGGGAGGCTACAAGGAGAGGTTCGTGAAGACGGTGGAGGACAAGTACAAGTGCGAGAAGTGCCGCCTGGTGCTGTGCAGCCCCAGGCAGACCGAGTGCGGACACCGCTTCTGCGAGACCTGCATGGCCGCCCTGCTGAGGTAGCGCCCCTGGGGGAGGGGAGCGCCGCGGGATCCCAAAGCCCACATCTGCTGGGGAGAGCAGGTGGGCCCCACCCGTGTGCAGAGGCCTCCGCCCTGGCCTGCCCGTGGTCCGTGGCGCCCTCCGTCCCAGGGTGCCATGTCGTTGCTCTCTTTCTGCCGGCTTGGAGGCGGAGCTGCACCCTCACAGGCCGTGGCCCCTGTGATGCACAGGACGGCCGGACACACCCCGACCTGGGTGGGCAGCCAGTCAGTGGACACGCACCCGCCCTGGGGGCCTCGCCAGCGGGTGTCGGTGCCGTTTTAGAGGCAGGCAGGGAATCGGCCGGGCAGGCCACCATGGGCACTGTGGTCCTATCTACCGGTCCTGGCCTAGTTCAACCCCCGCCTGTGGGCAGGCAACCCTGAGTCGAGCTTGGTGGCGGTGGTGTGGACGTGGAGCCGCAGCTCCCTGCTCATGGGGCCTGGACCTGGGGCAGGGGCTGCTGGTCACAGGGACCTGGGCAAGGACAGGGGTCCCAAGGTCGTTCCGAACTCCCCTGGTTTCTGCCCCTCTTCTGCTCCCCATTCTCCTGCCGTGGGATTCCAGGTATCGAATCCCTCCCAGATGTTGCTCAGCCCTGGGACCTAAGACTGGGGCAGATACTCGTGATGAGAATAGTCTAGCACAGGCTCCATGTCTGTTAGTCTGCATGAGAGCTTTTATTTTAAAATGCGTCCACTTCCTCCCGTCAGCCCTTAGCTGTCCTGCTGCGATGCCCTGGCCGTGGGGCCACGCTCCTCCTCACACCTGGCCGAGGGGTCCAGCCTGGGGCTGTTCAAGCAGGAGGCTCCTGCTTCCTTTCTGTTTTTCATCTCCTGGGGTGGTTGCCTGGATGGGCAAGGACCCGTCTACTGAGGGGCACCGGGAGCAGGGCTTGCGTATGGAGCCTGGGCATGGGCCTGGCCCAGGAGGCCGGTTGTGGTGTCTGCATATGCCCTGCGCTGCCCTGGAGCTGCCTCTCACTGCCTGGGGCAGAGTGGCCATGGGGAAAGCGCTGCCTGTTCTCCTGCGGTGAGACCGCGCTTTAAGGCCGCTCCTCCCCACTGTGGACACCCACAGAGGAGCCCTCCACAGACCCTTTTGGTTTCTGAAATAAAATTTCACTTTTAACTGAAAGGGGCTTTCCAAGTGGAATGAAACTCAGCTGTTCTGCTGCAAACTTCCTCATGAGAAATTGCCACCAAAGTGACTGAGCCTTTTTTCCTGTGGCTCCGCATTCCAGGGGTCCCTGTGGGGTCCTCTGGCCCGGCTGGAGGGGGCTCCAAGACTAACCTTTTCCTTTTCTTTCCCTCAGCTCCTCCAGCCCCAAGTGCTCAGCATGTCAAGAATGCATCGTTAAAGACAAGGTAGTTCGGCTTCTGGGGCTTGGTGTTGTGGGGTCCCTTGTGGGGTGTGAGTGAGCCCAGTGCTGGGGGTGGGGGTAGGGCCTGTGCACCCCAGAACAGGCAGCCCAGCCAGCAGCTCAGTGGCCTCAGGTGCTTCTGTTCCCCTTGACTGTGCTAGAGGCTGAGGGCACGGCTGTGTGTCCCTGCACCTGGTGCAGGAGCCACCTGGTCCCCCGAGCCTGCCCCGCTGGGGCCTCAGCGGCATCTCCGCCTCCACTGCAACTACCAGGCATGCTTCCAGTCAGAGGCAGCTCATCCTTCAGGCGCTTAGAGTGTCAGTAAGAATCTGGGTGGCTGGTGCTTGGGCTCGGGACCCTCACAGTTGTTCAGCTATGGGTCACTACCTTGTACAGTCAGATTCTGCTGTGGGGTTGCATGTCTAAAGCCCTCAGCAGGATGGCATGTTGCCCAGGTGACTGAGGGGGCCCCTGGGTCGCCAGGACATGGCCCTATCAGGGTCCTGAGACAGAGCCGCCGGTGTCCCTGGAGCGCCTCTTCCTTGGCTGCCTGAGGACTGTGGCTGGCAACAGCATGGTTCCCCTGTCCCAGCGGCTGAGGCTGTCAATGTGGACACCTGCTCCTCGGCGCAGGGGCCAGACCCCGCCAGGTGCTCAGGCCAGTGCAGCGACCTTCTCTTCAGCAGCATTGGTCGCGGAAGGAGAGCGACTCTGTCTGTGCGTTGCTGAGTGAGGCCGACCCGGCGGCGGGGCGGCAGGCAGGCGTCCCTGGCCAGGCCTCGCGTCCTCGGTTCTGTGGTTTGTTCACAAAGTGAAACTCCAAAGGCGTCAGCAGCCTCATGGTGCGTCAAGGGCTTATTTCTTGATGGGTAAGAGCCTGTCCTGTCGGCTCCAGTACCTCAAGTTGCCACATTTTGGAAAAGTTTTGTTCATAAAAGATTAGATTTGACTTCCAGTTAGTTTATTTTTAACTCTTTTTTTTTTATTATTTTTTTAAAGAGGCACATATTATTTATTTATTTGTTTGTTTATTTATTTGTTTGTTTATACAAGCACTGGGTACAGTCAGAAGCGCGGGAGGGTGAGAGGATTCACCAGAGCCAGAGGGGAGAGCAGAGCAGGCAGAGGGACCGAAGGACACTGCTGAGGGGAGCAGCGGGCGGCAGGAGAGGTCTGCGCGCCATGGGGGACCCTCCTCCGGTGGCCGGGGAGCAGCCGGGGATCGAACCGGCGCCGCAGAGGCCGCGGGGAGCTTCGCAACCCAGCGCTCAACCGCTGCGCCACCGGGGAGGCCCTGTTTCTAACTCTTAATGGTGTCGAGTCTCTGTCCTTGCCGGCCGAGGGCGTGTCAGGCCCAGCTGATCGTCGCTGTGGCAGAGTCAGCACGTGGGCGTTTCTTAGAAGTAGCCGAGCGTTTTTTAGAAGTAGCCGAGGACGAAGGTGCCGCGGTGTGTTGTTAGAGGAGTCAGCACACTTGTTTTCTGGGGGAGAGAATCAGAGAAAGGCACAGCTTTCGTTTCTAAAGGGAACACTTCTGTCACTGGATTAACACCAGTCTCGGCAGCATATGTCTAGCAAAGGTTGTGTTTGGTTTTCTGTTTTTGTTTAATGGCAAAGTCATGCCTCCTTTGTGATGAGAAATGACTTAGGAAGTGACAGAACCTTAAAGGAGGGGCCAAAATAAATGTTTTGGACCTGTCGGGGAAGTGCGCTCTTGCAGGGTGTCCCTCCCAGCCTCTCTGCGGTGCCGCTTCTGAAGGCCCGAGGTCCAGGTGTGAGCACGGCCCTGGGGTGCCCTTGTCCTGAGTGTCTGTCCAGGTTGGCCCAGAATGCTCAGGTGCCCCCAGGTGGAACTCAGGTTCCTCGGTGTGAACTTGTTTTAATAAAAGACGGCAGCTCAGGGTCTGCGGTCTGATGGCGTCTGCTGGTGGGCCAGCTCCTTCACTGTCCTTTGGTTGCCATCACGGCCCTTCGTGCTTCCAGGGTCCACTTAAGAGACACTCTCGTGGTTTCTTAAAAGCGGCCTTGCCTTGTCTATGGCAGCAGCATGTGGAGATTAAGAAACATTAATCATCTAAAATAACTTCCTTTCAATTTCAGGTGTTTAAAGATAATTGCTGCAAGAGAGAGATTCTGGCGCTTCAGATATTTTGCAGGAACGAGAGTCGAGGCTGCGCAGAGCAGCTCACGCTGGGGCAACTGCTGGTATGTCCCCGAGGCGCTGGCAGTGGCCGGGCAGCCGCAGGCGAGGACCATGATCACAGTCCGCAGTGGGCAGAATAGGGGTTAAGCACCTCAACCCCCTCTCTCCCCACCATTAAGAATAGAAAGAATTCTCAGTTGATTTTCAATTTGGAAGGCCCATTGAAAGCTTTTTTTTTCCCAAATGATGACATCACATAGAACTTCTTATGCCTTTTATTTTTTTTTTTCTTTTTCTTTCCTTTTTTTTTTTTTTTTGATAGAGGCATGCTTTATTTATTTGTTTGCTGGTTTGTTTGTTTGTTTGTTTATACATGCACTGGGTACAGTCAGAAGCGCGGGAGGGTGAGAGAATTCACCAGAGCCAGAGCGGGGAGCAGAGCAGGCAGAAGGACCGAAGGACACTGCTGAGGGGAGCAGCGGGCGGCAGGAGAGGTCTGCGCGCCATGTGGGACCCTCCTCCGGTGGCCGGGGAGCAGCCGGGGATCGAACCGGCGCCGCAGAGGCCGCGGGGAGTTTCGCAACCCAGCGCTCAACCGCTGCGCCACCGGGGAGGCCCTTCTTATGCCTTTTAGATCAGCACTATGCATCACCCTACCCGGGTATCTGAATTGGCATAGAGCAGAGTCCTGGGCAGGTGGCCACTTGCCTACCCCGGAGGTGGAGAGCCTCACTCCTGAAAAGTGGTGCTATCTGGTCACTAAGCAGGACAAAGCTCGGCCTCTCTGGGCATGTGGGCACTGTCCTCTGTGAAATGCAGGCCCCCAGGTGATGCTGGCATTTCAGGTTGGCTTTTTGGCCAGTTAAGAACTTGCAGTTGTTTCTCTTTCAGGTGCATTTAAAGAACGACTGCCAGTTTGAAGAGCTTCCATGTGTCCGTGCCGACTGCAAGGAGAGGGTGCTGCGGAGAGACCTGCGCGACCACGTGGACAAGGCCTGCAAGTACCGAGAGGCCACGTGCACGCACTGCAAAAGCCAGGTCCCCATGGTCACGCTGCAGGTGCGGACGCGGCCACCCCTGCCAGGCAGTACCCTTGATGGGCAGCGCCCCAGGTTGGGGCAGTACCCCTGGGCAGGCAGCGTCCTTCGGTGGGCAGCACCCCTGGGTGGGCAGTATCCCTTTGTGGGCAGTACCCCCGGGTGGGCAGCGCCCGCAGAGTAGCGTCTCCGTGACTGGTCCGTGTGAATAAAGAGAAGACAGACGTGAATAGCAATTTTCATCTCACTTTATTTCAGAGCTAAGCTTTATTTGTTTTGCCTGTTTTGATTTATGTAACTAGCGTTTTCCTTTGCCTTAGTTGACTGCCATTTGGGGTGTTGAGAAAAGTGAAAACAAATCACTTAACAAGCAGAATTTTTCTCTCGTCCCAGGGAATAGTCTCACTCCTGTCAGCCGTTCATGTTGCCGCAGCCATGCTGGGCTGGGCTGTGCTGCGCTGTGCTGCGCTGCCACGGGCGTGTGCCGCCGTGGAGGGGCGGGAGGCCTGCTGTGCCTCGCTGCCCTGGCTCGGGCTGTGCGGGGCACTCTGGGGTGGGATCGCTCTCGTGTGAATTAAAGAGATGGACGTTGAGGATGGTAGACAGGCTTAAAACCATCGGTGCCATGGCACCCGCAGAAGCTTGTACGTTGATGAACAGCCCGAGTGCCTGGTGTGTGCTGTGCACCTACTGTGTGCAGGGCACTGTTCTAGATCTGGAGGAGCGGAGAAGCTTGCCATCTAGTAGACGGGGTCATGATTAATACTGTGAAGAAAAATAGTCCGGCGTCTAGGGACCAGGGCTGTGTTCACTGAGGCAATAGGTGGAAGGGGCCCAAGGTGGGTGGGCTGAGGGGAAGCAAGGATGGAGCCAACTTGGCAGTGGATTTCAGGCCTGGGAGAGCTGGGAGCAGAGGCCAGGTGTGAAGGCCATGGGAGGCTAACTAGAGGGCGGGGGCTGGCACTGGCAGCCTTGAGCAAGGGGCTGCCTTGGGAGTTACACCTTAGGTGCCCTGCTCTGGCAGGCGGGCAGGAGGGAAAGCAGGGGTGAGGCCCAGCTTGGCCTGGACAGGCAGAGTAGCAGAGGGAGGGAGTAGAGCCAGGTGGGGTCAGTGGTGGCTTAGATGCGGAGTTGAAGGCATGAGTCTACCTGGGGTGGGGGGGAGGGAGCAGACGAGCAGCGGATCCTTGCTGCTGGGAGACCAGAGTGAGTGGAGAGGACATGGAGGCTCATGGAGGAGTCATCTAGCAGGAGGGGCCTCTTGGGAGGATGGGTTGGGGGCCACAGGGCTGGACACCGAAATGGCGGCAAGCTTTTGTCTCTGGATTCGCAATGAGCTGCGCTGTCCTTTCTGGTCTCTGTCCTCATGTTCCCTTGGACTACTTCCTCCGGGTGGAGTCTCTTTCCTGTTTGATTCTAGAAGCTCCCAGTTAAGAGTTGTGTCCTCCCCTCTGGCAAGTAGCAGTAGTATTTGCTGTGATTGAATTAAATTCGAGGAGGGAGACTCTGGCCTGGAGCGCGGTGCTCCTGACCGCACACCTGTTTCTTGGCTGCTGTCCAGGGCACGCTCTGCTTTTGCAAAAATTGGGGTCCTTTATTTGCATCAGAGGAGCCAAGAATTAATTTTTCACTTGAGAAAGAATTGTAGATACCGCGTACTCAACGCAGCTGACGCCGATCAGACTGGGAGGCTGGGAGGAGAGGGTTCCGAAAAACAGCATAGCACCTTCAGTTGGCCTCTGGGAGGGAGCAGCCCGGTGCACAAGTAAGCGCTGCCAAGGGGGACTAGCACCTGGCACCAGGAGGGGTGGGCAACTCGGAGGAGGGGCTGGCCACCCCAGTCTAGAGGGAGGTATGCAAGAGGGCTCCCTTGGTTTGGGCTCAGTTCTAAATTTGGTGCAAACGGGAGAGAGGACCCAGCAGGTGCAGTGTCAGGAGGTGGAGCTGGCAAGTTTGGGGCCAGCCCAGGCAAATAAAAGCCCCTACACATCCCACTGTGCCACGTCTCTCTGGGAGCGGGTTGCTTCCTGGGGCCTTTGTGAGGTGGGGCCCGGCCCATGACGAGCCAACGGTGGCCCACTCGCTTCTCGCAGACCTTCAGCAATGCTGTCTGACCTTCCAGCTCTGGCACATCAGTGTCACCTTGTTAGGCCTTCATTTTATTTTTAAGACCATGCCGAGGCCCTGAGGGTCCCACATCTTCCGCGCCCTCTGGGGTGTTGGGGCTGATGAGGTGGCAGGCCTCTGGGCAGCCCCCGCAGTCCCTCCGAGGGCTCTATGGTGAGACCATGTGGTGGCACATCAGCTGGTCTCAGTTGTTTTGATCTACAAACGGGCACAATTTACAGCGTTGGGGGAAAAACCCTTTTGCATTTAGTTTAGACATTATCGAATATTAGTTTCTTTGCACAGTGCTGTTAAGTTGTGAAAACCAGAGCCGTCGCTGTTAGTCGTGGGTCTCTCCTATGCTCAGAGCAGAGCTGAGGTGCCTGTGGAGCAGAGAAAGGTCATTGCAGGTGACAAGCAAGGAGGTAGGAGGAAGCAAATACCAGGGTCTGCCTCCCTCTGCGTCTGGGGAGGGGCGTGCCGGGTTTGGGGAGTGGGAGCGGGAGCAAAGGTGGTAACTTTTATTGGCTGAAAAGTAGGTTAGTGGCAAAGAAATGTGGACTTGCGATGCTCGCGGCTGCTCCCGGGCAGCGCCCGTGTGTGGAGAGGCCTTCCTCCGGGTGCCGAGTTTGGCGCTCCAGCTGGGGCCGCTCTGCCTCCTCAGCCTCCTGCGGCCTGGGGCTCAGCTCTGTTGTTGGCGGCTGCTTGCTCTGCTGGGTCAGACAAGGCCCAGCTCTGCTGTCTGTGGGTGAAGTGGCAAAGGGAAGTTGAGATGCGTTTTCCTTTCCCTTTGTGCACTCGGGGTCTGGCAGCGGCCTCTGCTGCATGAAGGTTGCGTTTTGTGGCGAAACTGCACACACTGTAACGGGAGCGAGCGCGGCAGCTGCAGAAAACAGCTTGGCCATATGTCATTGGGGTGAACGTCTACACGCCGGCCAACTGGCACTTCCTCCCCGGATGCGTGATGCACTAGGAGTCCACAACGGGCCTAGGGCCAGGTGTGAACAGCGTGGAGGCCTGGAAGCAGCTGGACATCCATCAGCTGGAGGGGCCACCTCTTGTGGGAGCGAGTGGCCAGGGGGCGGGGGCCGTGCATGGTGGGCTCCATCTTGATAGAACTCCAGAGCGGTTAAACAGCGTTTTGTCCAGCACACACATGCGTGTGACAAAGTATTTTCCGGCAAAGGAAGTAGAAACGCTGGTTCCAAGCATCTGGCTTTAGAAGCTACTTCCTGGGGGACGACGAAGTGAGTCAGGGGCTGCTCCAGGTGGGGAGGGGAGGGCAGCACCTCAGTGTACCTGCCACAGCGTTATGTCTGCTCTTGTGCGCGTGTCAGTGACCCTTCACCATGTGCACAGGCGAGTCTTGGCTCGCATAGCCCCTGTGCGTCACTAGTGAGCCCTGGTTAGTGGGCGTATTGCCTGCCTCTGCCGCCAGCAACAAAGCTGCACAGAGTTGGCTTCAAATGGCAGAGAGGGATGTTCTGGAGACCGAAAGTCCCATGCTGGGGCCAAGCCATCCAGCCATTCCAGAGAAGGCCCCATTGGCCCCTTCCTGTCTTCCTGTGGCTGCTGCCCGGTGGCCAACCCACTGCCCCCGGCCTCTTTCTCTGTGGTCACTGACAGATGCCCAGTGGGCCTTCTCGGCCTCTTCAGAAACATCATTTCCAGCCTCCAGACTGTCCTTCTTCAACCAGTAAATTCTGGACACAGCGTGTATCCCAACCCCTCATCCCTGCTTGGAGGGGCAGGCGGGGCAGGGGTTCTGCTCCGAGGGCCCTGCTGTGGGCGCACCACCTCCAGGCGCTGTGCCCGCCAGCTGCCTGACTGGCCAGGTTTGCACTGTTGGCCTGAGGTGTCTGTGGCACTCCCACTGGGGGTCCTGCCCAGCGTGACAGAGCGCTGCCTGGGCCACGCGGGCCTGGGAGGGGGTGGGTCTGAAGGAGGACAGGCTGTGTCTGCAATGCTGACAGCTGCTTCTTTCTCTCCTCCAGAAACACGAGGACACCGAGTGTCCCTGCGTGGTGGTGTCCTGCCCTCACAAGTGCAGCGTCCAGACGCTCCTGAGGCGCGAGGTAAGGGGCTGGCCAGGCCTCCGGGAGGTTGGGGGCCTTCGGGACAGCGTGCCTCAGACTCCTCCTCGCTAGCAGCTGAAACCCGGGGTGTTCGCAGGTACCGTAGTGAGTGGTGGTAGGGAAACAGGAGGGACCTCATGCCTCTTCTGAAAACCCGAAATTCCAGAGCAGGCAGTTAGAGCGTCTGTGTTCACAGCAGGACGCTGGAGAGCGGGGGAGAGAGGAGGAAAGCACAAGCTTGCTGTGCCGGCTTTTCAGGTTTTCTTTGAAAAGCTGTTCTAAGGTCTGTGAGGTAGCAGGGACTCTCAGATCACCGAAAATTCACTTAACTCAGATGCTCCAGATCCATGTGGCCGCGCCTGCTGCCTGGGGGCACTGCTGTGGAAGAAGTGGGCGCAGGGTCTCCAGGCCGCAAACGTGCCTCAAGGGGCAACTGAGGAAATGCACCTGGATTTTGCACAACTCGAAAGTCCCTCTGTACTGTGGGACCAATTTGCCTCTTTCATACACTTACCTATTTTACCCACTCAGGCATCTGAATTAGGGACAGAAGCTGCATTCATTTGCCTCAGCATTATTTTTATTTAAAAAATCTTCAAACCTTTGTGCATCCTGGGTTTCTGGTGAAAGCCCATTGGCCTGTGGGTTCTTCCTACCTCTGCTGCAGAACTCCTGTAAGTTCTGTTGGGCTCTGAGAGGAACCAACTAAAACCAGTTTAGGAAAAAGGGTAACCCTGAATGTGTCGTGTCCACTGGGTATAATGTCAGTCCCACCCTGTCCCTGATTTTAACATCAGCTGTGGTAGCTGGTCACATCAGCTAGTGGTAACTGGTCACCTTAGCTGTGGTAGCTGGTCATGTCAGCAGTGATAACTGGCCACCTTAGTTGTGGTAACTGGTCACCTCAGCAGTGGTAGCTGGTCATGTCAGCAGTGGTAACTGGTCATGTCAACACTGGTAATGGTCACCTTAGCTGTGGCAGCTGGTCACGTTACCTGTGGTAACTGGTCACATTAGCTGTGGTAATTGGTCATCTCAGCTGTGGTAACTGGTCATGTTAGCTGTGGTAGCTGGTCACGTCAGCTGTGGTAGCTGGTAATGTCAGCTGTGGTAACTGGCCACCTTAGCTGTGGTAGCTGGTCACATTAGCTGTAGTAGCTGGACACGTCAGCAGTGGTAACTGGCCACCTTAGCTGTGGTGGCTAGTCATGTTAGCTGTAGTAGCAGGTCACGTCAGCAGTGGTAGCTGGTCATGTCAGCAGTAGTAGCTGATCATGTCAGCAGTGGTAGCTAATCACTTTAGCTGTGATAGCTGGTGACCTTAGTGTGGTAACCGGTTATGTTGCTGTGGTAACTGGTCACCTTAGCAATGGCAACTGGTCACTTTAGCAGTGGTAGCCGGTAATGTCAGCAGTGGTAACTGGTCATGTCAGCAGTGGTAACTAGACAGCTTGGCTGTGGTAGCTGGTCACCTCAGTTATGGTAACTGGCCACATCAGCTGTGGTAACTGGTCACATTAGCTGTGGTAATTGGTCCCCTCAGCTGTGGTAACTGGTCCCCTTAGCTGTGGCAGCTGGTCCCTTAGCTGTGGTAACTGGTCACCTTAGCTGTGGTAACTGGTCATGTTAGCTATAGCAGCTGGACACATAAGCAGTTGTAACTGGTCACCTTAGCTGTGGTAGCTGGTCACGTTAGCTATGGTAGCAGGTCACATCAGCAGTGGTAGCTGGTCACTTTAGCTATGGTAGCTGGTCATGGCAGCAGTGTTAACTGGTCATGTTAGTGGTAACTGGTCACATCAGCCATGGTAGCCAGTCATGTCAGCTGTGGTAGCTTGTCACCTTAGCTGTGGTAGTTGGTCACCTTGGCTGTGGTAACTGGTCACCTTAGCTGTAGTAGCTGGTCACCTTAGCTATGGTAGCTGGTTATGTTAGCTGTAGTAGCTGGTCACATCAGCAGTGGTAACTGGTCACCTTAGCTGTGATAGCTGGTCATCTTCACTGTGGTAGCTGGTCACCTTAGCTGTAGTAGCTGGTCACATCAGCAGTGGTAACTGGTCACCTTAGCTGTGATAGCTGGTCATCTTCACTGTGGTAGCTGGTCACCTTAGCTGTAGTAGCTGGTCACATCAGCAGTGGTAACTGGTCACCTTAGCTGTGGTAGCTGGTCACCTCAGCTGTGGTAATTGGCCACCTCAGCTGTGGTAACTGTTCACCTTAGCTGTGGTAGCTGGTCATCTTAGCTGTGGTAACTGGCCACATCAGCTGTGGTAGCTGGTCACTTTGGCTGTGGTAGCTGGTCATGTTAGTGGTAGTAGCTGGCCAGTGGAACTACTGTGTGGATGACAATGAAAGAATTTGGTCCAGAATGATTTCAGTGCCCTGCCCATGTCCATGCTGCGTTTCTTTGCCAGTCACCTCCAGGTGCAGGCTATCTCCCAGCTGGGAGTACACTAGGATGCTGGGTCTGCAGCCCCTTGCCCTGCCTTGACTCAGAAGCCCTCACGTAGTTGGCCTGGTGGTGGTCAGAGGGCCATCCCCACCACACCAGCTCGTTCTTTAACTGTGGGTGGCCATCCTGCCACCCACTTTCCTCTCAATCCTAATACTACTTGCCAGGAGGGCGGATTTTGTCCCAGAGACAGAAGAGAAACGCTCCACCTGCCCAACGGCCTTCAATGAGCTCCTGGCCCAGTGCTCCTGGCTCTCTGCTGGTTTTCTCTAAAGAAGATCTACTCCTCCAGTTCCCTGTTGAGACTATTCAGCAAAGGAGGAAACGTCCCTTCAGTGGTGTTAGTCAAATGCATAACGCTACAAAAACAGACATTTCCATTCTCTTCTCTTAAGAAGACCTCATAAGTGGCTTTTATTTGCTCATCTGCCAGCATTTAAGCTGAATGAAGGAATTTTTGCTTGCAAGAGGCCTGCACAGGCCTCTCCCCCCTCCACTATGTTCTTCCATCATTAAGAGGGTCAGTATTAGGTCCACATCGTAGAATGACCTTAGAGGTTTTTAAAAACCTATATGAACATATGACCGTGGCGGGTGGGGGGTGTCTTTCCTAAAGCAGGAAGGTGCACGCTCTGTCCGAGTCCCTGGGAGCACCGGCCATGTGCAGGCTTGCCGTGATGACAGACTTCTGTGTTTTGTGGGTTCCATTTGTGTGGCCCTGTTGCATCCCCAATGCTATTTCTTGTGTTTCATGCAATTTTTGTTTATAGTCTTTAAATGTGCATTTCAGTTCACTTATTTTTCTTTTAAACATTCTGGCACTGCAGGTGGCATGTTACATTTTGGACAGTTTGTTCTAGAGAAACTGCCAGTCCAAGAAATGTTACAGTGAGCGTATTTCTGTATACTGGTGTCTCTGTGTGTACACACGTGACAGGGCCTGTTACTGCAGAGCCGCCAGGAAGCAGGCGTGTGCCCCCATAGTGGACAAGACCTCCCCTCAGTGCGCCCCAGACCTCGCTGTGCCCTTGATGTGTTTGAACATTTTCATGCAAACGTTTGTGCCACAACTCACGTCTCTTTCCCGTTGCAGTTGAGTGCACACTTGTCAGAGTGTGTCAATGCCCCCAGCACCTGTAGTTTTAAGCGCTATGGCTGCGTTTTTCAGGTCAGTATTCAACATTTGTCCTTCCCAGTCGCTGGCATTCTGCCGTGATAGAAAGTTATTCTATTAACATTTTAACATGCAAGTTCTGGACTTTTAGTCTTTGTCTTGAAGCCAGTCACCCTGCTCCTGGGTGACGGAAGCCGCATGCAGCGGGTATGGGTGCTTAGTGTCTGTTCCCGTGTGCCCTGAAGCCTCGGGCAGCACCCGTGTGGAGGAGGGAGGCAGGACCTCAGGAGAAGCGCCGCAGCGAAAGCCAGCTCGTCATGGGCAGCAGCGACGCTCGGAGGGGTTCTAGGCAGACGGGCGCTTTGCCGCCAGTGAATGTGAGCCCCAGGCCAGACACAGGTTGAGCCGGGTGGTTGGACGCCGCCGCCAGCGCCCTGTGTGCGCCCCATGCGTGGGGCACCTGTGTCTGGTCTGGGGGTTCCAAACACGCCTGAGTGGTAGTGAGTCTGAGCTGGGGCTCCCTTGAATGTTTATCTCCAGCCATCACACAAGCGTCACACAAGTATCCGACAGCTGAAGCCCTTTGCTGTTGACGTACGTGTCAGCAGCACGTTTCTGTGAAGTGGGGACCTAGGTGGCGCCTGCGCAGTCTGCTTAGAAAGTGACGCCTGCGCGCCAGCCGGCTGCAGTCCCCGGCGAGGCGGCACCCCGTCCGCCCTGCGGCGCCGTTCTGTGTGTGTATATATATGTCCGCACGTGCAGGGCCGCGCCAGCATATATATACGGAGGCCCTGTGTGCAGGGTACATGTTTTGGAGACCATGCGGAAGCACTCTTTGCTTCTTAATTTGCCAACATCCAAACAAACCTTTCAAACCAATTGTTTTCTCCAGTACTTGAATAGGACGGCGAGGGCTCCGGCCGATGCCAGCGTGGTCTGCATCTGATGTACTCTGTAGGTCGTTACGTCTGTATGTGGCTTCCTGAGTGCGCGCAGACCAGTGAGGAGCACTGTGTCCTCCGACCCTGTTCCTCACTGGTAAACTAATAGCTAACAAGTCGGGAGCGCCTGTTTCGACGGCGTGTGCACTGGGTTCCCGTCCCGGGGGCTGGCTGTGACTGCCAGTGTCTGAGCATTTTCTGTCATTCTTAATGAAAAATACGTATAAAGAACGAGGACAGGTCTAAAATTTAATTTCTTAATACACAAGTGTGAAGCAGAAGTAAGAAGGCACCAGATGAGATGCGTGAGGTGTGGGGAGCGGCCTGGTGAGAGGCTGTGAGTGACCGAGCATCTGGTCTTTGAACGCTCGGTTCTCCCGGCCTCCTCACCAGTGCCCTGCCCCGCAGCCGCCGAGCACGCCCCTGCGGCTTCTCGGTACGCTTCGTGGTGCCTTCTGTGTGTGTCCCTGGCCTGGGCAGAGCTGGCCTGACATGCTGCGTCTTTGTTTGCAGGGGACCAACCAGCAGATCAAGGCCCATGAGGCCAGCTCTGCCGTGCAGCACGTCAACCTGCTGAAGGAGTGGAGCAGCTCCCTGGAGAAGAAGGTGGGCCGCCTCCTGTCCCGCCGGGCCGCCCGTCCTAGCGTGTCCAGAAAATTTCTCCTGACCTAGGGTCTGTGGATGACACAGAGCGCCCAAGAGTCCGTCCTCTCCAGATGTGCTCGGGCTGATCCGTGAAGGGGTCGTTTGTCCTTCGCGCTCAGTTGCCAGAAGGCCCTGCCTTCCACTGTCCTCTCCTGTGGTCCCCTCTGTGTTGGTCCGGGACAGGGGTTCTTGGCCCTCCAGGCCTCCCTTCTCTCCTCCCAGCCCTGTCCTGCTGTGAATAAAGTCTCATTAGAACGTGGCCGTCCTCCCTCACGTCTGTCACCCACGGCACTCTGGCCAACACCTGCAGAGCTGAGGCCACGAGGCAGAAGCCCGGGTCCGCATGGCCCCGTGTAGGCTCCTCTGGGAAGAGCTGGTGTCTGGGAGGCGCCAAGGCAGAGCTCAGCGTGTCTCTTCTGGGACCAATAAGAGCAGCTTATTTGGCTGGTCGTGGGAGGGTCCCCTGTCCCTGTCAGTCGTGGCCTGTTGATTTCTTGGCTGACCCTAAGCGTTGGCACAGGCCATGCCCCAGCCGGTGGACCCCTGTGCAGGCCTCTTCCCAGAGACATGTCTCTCTGGGGTAGCTGGTTCTGTGACGCTCAGCCCAGTGGGGCCTTGCAAAGGGAAGGGGGAGGTCTCAGGTGCTAGTGGGCGGCGGCATGGCGTCCACCTGTGGGCTGTGCCTAGGAGACTCAGGGTGGCGCTTGGCAGATGTGTCCTGGGAGTTCAGCTGCTGGGTGCCCGGCCCAATCTGGGCTGCAGTGGGTCCACATCTGCTCCTGAAGGTTTGATGGTTGTTCAGTGAGAGCGTGAGCGGGTGAAGCTGTAAATTTACTTGGAGTTGAGTCTAAAAGTGTCAATCTCAAGATTTAATTAGAATTTAGCAAAAACAACTAGTTTTTACTGTAAATGCTGATGCCAGAGCTGAGAGCCAGGGAGGCCCGGTATCAGGCCTGGGTGTGGAGTACGGGCACCCTGAGGCGGTCTGGCCAGTGGTCATCAGGCCTAGGGGCTCTGGCTCAGAGCCGCTGCATCTGCTTCTCCCTGCTTTGAGAAGGACGCGCTTCTCCCGCCTTCTTCAGATGGTCGTGTAGCTCTGGGGCCTCTGGTTCCCAGTCAGTACTGTTCTTTGTCTGCTTCCACGGCCCTTCCTTCCCGTTAACGTGAGTTGCTTTGCTGCAGCTGGGCTGGTTCCATCGCTGCTAGGCGGGTCTGAGGTGTTGGCTGTCTAGTGCGACGGTCATAGAGAGTTCTGGAGCCATGTAGGCGCCCAGGCTGAGCCTTTCCTCATACTCCCATCTGTTCTGTGGAGCCAGGATGGGCACCCGCCACACGCACACAGGAGCCACAGGGCTCCTGGCCCCCTCCCACAGGCCCTGTGTGTTTGCCCTCATGGAGCTGCTCAAAGTTGGCCTCCTGGACGCACAGCGTGCGCCCACCCCAGTGGTGGCCAAGCTGTGCCCCTTTGCGGGTGCCCATGAGAAGAGGCTTCTCTCCCTTCATTCGGCTAAGGGCAGTGACTGGGCAGAGCTGCCTCTTCTTGAGGCGGGGCCTGTTTCTCACTATGGTTGGGGCACCTGTGATGGGAAAGGTTCCGAAAGGGCCAGTTGTCATGGTCACGGTCAAATAAGCAAAGCTGTTTTGTGAAATCTGGGCTTGGGATGCCTCAGCCACACCGGCGCAGAAAAGGGTGTTCTCGCGGGGCCTTGAGGAGGCTGGAAGGCCTTGGGGAGGCCTGCTGCTGCGCTTGGGGTGGCCCTTAAAACACTCCAGTGCGCCCTGCCCAGGCGGGGCATCAGGCCCTGCGGACCCCTCGCCCAGGAGCTGCTAGACCAGCCAGGGCAAACTGGCTCTTGGGTACTATTTTTTTTGGAGATTTTAAAAAGTCAAAGGTGGGATCGGAAATGCTGACCCAGCCGGCCCCCGTGGGCGGGGCAGCGCTTGCAGGCAGACCTGTGGAGCTTTGTGGGGGATGGCTGAGTCCCCAGGCAGTGGTTCTGTCTGCACAGTGGCATGTTGGCCGCAGAGGCTGACTGAGGCACGTGTGTCACCCGCTTCTTACTGTCGGGAGAGCTTTCCACGCATGGGTGCGGCCCGTTGGTGGACGGGAAAGAAGTCAGCGGCCTGCAGCTGACCCTGCTGAAAGTGACACGGAGCAGCGAGGAGCCGTGGGGTGCAGCGTGGGTGGTGAGGGCTCGTGGGACCTGCGGGCCCCCTTTCAGGGGTGTGTGCACCTGTTGGGGGGTGAGAGGTGAGAGCGAGTTCTCCCGTGTTTCCCGGCCAGAGTCTGAAGCCATTCTGGTCAACGATTTGTTTTCAGCAAAAACTTAAAAAAGCGCCCGTTGCTTCTCTGTCAGCTGCTGCGCTGGGCCTCGTTTTCCCTAGTTACCGAGACTGAGTCTGCGAGCCAGCCTGCGGGCTCCCCGCGCAGCGGCCGGGACGCGCCGGTTGTGAAGGGAGTCTCTGGCGTGGTCCCGTGGGAGCCAGTGCTGCGAGGTGTCGTGGCCGTTGGTATTAAAGCCGCTTTCCGCTGGCTGACTGGGGAATCTTTCCCAGGTCTCCCTGCTGCAGAACGAGAGCGCGGAGAAGAATAAGAGCATCCAGAGCCTGCACAACCAGATCTGCAGCTTTGAGGTCGAGATCGAGAGGCAGAAGGAGACGCTGCGCAACAACGAGGCCAAAATACTTCACCTACAGGTCAGGGCCGCAGGCTGAGGCGGGTGGGGGGCCCCCCGCACCCACCCTGTGGGGCAGCTCAGGTCTTCTGCAGAGGCCGAGTGAAGACCCCCCTGGCCTGCCTCCCGCGCCCCCGCACCGAGCACCCCCGGGCTTGGGATCACTGTTGGTGAAGTAAGACTTAAATTCCGTGTTTTAAGAATGACCCGTTTTTATTATTCCTTGAGAGCTCGTCCTGTTTTCGAGTGGTCATGTGTAAAGTTTCACTTCCTAAAGTGAAGCGAAGCCAGACTACTTTGTTGTGAATTTCCGAGTGACACAGAGACCACCCCACTTCATTTCACCAGAGTGACCCAGAGGCGCCTCCAAAGCAAACGGAGACCTTTGCTGCTGTGAGGGGGGTGCGTCCGTAGGCTCCATTAGAGAGGCGCCCGGGGCCGCCGTCCCTGGGCTGTGTGAGCCTGCGGCGTGCGCCCAACGCGTCCACCCGCTCGGGCCCACCATGCCGGCGGGCGCCCCCGGCCTCCAGCGCTGGCCCTCACGTGCGTCCTGAGTCACCTGGAAGAGCAGGTGTCTGTCGAGCAGTCGCCCCACCTGTGATTCCATCCTCCCGTTATGACGTCAGAGGCTCGTCACAGAGCCTCAGATTGCCCTGGGACTCTTAAACTTCACTTCTTTTGCACTGAACTTCGTGGTTGCCCAGTGCCAGGGAAAGGAGCAGAGAAGCATGAGCTTGTGCCAGGACAAATGCCTCTCACTGGCACAGAGTTAGCCTCCAGGTGCTTCCTACAGACCCCCGAAGTGCTGGTCAGGATGCCCAGGGACCCCCCCCCACACCCACCGTGGCCCCCATGTCACCCAGGGAGCAGGCCTCACTGCCAGCTGGCCTGTGTTGGCCCAGGGCTCAAGAGAGGGCAAGGCCAAGGAGATTGTTCGCCAGAAAACCACTTGTTAAAGGTAGCGGCAGGGAGCGCCAACTAGTGGCGGGAGCGTGTGTGACAAACCACAGAACGTGCCCCACGAGGTCACTGGCCAGTTCGAGCCTCCCGGACCTCCTGTGTGTCCATCTCTTCCACGTCCCCTGTGCCCAGCGGGAAAAGCTTGAGTCACCTCATGTTTGGGGAGTGTTTAACCACCCCACCGTGACTAAGCAGAGCAGCAGCAGGGCTAAGTGAGAAAGCCGGGGGACAGGGCCGTAGGACTCGCGTCCCTCCTCCAGGGCCTGGGTCCCACCGCACTCCAGCTGGGTCCTGGGCGCTGCACCCCAAGGATGCGCCCACTTCATGAGGGCTGGCATGGAGCTGCCAGCTGCCCAGTGTCTGGGGCAGCGAGGTGTGGTCTCATCTTTTGTCGCTGTGGCTGGTGACATCTGGTGGGTGACATGAGGGGCATCCCGGGCGCATGTGGGGAGCCTTGCTCTGGGCCCTCCAGGCCTTGGCACCTCACAGCTGACTCCCTCCTGAGGTCTCCCTCAGTGGGGGACCTGCTAGAGGCCTGGAAAGAGTTAATCCAAGTGGCCCAGACGCTCCAGCAGCTCCCCTCAGCATCAGCACCACCTCCAGGGAGCCTCCCACCCTACAGCTCCCCCAGCTGTGCCGTGGCCCCGCACAGAGGCTGGATGGCAGCTGCTGGCTCCCCTCCTTTCCTGTCTGATTCTCAGGACACCCTCAAATCCAGACACTGGGTACAGCGCCCCAGCAGCTGGACGTGGTGGCGGGGCTTGCCCTTGGTGACCCCGAAAGGGCAGTCTCCAAACTTCACTTTTTGAAGAACCTCTTTTTCTTCATTAAAAAGTCAGTCTTGCTGTCAGCTACGCCCATGTCCCCGGGAACTCAGTGCACTGTGGTGCTGGTGCATGGGCCTGGCGGGACAGGCCTGGCACTGTGGCCCTGGCACGTGTGGGCCTGGCCCCATGGCCCGAGCACCCGGAGCTGGGAGGGGACAGTGGTGCCAAGCCAGTGCTGCCCTCTGTCCACTTTGGGCAGCCACCACCATGCCCAGCTCAGTGTGTCCCCCGTGGGAAGACCTGCATGCCCAAGGGAGAAGGGACTCACCCCCCGCAGGAGGTGAGCGTGCTATAGGCTCAGGACAGAGGCAGATACTGGACTTTTACATAGTGGACCTTGGTAGATAAAATGAGGTCTCCACGTTAAGAGGGAAAATCTTTATTTTTATTTTTTTTTTAAGATTTATTTATGCATACGAGAGCTGGGGTACAGGCCAGAGGTGCAGGAGTGTGGGGGGTGGGTGTGACAGCGTTCACCAGAGACAGAGTGGGGAACAGAACAGGCAGACGGACTGAAAACACTGCTGAGGGGAGCAGCGGGGAGACAGGAGAGGTCTGCTGCGCCCTGTGGGTAGCTCCCTGGCCGGGGATGGAACTCGTGCTGCAGAGGCTGCGCACAGCTTCATAGGTTGCGTCTTAATCCCTTGCGCCACCAGGGAGGCCCAAGAGGGGAAATTTTTAAATGAAAATCAAAAATAAAATGAAGCGTCATCAGTGTGGAAAGAGTCACACTTTAGAGAGGACCCCTGGACACTTGCTGGTGGCAGGGTTTCGTGACAGGAGAGACAGGACACTGTGCTTTGCCCCCGGAGAGTGACCCAAATGTCTTTCTTCCTGGCTGCTAACAGCTAGCAAAGGGGCTGAGTTTAAATATAGGCTTCCAAAAGGAAAAGTAAACAGGGCAGGCCTCTGGGGCTCCCCAACCCGAGCCGTGCAGCCCTGGGGCACCCCACCACCCCCAGCTTCACCGGGGACCAAACCCCCCAGCCTTCAAGAGCTCTCTGTCAAAATGCAAATCTTCTTCAGGAGTGGAAACCCTCCAGCCCCGCTCGCGGTAACCAGCGGGCAGGGCCAGTCCCCCAGGCCGCGTCTCCGCCCCAGTTTCTGCCACGGCGCCAAGGGCCTTGCGTTCTGGAGAAGCGTTCTCTGAATTACTGGGCCAGGCAGCATGAAGTAGCTCTGGGCTCAGCCCTGCATCCGCCGGCAGGGGTCCAGCTGTGGCCGCGGCCGTGTGCAGGCGGGGAGGCCACCCCCACGCAGCAGGCAGGGCCAGGGCGGACAGCTCTCTCCTGGGACCCAGACAGAGTTCAGGGCACCCTTGGCCAGGCCCTCAGGATACCAGGATACGTGGCTCAATGTCCTGGACTTGAGGCCCCGAGACCAGGCAAGACAGGTGACCCAGGCTCCTGTGCCTCTGAGGTACCCGCGGGCCTTAAATAGGGGCCCTGGTGGCCTGGCCAGCCTTGCAGAGAGAGCAGAGCCGCCTCAGGGAGCCAGGAGATACGCTTGGTCGGGCCGCTGTGTCGGAGAGCAGGGGGCCAGGGCCCAGGTGGGAGGCGGGCCCCAGGGCTGGGGGCTCCTCTTCCCACAGTGCGCGGCCGAAAGCCTGGCGAGGCCCTGCGGGTGGTCGGCCGAGTGCCAGGCACCCCCCTCAGGTGGGCCCCTTAGGCCCCTTCCTGCCGGGCTGCGAGCCTGGACCCACCTGCCCAGGAGGGCGCGGCCGCAGCCAGGCGCCCCCTGAGCACCCTGGGCGGCGCTGCCCGCGTCCTAACTGTGTCTTGCCTTCTGATGCCCTTGGCTTGGAAGCGAGTGATAGACAGCCAGGCGGAGAAGCTGAAAGAGCTGGACAAGGAGATCCGCCCCTTCCGGCAGAACTGGGAGGAGGCCGACAGCATGAAGAGCAGCGTGGAGTCCCTGCAGAACCGGGTGACCGAGCTGGAGAGCGTGGACAAGACTGCGGGGCAGGCCGCCAGGAACACAGGTGAGCGGGAGCAGCGGGCAGGGCCTGCTGGTGGGCTGCTCCCGGCCGCCCGCCCTCATGTCCCCGGGGACTGCGGGACAAGCAGGAGACCCAGCACGCCAGCCGGTGGGCTTCTGCTGCCTGGAGGCCCTGGGCCGCCGGCCTCGGAGTCTTCTCAGTGTGTTGGCGGGGGAGCCCTCACGGGGACGGGAGCACTTTGTCGCCTGGGGCTGGAGGCAGCGGGCTGGCGACGCAAGATGGACAGACACTGCTCTCCCGGGCAGGGCACTGCTGCCTCAGCCTGGAGGCAGAGGTTGCGAACACAAGGGCGGCCATCCCTGCCCCTAGCAGGCTCCGGGACAGCCTGGGGTCGCGCCCTGTCCTGGTCCTGCCCCGAGGGGCCCCGGTGCCCAGGTGTGGCCGGCACAGCCCAGGACCTGAGCCCGGAGGGGCCGGGCAGCGCCGCGCTGGCCTCCCGCTCCCCGCCTGGCACCACGTGCTCCCCTGGGCTCGCCCTGGGCGGCGGCGCTGACGCGCATCCCCTCTCCCCGGCGCAGGCCTGCTGGAGTCCCAGCTGAGCCGGCACGACCAGATGCTGAGCGTGCACGACATCCGCCTGGCCGACATGGACCTGCGCTTCCAGGTGCTGGAGACCGCCAGCTACAACGGCGTGCTCATCTGGAAGATCCGCGACTACAAGCGGCGGAAGCAGGAGGCCGTCATGGGGAAGACGCTGTCCCTCTACAGCCAGCCCTTCTACACGGGCTACTTCGGCTACAAGATGTGCGCCCGCGTCTACCTGAACGGGGACGGCATGGGCAAGGGCACGCACCTGTCGCTCTTCTTCGTCATCATGCGCGGCGAGTACGACGCGCTGCTGCCCTGGCCCTTCAAGCAGAAGGTGACGCTCATGCTGATGGACCAGGGCTCCTCCCGGCGCCACCTGGGCGACGCCTTCAAGCCGGACCCCAACAGCAGCAGCTTCAAGAAGCCCACCGGGGAGATGAACATCGCCTCCGGCTGCCCGGTCTTCGTGGCCCAGACCGTGCTGGAGAACGGGACCTATATCAAAGACGACACCATCTTTATTAAAGTCATAGTGGATACTTCGGACCTGCCCGACCCCTGAGGAGCCCAGAGCGGCGCGCGCAGAAGGCAGCTCCCGGGGGCGGAGCCGTTCCCCGCCGAGGGTCCTCGCGCTCAGGGGAGGCCCGGGGGGCGGAGGAGCGGCAGACGGTGGTCACGGGCCGGCGGAGGAGCCATGCGTGAGGTCACACCTGGCACGTCTCCTAATAGACTAGCAACACTTCACTCTGGAGAATTATTTATCCTTCTGCCAGATAAATTCTGCTGTCAGAGAAGGTTTCCATTTCCATTTTCAAAGAGCTAGTTAACTAAGGTGGAAAACATAGATGCTAACCCAAAGGACCATGATTTTCTTCCTTAAATTTGAACGCCAAAAAGAAAAACACACTCACTCACATCTGGGGATAGCTGGACATGGCAGCATGTTTAGTAAAAGAAGAATTTATGAGCTGATAATGCAATTCTGATATATTCAGTGCAATCTTGTTTTAAATATAGTATATTGTCTATTTTTAAGGCCTCATCTGGTCTCTGTTTTAATAATTTGTTTGTCAGAAGACCCTGAAGTATACCTAGGTCTTTTTTGAAAGTCTCTAAATCCAAAATCATTTTTTTAATTTAAAGTTCTACAGATAACTGTTACTGCAGACATTTTATTTTAAAACGTCGATAGACTGATATTTCTTGGAAGAAAATGTAAAATATCAAACACTGGTTATCACTTGTGATAGGAAAGAAAATATTCAATCTGTTGTTATTTCTCGTTAGAAATGTAACCTTCGGCACCCGCCGCCGTCGACGACACTGCCCCACGGCCGCTGGGAGGGACGCTCTTCGATGCTGTGCATCAGCTCAGATTATAATTGTTTTCACCCTAAAATAGGGCATTAGTTGAACTTTGGAGTTCTAAACAAAACCCCGTAGGTCCCTAGGATTCTGCCCCGTGTCCAGACAGTGACAACCCGGCCTCTGGCCTCGGGCCCAGGCGGCGGGGACCTGTCTGGCCGCGAGCGTGAGCGGCGCTGCAGGCCGCGGCCTTCCGGGCCCTCGGGACGCTGCTTCTCAGCCTTGCTTTGTGTTCACTGTGCTTCCAGGTAGCTTGACCAGACTCTGCTCCCGACCCCCAGACCTTTGTCTCACCGAGGGCCTCAGCCAGCTCTGGGCCCGCTGAGGGCAGGGCCCATTGCCAGCTGCTGGGCCCCGGTTGTCACGTCGTCACGGCCCTCACGGCCCGGGGGCCCCAGAGGCCGGGCTGGGTCCTGCGCCCGCCCCAAGGTAGGTGTGGACAGGAGCTCCAGCCACCCACCCCCACCCGGGCGCAGGCCTGCCCCCAAGCAGAACCCTCCGAGCATTCCAGAGACACGCTCGGGCCCCAGCCGCTGGCCTCCAGGCCCGCCCCTCCCTGGAAGGGCGCTCGGCTGGGGCCCAGCGTGGTTCTCAACTCACTGTTTACCTTCGCCGTGGCCCAGCTGTGATTCGGAGCTGCCTCCCGTGCCCTGCTATGCACCGCGCTCCCTGGGTGCTCTTTCCACCGATGGGTGCTACACGTGACGGGTGCTTCCTCGGCTCAACCAATGCGTGTGAACCACCGCATCTGTGCCGCCCCCCAAAAGACCGCCCACGACCGGCCAGCGGGCCGCGACCGCCGACTGCTGCCTTTGGCTGCACTGGGCGGCGCCGGTGGTCCACGTGTGTCTGGTGCTCCATCTGCCCTGGGTGTGCCTTCGCCCCAGTGCCTCCTGGCAGTGCCCTCCCCGCAGCTTCCATTGTGACCACGTGCCAGGCCCCCAGTTCTGAGGCTCCATTGTCTTCATCTCGCTCCCTCCCTTTGCTCCCCGGCGGTGCTCTGAGGGCCCAGGACAGGTGAGTGTCCCCGCTCGGAGAAGGGGCTTCTGACCCGGCAGCTCCCTGAAACCCGTCACCTCCAGGGACGTCCCTGCGGCCTCCTGCCCCTTCAGCAAAGGAACTGACGGTTTGTCCAGGATGAGCAACTGCTTGGTCCAGGGAAGTGGGGCTCGTCCCCACCTGGGGCGGGGTCGCAGTGGTGGCCCCGAGGATGCACCCGTCCCTTGCAGGGCAGTTCTGCGAGTCCGGTGGGCGGGGGTGGGGGGGCGCCTGCCGACGGCCGCTGCGGCTACACTGCCCTGGCCTGGCCTCGGGGAGGCGGGCGCAACGCCGCCTTGCTTGGTGCTAGGCTGGTCCCTCCGCGGGGCCCCGGTGGCTGTGGAGGGGCAGCTGCGTGTGCGGGGCCCTTTCCTGCTGGTAGAAAAGAGACGCGACTCCCCACAGGACAGAGCTGTCCAGAACTTTAAAGAAATGGGACCCAGCCTCTTGCAGGATGAGGCCGGCCTCTTCCTCGTCCGCCTCATGCTGGAAACGGCTCCCGACGTCGCCTGCGTCCTGCCCAGGGCCCAGTTGCTGTGGGGGCGGCGGGCGGGCTGGGCCTGGGCTCCGCTGGGGAGCCCGCCCCCCCCGCCCCTCCCACCCAGAAGTCCCAACGGCCGGGAGCATGAGTCAGGGCCTTCCCACAGGGCGGGGGCCAGTGAGGGCCTGGGGCCTGGAACCAGCCTGGTCTGCAGGCGGCCAGGGTCAGACCAGGGTCCTCTCAGCCCACGTGTCGTCGTCACGTGTCAGATGAGGGTCGGGCCCCGCACGTCGGGTGCGTGGACAGGCGGGGGCATGAGGACGGCCATGCGAAGGCCCATGTCACAGGCCCCCTGGGCCTCCCCAGGCCCCTCAGCCCTGCGCCCGGAGCTGACTGGCGTCTCCCCGAGGCTGCCCGAGATCACTGTGACCCCTGGAGGACGGGACAGCCTCCCACACGGCCCCTGTCCTCAGGGCCCTCTGCCCCAGGTCTGGGGCCAGGCGTCCCAGGGGCCTTTGCGGTCAGCAGCACCCTTTACCCCGACGATGGGTGGTCACCAGGCGGGCCGGCACCCTGCAGCAGAGGCAGAGGTGAGGGGCCCCGGAAGGCCCCTGGAACGGCCGTGGGGTCCCAAGGCGGGTCCTTGGCAGCCCGAGAGGCAGGACCCAGCTCCCACAGCAGCAGCCCTGCGCGGCCGACCCCCGCCCTGCCCCCCGCACAAGCAGGGGCGGCGCTGCTGCCCTGTGGCCCCTCACAGGTGCTTCCAGCCCCCAGCACTGCCGAGACCCCCACAGCCAGGCCGGGAGCCAGGCTCCCGCGGGGCTCGCCTCCAAGTCACCCCCTCTGGTCTGGCAGCCCCGGGCCTGATCTTCACTTGGGGGCCGCCGGGGAGGGGGCCTGGGGCCTTTGCGCGCATGAGGCTCTGAGGTGAGGGAGGGGTCTGCCGCCTGAATCTGCTGCTTGATCCCAGACCGAGGACGGCCCTGTCTTCAGTTTGCAGGCCTCGGGGGTTCCGTGTCCTCCAGAGCAGACAGGCGCCAGGGCAGCCAGGGACTTAGGCCTCGGCCCATCTGTCCGGCCGCGGCTGGTTGTCACCCGTGGGTGGGGCAGGAGGGAGGCTGGGAAGCGCCGCGGCGTGGATGTGTCGGCCAAGGCGCCGTGGGGCGGCAGGGGCCGGGGCAAGAGCAGGCTCACGTCTCACCCGCCGTAGCTGCCCCACGGGCAGACTCTCCACCCCGCCCCACAGACAGCAGGTCGCCCTCACCGGAGCCCGGCCAGGGCCCGCACGCATCCTAGAGCGGTGTCTGTGATGACGGAAGCGTGAGCCCACGTAGACAATTCGTGACCTTTCTAGAACCCCGTCCCTTCTCTGTTCAGTTCTATTACCCAAAAAACAAAGACCAAAGAAGGCCAATCTCTCATTTGACTGTATTTTTAATCGCCTGTTTTCAAACTCGCCGTCTGTGGTGGCCGCTGGCCGTGAGGACCCATCTCGACTGTGCAGGTGGCCGTCACCAGTGATGTGTCCTGTGTTTCTCTGCTCTTCTAAGAAAAACAGCAAAGACAGTGTAAGTTATTGCTCAGCAATAATCACGTTGTTCATAGGCGCCAACAACACGCGTAGTTTCCTGACAGCCTCGCCCTGTTTCATATTTTGTTTACTGTGCATTGTGTGGTTTTATTTGGTATTTATTTGTGTTTTGAGGTCTTGCGATGTTTTGTGTTCTGATGCTAATAACTGAGTTTGTAAGAGTGTAGAATGCAAGCTTTGAAACGCTCACCTGTCCTAGCAGAGGGAATAAATCTGATTAAGGAGTCTTGGTTTCTTTATCGCGCTGTCTCAGGGGCTGGGGATGGCCTGGCAGCGGCCTGTGCCCCGGGGGGCCCTCCCTGCTGAGTGCCCCAGGTGGGCGGTGGTCTTGGCCACACCCCAAAGACCAGGCCTGGCTCAGCCTCTGTCGCTGCCATGGAAGCCTGAGTTTTTGTCAAGTGGCACCTGCCTGCTTGCTGTCCCCTGGGCCCTGTGCTGTGCTGTCCCCACCACGTGGCCACCTCCTCCTGCCGAGACCGGCCATGGCGGCTCCGGGGAGCAAGACAGGTGGCCCCCAGCAGGCCCCACCAGCCCTCCTGGGTCAGTGGTGGGGCCCCTTGGCTCACGGCTCAGATGGGGGAATGGCCCGCCTGCCTTTCCTCACCGGGCGGCGCTGGCCTGGGCTTGGGCAGGTGGTGCTGGCGGGGCCTGGGTCTGGTCTCAGGTTTCCGGGACGTTGGGCCGGGAGTGGGAGGCCCCCGGGGCTCTGCTCAGCCCCACCGCACCTGCCCCTGTCCCGCTGCCCAGCTGTGCCCCTTCAATCACAGCTCTGACCAGGCCTGAGAGGAGGGGCCATGAGTGGGTGGCCATGGCACAGGCGCTTGCTCAGGCCCCTACCGGCCGGGCAGAGACTTGCTCCAGGTCGCTGCGGCCTCATGGCCACCCACCATAGGTGGCCGCAGGGCAGCGGGAAGGGACAGGCCCAGAACAAGCCCCGGGGCTCCACCCAGGGCCTTGGCCATGCTGGCCCCTGCAGGGTCCCTGAGTCCTGGCACAGTTCTCCGGCCCATTCGCTGGCACCGTGTGCACATGGGGAGCCCCCACCACCCAGGGCCGCGCAGCCAGTCCCAAGAGCTGGTCCCTTCTGCGTTTTGGAGTCTTTTCCGGAGTTGTGTGGGACAGGAAGTGGCCCGGGGGCACAGGAGAGCATGCTGACCTGCTCGGCCGACGGGCACCCCCAGAGCAGCCAGACCTGCCCCAGCCACATGGCCGTCCCCGGCAGCAAGTGAGATGGGCCGGCACCCCACAGCACCCCAGGCCCTCGGGCGCGGCTCTGCCAGGGGGCGGGAGCACAGGGTCTGCCGGCTGGGCACGGGGCGGGCAGCCACAGGGAGGTGCCTCCAAGCCCAGCCAGGTGCCTCGGGCCCGCTGCTGGGCCCACTGTGGAGCAAGGCGCAGGCACTTGCTCAGGTCCCCACCAGCCGGGCAGAGACTTGCCCCGGGTGGCTGCGGCGGTGCCTCCAGAAGGCCGAGTTCACGGGGCCTGGGCTGGGCCTGCAGCCCACGGCACTGAACTGGGCTCCAGGTCCAGCAGCACCCAGCTGCTACGGGCCCGGCCAGGCTGTGCTCTTGCTGGGAAGCGTGGGCAGCAGGGATCCGGTCTCTGGACCCGGACAGCTGCGTGACCCAAATCCCGAGAGCTGTCCCCAGCCCCAGCAGCAGAGGGCCAGAGGCCTGGGCAGCACGGCCGCTGTGCGAGCCTGGGCCTCGTTCCCAGGGCCCGGGCTGCTTGGGGCCTGCACACACGTCCGCTCACAGAGGGAGACGGAGGCCGCCGCGCCTGATGCAGCAGCTCCGGCCACTTCCTCTGCCTGAGGAGACGCCTCTCCCACCGCCCACTGAGGTCCTGCTGGTTACAGAGGTGTGTGCCCCTGGCGTCCCAGGCACCTGTGCCCGCAGGAACACCGGCCTGGCCATTCGCTGCCTCACGCCTTTGCCTTGGGCCATTCAGGGGACACACCGGCTGCTCTGGACCCAGGCGGGCGCCCACCACCTGCTGGGCGTGCTCCGCTCGAGCCCTGCAGGCTCTGCTCAAGGATGCCCCTTTCAGGGGGGCGGATGGATGCCAACACCCCACAGCCACCGGCCAGCTCCCCTCCTGCCGCTGCAGTGCAGCCTGGCCTGCCGCGGCGGTGACCCCACCCACCGGCTCCGGCTCTCACCGGCCTCTTCCCAGGAGCCTCTGACTGCCCGGGTGGCACTGAGGGTCAGCACCCCCCGGTGAAGCTCGCTGCGCCCCCAGCTGTCTGCGTTGACAGAGCGGGCGGTGGGTGGTGGCGGGGAGCAGAGCAGACCCCTGGGGAGCTCCAAGGAGACCCGGTCAAGAGCTGCAAGTGCAGGGGCGGAGATGCGGCAGGCGCAGGGCGCGGCGCGGAGGCCAGAGGCAGAGAGGAGCCCAGGGAGCCCCCAAGGTGGGGTCCCTGCCACAGCCCCCCATGCACCCCTCCAATCCCGGTCCCCCTAACTCCCTTTTCACCACGCTCCCCTCCAGCCAGACCCCGCAGACACTCACCACCTGCAGGCCCTGCTGTGTCTGGCACCTCATTGACCACCGGCCCACCCCCCTGCTCCCCACCACCGTCCCGCCTGCGCCAAGCACCCCTCTCTGATTCAACCAAGCCACACCCCAGGCCCGCCCTCTGCCCCGCCCGACCGGTCCCCAAGGACACCACAGCCCGAGGGGCGCCCAGCGCCCGTGCCCACAGGCTTCCCATGCCCGCCGGGCAGCCCCTCGTCCCTTCCCTCCCGCCCTCGCCCAGCTCAGCTCCGCCTGCTCCACGGCCTCCTCCGCCTCCTGCCCCGCCCCTGCCCCGCCCCTGCCCTCCGCTGTCCACATACCTGCTGGGGCCCGCCCGCCCCGTGCCTCCTTCCCTGCCCGCTCGCCGCCCGGCGACCCCCACAGAGACCCTCCCACGCACACGGCCGCCCTCCCACGGGCTGCGCCAGCCTGGGGCACCCCACCCAGAGGTCGCTGGCCCCCCAACACTCCCATGTATGGGGCAGGCTGGTGCGCGCCCCTCCCCGGCACAAGGGCCGGCGCTGCGGGCGGGGCCGCCCCGGGTCTGGGCTAATGTGTAACCTCCAGGCCCGCGCCCCTCTGGCCTGCGCCGGGGCCGGGCAAAGTCTGCAAGAGACCGGGGCGCAGGCAGGATGGGGGCGCTGGGCCGGGGCCTGCTGTGGCTGCAGCTGTGCGGTAAGTGAGGCGGGGTGGGGCCCCACCGCGGCCCAGGGGTCCGGTCCCGGAGGCCCGTGAGAGCTGGGGTGGCTGCGAGCCCAGGCCCGGCTCCAGCCCCTCGGGTGCCCAGCGGAGCAGCCAGGGCCCCCTACGCCCCAGGTCCGCGCCCAGCCTGCCCGGGCCTCCCCCAGGGCACTGCTGACCTCCCCATCACGCCGTGGCCGGTGCGTGTCCTCAGGGGCCGCCCACCGTGGCCGGCGCTCGGAACTGCAGGCGCCCCCTCTCCAGAGCCCCTCAGCTCCCGCACGACCCTCCCTGCAGCACCACCTGGCCGTGCCTGCTGCCCCCTCACCCGGCAGGGCCTGCCGCCCCCTTCACCGCGGCCCTGCGCCACGGTCTGTGCCCGGCCCGGCCCCGGGAGGCACGTGAGCAGCTCCGCAGGCCCGCGGGCCATCCCACAGCCCGGAGCGGGGCCTGGACGCCGCGCACCCCCTGCGCCGGGCGTGGGGGCCGAGCCCCAGGCCGAGGCCCCATAGGCCTGCGTTGCCCCCTCCCAGCGCTGGCCGGGGCCGATTATAAACTCTGGGTCCCCAACACCGACTTCGACACCGCGGCCAACTGGAGCCAGAATCGGACCCCGTGCCCAGGAGCCGCCGTGGCCTTCCCTGCTGACAAGGTGCGGGCCCTGGGGCAGGGCTGGGGCGGCCGGTGGGGCCGGGGCCGCTGCCTGCTACGCTGCTCTTCCTGCAGGTGGTGTCCGTCCTGGTGCGAGGAAGTCACAGCCTTTCGGACGCGGTAGGCCCGGCGTGTGGCCCCTGTGGGTTCCAGGCCAGCACTGGTTCCGGGGTCAGGGGACTCACCCCTGGGATTCATGGGGGTGCCCAGGGGGTGCCCCCTGCCCAGCCTCTCGCCCAGACATGGGGTGTGGGACCCGGGGTCTTACTTCCACCTGGAGGCAGCTGGGTAATTGATGGCTTCAAAGCAGTTAATTCTGGGAGCCCCCAGGCTGGCAGGGCTGGGCATCCAGGGGGTCCCAGTCCTCACCTGTGACCCGGGACTCCCCATCTTGGGGCCGGGGGCATCGGGCAGAGGCTGGGATGCCCTCCCAGCATCTGTACAGCCCAAAGACGAAGATGGGGGGCGGATTGGGGGACAGGGAGGAGGCGCCCTGCCCCCACAGCTTAGGCGTAACCTTGGCAACCAGGCCTTGGCAGGAGCCCGCAGGGAGCCTGATTGCTGGCAGGTCTGGTGGGCAGAGGTGGCACAGGGAGGGGGTCGGGCAGGGCCGCTCCCCCCCAACTTCCCTACCCTGGTGATCTTCTCTTTGGCACAAGCTCCAGCTCTTGCAATGGACAGCAGTCCTTGCCCACTCTCCCCGCACCCCGGGCCCGCCGCCAAGGGGGCTTGACTCAGGGGCGTCCTCCACACCTCACCGTCCTCTGCTCTGCAACCCCTGAGAGCCGAAGTGGGAGCTGCTGGGTGCCCAGGGACTGGAAGGGGTCTGGGGTCCTGGCCCCCCCCCCCCGGTTTTGCCCCCCAACCACAGCTACACGGGGTCCCTTCCTCCACCAGCCCCAGCGGAGCGTGGACCTACAGCCGGGACAGAGCGGGCCTGGTGGGGGCCCCGGTGGGGGGCAGGGGCAGCTTGTTTGAGTCGGCGTCTCCCAGGGGTGCAGGGTCTCCTCGGGATGCTGCTCTCCCGGCTCCCCTCCCTGCTCTGTCGGCCTCTGCCCGGTTTCCCTGTTTGGGGGTTCCCTCCATCAGCCTGGCCTTGTCCTGAGAGGCCACGGTTGTCCTGGCGGGAACGCGGCTGAGCACCCTGGCCGCAGGCCCTGCCACCTGCCTCCTGCTCACGACCCGGCGTGTCCCGCCCTCCCCCTTGGCCCGGCCCAGCCAGCACCCCCGTCGCCCACGTCCTCCTCGGAACCCCCAGCCGTGCCTCCCAGTTTGTGGGTGCTGTCAGCACGGTGGATGGGGTGCATGGGGGAGTCTCAAGCACCCCTGTCCCTCTGCTCTGTCACTGGCTGCTGGGGCGTTCCGGGCCCCTCGCTCTCCGCTGACAAGGACACAGGCTCTGGCCGGCTGCCCACAGTGCGGAGGGCGGTCTGCCAGGGGGCAGCACCAAGACTGGGGCTTCCACCGGGAGCGGCCATTCTGGGCTGGCGCGTCGGGAGCACGGCCTCCCCTCCCGGCACTGCCGAGCGCCCCAGAGTCGCCAGGCAGCAAGTGGCTGCAGCCGGCCCTGGCCCTGTGGGTGTGCCCAGGCGGGGGCGACGTCAGCGGGTGTTTGGCCAAGAGCGGTTCCCCTCCTGTCAGTCCTGGCAGGTTTTCTTTCTTTCTCTTGCCTCCGGGCACGTCTGTTAAACAGGCAGGTGCCCCGGGGTGCTGGCCCCGCTCCCCGCTGGGGGAAGCTCGTCCTCTGCTCCTGGCCTGGCCTGTGGCCCACTGGCCGCAGCGCTCCGGGAAATCAGGAGCAGGTGCTGTTTCCTCCTGCGTGGCACGACGCAGTTCCTCCCCTCCCGCCTGGACAGACCATGAGGTTTTCTGAGTCTGAGCCAAACCTGCAGGCCCGGCCCCCGCCCCCTGCAGGAGAGGTGGGACCCCACAAAGGCAGGGTGCGGGGCTCCCCATCACCCCACTATGGCAGGGCGCGGGGCTCCCCGTCACCACATTCTGGTTCTGGGCACCAGACCCTCCACTGCCTTCTGCTGGAAGCCGGCACACACCCCTCCCGGCCTGCGGGTGGCCGGCCCCTCCTTCCCGCCTGCATTCTCGGGACCCGAGCCCCGAGCTCGCGTGAGTTGTTCCGAGACACCATTGGCTCCGGTCGGCTCGTGTTTGTTTAGGATATTTGCTTCCGCGCTTATGAGTAAGAGAAACCTGAACTTTTCATCTCGTGCTTCATCTGATTCTGGGATTCAAGATTTTACTGGCCTCGTAAAATGGGCGGGAAGTCTCACTTTTTACAAGAGGATTTATTGATGCTCACAAGAGCTGGGGTGCAGGTCAGAGAGGAGGTGCAGGGGGGACGCTTCACCAGAAAGAGCGGGGAGCAGAACAGGCGGGTCCACGTCTGCCGCGCCCTGTGGGCAGCTCCGGCGGGGATGGCCCCCGGCCGCAGGGGCTGCGACAGCCTGGCAGCGCCTGAGGTTCGGGCTGGCCAAGCGGGAGGGCCCAGACTTGCGCCGTGTTCTGTTTTCCAGACCAGGGACGGCGGGAACAGTGTCCGGGAGCGCCGCGGCCTCCCCTGGAAAGCCCTTGGCCTGGGGACTGGGAAACAGGGCACTGGCCTTTGCAATGACTTGTTGCCCGTCGGTCGATTCAAACTTTCTGCTGCTGCTGGTGTCCATTTCGACATTTTAAAACTTCCAGGGGACCGGGAGCGCACCAGGGTTTCCGGCTTCGCGATGGGCGCCGGGTCCTGCTCCCCCGTCCTCGCTCGGGCCGCGGGCCTCGGGGTGCGCCACGGCCGGGCTGTCCTCGAGTCTCTGCGCCAGGAGGACGCCGACGCCCTCACCCGCGGCTCGGGATCCCCCGACCCCACCTCCCCCCGCGAGGCGCGGCGCAGGCCTGGGGTGCAGATCCTCCCGGCTCCCAGGCTTGAGGGGGGCATTGCCGTCACCGCCCGCCCCGGGCGCCTGGGGGCGGCGCCTGGGGCGTAACTTCCCGGCCGGAACGTTCTCCTGGACACGCCGCCGCCGCCCGGGGTGCGGGCCGCGTCCTGCCCAGCGCCCGCCCGGGGCCAGAGCCCGATCTCCGCGCCCCGGCCCGCGGGGGCTGCGTCCTCCCGCCGCCGCCCGTGCTCTTCCCTTCGGCTGTCCCGGGACCGCGGCCCGCCGGGCTGTGCCCCCGCCAGGGCTGTGCCCCCCCCCCGCTCCTGAGGCGCCCCCCGCTCCCGGGCTGTGCCCCCCGGCTCCTGAGGCGCCCCCCGCCAGGGCTGTGCCCCACCCCCGCTCCCGAGGCGCCCCCAGGCCAGGGCTGTGTCCCCCCGTTCCTGAGGCGCCCCCTGGCTCCTGAGGCGCCCCCCGCCAGGGCTGTGCACCCCCCGGCTCCTGAGGCGCCCCCCGGCCAGGGCTGTGCCCCCCGGCTCCTGAGGCGCCCCCCGCCAGGGCTGTGCCCCACCCCCGCTCCCGAGGCGCCCCCAGGCCAGGGCTGTGTCCCCCGGTTCCTGAGGCGCCCCCTGGCTCCTGAGGCGCCCCCCGCCAGGGCTGTGCACCCCCCGGCTCCTGAGGCGCCCCCCGGCCAGGGCTGTGCCCCCCGGCTCCTGAGGCGCCCCCCAGCTCCCGGGCTGTGCCCCCGGCTCCCGAGGCGTCCCCCGGCCAGGGCTGTGCCCGCCCCCCGGCTCCCGAGGCGCCCCCCCCCGCCAGGGCTGTGCCCCCCCCCGGCTCCCGAGGCGCCCCCCCCCCGGCTCCCGAGGCGCCCCCCGGCCAGGGCTGTGCCCCCACCCCGCTCCTGAGGCGCCCCCCGGCCAGGGCTGTGCCCCCACCCCGCTCCCGAGGCGCCCCCCGGCCAGGGCTGTGCCCCCCACCCCGCTCCCGAGGCGCCCCCCGGCCAGGGCTGTGCCCCCCACCCCGCTCCCGAGGCGCCCCCCGGCCAGGGCTGCGCGCGGGGGCGGGCCGCGTCCTGGCCGCTCCCGGGGTGCGGCCTCACGTCCCGCCCGCCTTCCCGCAGCGCCTGCCCCTGGACGCGGAGCTCGTGCTGGCCCCGGGCGCGGGGTTCAGCGCCGCGGACGCCGGCTCGCACCCCGACTGCAGCGCAGGTGAGGGGGGCCCCGGGCGGGCCGGCGGGCGGGCGGGCGGGCGGGCGGGGCCGGACACCAAGCCCCGCCCGCCTAGGTGCGCCCGCGCTCTTCCTCGACCCCGACCGCTTCTCGTGGCACGACCCGCACCTGTGGCGCGCCGGGGCCGCGGCGCCCGGGCTCTTCTCCGTGGACGCCGAGCGCGTGCCCTGCCGCCACGACCACGTGGTCTTCCCGCCCGACGCCTCCTTCCGGGTGGGGCTGGGCCCGGGCGCGAGCGCAGTGCGCGTGCGCAGCGTCACGGTGCTGGGCCAGGTGAGCCGCGGGGCGGGCCCTGGTTGGGCGGCGGGGTGGGCGGGGCGGGCCCTGGTTGGGGGGCGGGCCCTGGTTGGGCGGGCGGGGTGAGCCCTGGTTGGGCGGGCCGGGCGGGGTGGGCGGGGCGGGCCCTGGTTGGGCGGGCGGGGTGAGCCCTGGTTGGGCGGGCGGGGTGGGCGGGGCGGGCCCTGGTTGGGGGGGCGGGGCGGGCCCTGGTTGGGCGGACGGGGCGGGCGGGGCGGGCGGGGCGGGCCCTGGGGCTCCGGCACGCGCTCCCCTGCTCACCTGCTCACCTGCTCACCTACTGCTCGGGCTGTCCCGGGCGCTGCCGCCGCAGACCTTCGAGCGCGAGGACGACCTGGCGGCCTTCCTGGCGTCCCGCGCCGGCCGCCTGCGCTTCCACGGCCCGGGCGCGCTGCGCGTGGTCCCCGAGGCCTGCGCGGACCCGTCGGGCTGCGTCTGCGGCAACGCCCAGGTGAGCCGGGCGGGGCGGGGCGGGGCGGGGCGGGGCGGGGCGCGCCGCGGGCGGGGGGCGCCGCGGCCCGCGTGACCCGCTGCCCCCGCAGGCGCTGCCCTGGATCTGCGCGGCCCTGCTCCGGCCCCGCGGCGGCCGCTGCCCCGCCGCCGCCTGCCGCGACGCCCTGCGGCCCGCGGGCCAGTGCTGCGACCTCTGCGGTGAGCGCCCGCCCGGCCGGCCGGGGCCCGGGGCCGGCGCGCGCTGACCGGCTCTCCGCAGGGGCCATCGTGTCGCTGACGCACGACGCCACCTTCGACCTGGAGCGGTACCGGGCGCGGCTGCGGCGCGACTTCCTGGCCCAGGTGCCGCCCCCGCCCCGCCCCGCCCCGCCCGCCGCCCGCCCCGGCCCCCCGCGGCCGCCGCTCACCTGCCTCCCCCCAGCCCCAGTACCAGGGGCTGCAGGTGGCCGTGTCCAAGGTGCCGCGCTCGCCGGGGGCCCGCGAGCCCGCCGGCCCGGAGCCCGCCACGGAGATCCAGGTGGTGCTGCTGGAGACCCGGCCCGCGGCGGGCGGCGCGAGGCGCCTGGCCCGGGCGCTGCTGGCGGACGTCGCGGAGCAGGGTACCGCCGCCCGCCCCCGCGCCGCCCCCGCGCCGCCCCCGCGCCGCGCCCGCTGACCCCGCGCCCTCGTTGCAGGCCGGGCCCTCGGGCTGCTGTCGGCCGCCGCCCGGGAGTCGGGCGCGCCCGTCGGGGGCGGCTCCGCGGCGGGACTGGACGGGCGGGGGCCGAGCGCCGCGCTCGTGGGCGGCCTGGCGGCGGCGCTGCTGCTGGCGCTGCCGGCCGGGGCGCTGCTGCTGCTGCTGCTGCTGCGCCGCGCGCGGGGGCTCAGGTACGAGGGGGCTCGGGGATGCCGTGCGCTGGGGGCATGTAGGGGCATTGCAGGTGCGCGCTGGGACTCGGTGTGCGGGGCTCGGTGACGCGAATGGGAGGGCGTCGTGGTGTGCAAGCCCCGCAGCCTTCACGCACCTGGCTGCCCCCAGGTGGAGGCGGGATGAGGCCAGCCCAGACCCACCCCTGGGGTTCCACAACCCCGTGTTCGAGGTGGCCAGCTCCTGGGGACTGGTGAGTGGGCAGCAGGAGTGGGGGTGCTGGGGCCTTTCCGGGGCAGGGCAGGTGCGTGACCCCGGGACTCTGCATCCCACAGCCCCCGGAGCCGGTGGACACCAGGAGCACCAGCCAGAGCTGCTTCGTTAACCCGTTATTCGAGGGCACAGAGGCCGAGGCCTAGCAGTGTGACCAACCCACCCGCCCCTGCTCCTCCCTGTCAGGGAGGGGAGCCGTGGAACCCAATAAAGGCGTTTCCTGCACTGTCTGGTGGTCGTGGACACCCCCTCTCCCCTGCCCCTTCGCCGGCCCTGAGGGGCACATAGCTGGAGCATGGGCCAGGGTCCTCAGAGCCTGTCTAGCAGGCGCTCCTGGGCCTGCCCGGGCGCCTCCTGTTAGCAGTCGATGCTAATTACTAGGCCAAACGTGTTCCAAGACCGGCAGTGGCTGTTCGCCCCGCCCTGCGCTTACTCAAGGAGCTCTTGTTACCCGTTACGCACACGCTTCCGGAGGGAGCGGACTGACCCACCCTGGGGTTCCGGCTCGCTCCAGCCGGAACGGTCTTAGCTGCTGCTCTGGGCCATGGCGGCGTCCCCATGCCCACGGTGCCCAGGCTGGTCTTAGACTGGCTCCCGGTCACCCCCCTGTCCACAGGCCCTGGCTCGCCTGGTTTCAGCCCTGGAGGTCGAGGGGGACACTGTCTTTAGGGGAAACATCCAAGAGGCAGCAAGACGGGGTGCGTGTTGCCACTTGGTTTGCGGCGTTTTTATGACGTGCCCCCACTTGGGTTGACGACTGGCTTTCCGGGGCCTTCCTGCTGTCAGGTGCTGCTGTTCTGTGGGTGTGTTGGGGTCACTCAGGCTGCGGTGGGGCGGCGGGCCTGGCTTGCTTTCCGGGTCAGCTGCTCGAGGCCCTCGGCCGCCCGGTCGTGATGTGGCGTCCGCCACGTCCAGTGGGATTTCTCGCTCTTACACCGGGCCCGCCAGTGTCTCTTCCCACTCAGTGGCGGCGAGTCTTGGTTTTCCCGCGAGGCGTTTCCGCCTCAGGCCTGAGCGAGTGTTTCGGCAGAGGCCCCGCAGCCTCCCGGGCGCCCACTCTGCTTTGGAGCCTTTCCTGTGTCAGCAGGTGTCGACAGCGCAGTGAGGTCTTGGGCTGCGCATCTGGATTTGTTTGCTCAGGGCTCTCGGGCCTCTGGAATCAAGTATCTGTGTCCTTTTCCCAAAGGTGAGAGGAATTCTTGGCTATTATTTATTTCTATCATTTTTTCTACCCCTTTCTCTTTCCATCCCCTTCAGGGACCTCTGGGGCGCGGACAGCTCTCCCCGTCGTCCCAGAAGAGCCGTTTTTGTTTTCTCGCGCGTGGCCTGCGCGCGTCTCGGCCCTCGCGGCCGGCCCTGCGTGTCAGCCGGGCGGCAGGGCTCCTGTGCGCCGCGGTCCGTGCTCGGCGCCACCTTGCGGGTCAGTCGCTTTCCGTATCTCCAGAGGCACAGCCGCGGCTGCCGTCGCGGGCTCCCTCCGGTAAAGGGCATCGTCGCGCTGCATCCTGATCTTTTCCAAGGTTTTTCATCCCAGCCCCTGTGGCCTCCCTCCCCCTTCGTTTTCAAGGTTCGTGGCTAGAAGCGAAGGCTCTTTCCTCCTCTTGGTGCCTGGTTTTGCGCCGAGACGGCGTCTGGCCTGCCGGGGCCCTGGTGTCTGCGCGCTGTGCTGACTGGGGGGCGCCAGTGCTGGGGCAGCGGCTGGGGCCGGGGTGGGACGGCTGCGGGGCCCTTATCGAGCTGCGGGGCTTTAGCGGAGGGGGTCTGAGCCCAGAACGGCTCCTCAGGCTGAGCTTCCCCCAGGCCTCGGACTGCCCCACAGCAGGGGCTCAGCCCTGGTTTTCAGGGTGGGGCCGGAGAAAAGTGACGGGGAGCCGCGGGCTCGCACAGAGAGGCCCCCGGCCCGACGGCAATCACAGCGGAGGAGGGGCAGCTGTGTCTTGGCACTCGGCCTCCCTGCTGCCCGCCCTCGGGGCGGTGGCCCTGGGAAGGGGCCTCGGCTGGGATAGCGCTTGGACGGGCCTGTGCGCGGGGGCTTCCACACCTCAAGCCTCCCGCGCAGCGCAAGCTTGTTCCCAGGGCTCAGGCCCCTGACGCTCTGACCAGAGGTAGCAGGCGCAGGTGGAGGTTGTCCCGGCAGTGCCCTGGGCGGGGCCGACAGGGGCTGTCCCGACACCACAGCCAGTGGAGAGAGAAAGCTCCCCAGTGTGGAGACACAGGGCCCCCACCATCCAGTTCCTTGCTCAGCCCATCTGGGCCTTGGCCTCAGTGGACAGTCACCCTGTGGGGCTTCACTGTCCGTCCCATTCGAGTCCATTTCCCATGTCTGGCTCTGCCCCCACCCCACACAGGCTGGTGGCTAGAAGTCCCTGAATGCGTGAGCCCTTCAGCCCTGCAAAGTGGTCCCATGGTGGCGACCGTCTCCACCCCCAGACAGTACCCACGGACATCCCCAGTCAGGGTGCAGCCCTGCCTTCCCACTCTGGTGTGGCGCCAGGTGTGGGCCAGGCCTGCTTCCATGGGGTTTTGAGGGCATGTCTGCCCCCCATGGAGCCTCACTGGCCCCTGGCAGCCTGTGTGTCCCTGGGCCGCATGGGGGGTGTGCGGCTGGCCCTGCGGGGGGTGGTCCCTGTCAGCACCTCACTTCAGGCTGATAGGGCGCAGGGATCAGGTAGTGGCTTTTAAACCAGCAGCATGGTGCTGAGGGTGCAGCCTTGAGTGCGGATGTGTGCCCGGAACAGCTGCGGTGCCCTCTGGGGAGATGGGCAGGGGTGCTGCCAGGGCTGGGGGCCGCGCTCTGGCAGGAAATAGGCTTGGCCTGCACAGCCCCAGCAGATGCGCCGCCTCGGGAGCCTCCTGGCCACAAGCCCCGCTGACTCAGGGCGTGTGGGGTTCTTGGTCTCTAGGGTACAGCTCCCAAGGGTCAGGTGCCTGATGGGGGTCAAGCTTCCTACCTGTGAGGCAACAGTGGGCAGTGCCAGGGGTCCCGCCCACTCTCAGCCGTGGGGGTCAACTCGTGGGAGGGCTGCCCTGGGGTGGCGGTCCCCGCAGGGCTGGCTGTGGGTGCACCACCGGGTGCACCGGCTCTTCCCCACACCCCGGCTGAGCTTCCCTTCTTCGCTTTATAGACCTTCAGGGGGTGCCAAGTGCTCCTACGACGGGCAGAGTCACCGTGTGCCCCACAGCCAGGCCTGGGCCGTGTTCTGGGTGCAGGGCCCCTGGGGGCGGCAGGGAACAGGTTCCTCGAGGGGAACCACGCCACCAGGCCCTCTAGCGTCAGCCCGCGGAGCGCTGGGGGAGTGAGGCTGTGCCGGCCCTTTGGGGTGCGGGCCAAGCTGGCGGCGTTTTGGGGTCGCAGCTAGTATGTGGTCAGGCAGGCTGGCGGTACTTGGCTTAGGTGTAGCTTTCCACAGCCTGGCTGAGACCCACCTTCGTCTTTGGGCCTCCTCGGCACGTCAGCCGGACAGCGCCCACGCGGCCACAATCCTAATGACTCCTGATGGCCCAGTGAAACTCCCCTGCGGCTCCGCGGCCTCGATGCGGCTCCCCGCGGGGCGACACGCACGGCACGGTCTCTACAGACGCGCCCCCGCACTGCTGTCCTGCGGCCGGGACGGCACGCGTCTCATTGGGCGGACGCGGCCTCGAGGGCTGAGGCCGTGTTGTGGCGATGGGTGGTGGGGCCTGTTGGCCGCCCTTCCCGACGTCTCGCTGAGAGGGAGGAGGGGGTATGCCCGGGCAGGCGGCCCCGAAGCAGCACCCAGACAGCAGCTCCTGTCTGCGGGCGGCCTCCTGGCTTCTCGAGCGCGGCCCTCAGGACAGTCACAGGACGGAGAATGTGGGTGTCCAACCGGCCGCCCCCGCCTCTTCCACCCTCTCCCACCCAGCGCTGGGCACCCGGGCAGGCACCCTGCTCCCAACCGAGGCTGAGCCCCACTGCTCCTGGGGGGCGGATGGAGCACAGACCCCCTGCCCACACTGGCCCCCCCACCCTCACGGCGCCGGGCCGCCTGGGCAGTGAGGTCTCCGCCGTGCAGACTGGCTCCGGCCTCGTGGACACGGGCCCTTCTGCTCGGCCCCCGACGCGGACTGGACGTCACGGTGGGAGCCGGCCTGCATGCAGACGGCCGTCTGCGCCCACGGGGGTTCCCAGGATGGGCACCACGTTCAGACAAGCCACCGAGACCCTCAGGCTGCTGTCTCCGCTTTACTGACAGGGAAGTGGCTCACATGTCCTCACGCCTCAGTAATTACAGACTCAGACTGACAGTAGAAAGTGAAACCCAGGGCCCCGCGGAAGGCCTGGCCTCAGCAGTGCAGCCAGGGCGCTGGCAGGGAGGCGGCGCAGCTGCCCTGGGCCAAGGGCATGCTCCGTCCGCCGGCCAGTCATACAGAGCTTTTGGCGTGACGGGCTGGATGTGGGGTACGGGGCCCAGCCAGGCTCCACGCAGAGTGAGGCGGGTGCAGCGTCCTGGGGCTCCAGCCTCGTCAACCGGCGGGCCTCGGAAGGCTACAGAGGACCCTGGGTGCGAGTGGGCGCTGCTGGCTTCAAGGTAGCGGCGGCAGCGCCCCGGCTGTGGCTGGGACGACACACGAGGACTGGCAGGCTGCCTGCAGCTGACGGGGGTGGCTGCATGGACAGGAAGACCACAAACTAACCCCCACTTTCTTGTCTACAAGACTCCAGCGACCCTGGGAATGACCCACGACTCCCCACCACCCTCCCAAGGCCCTGGCGCTGGGGCCCATGTGCTGAGGCCGTGCCGGGTGTCACTCCCTGAGCGCGTGGGGGCCCTTCATGTGCAAATGAGTGACTGTCTGCGGCATAAGACCCATCATTATAATAATAAAAGATTTTTCTTTGTCTTCATATCTACAAATCGATTCTACATTTCCTCGGACCACGCTGGAAGAGAGCTCGGTCTTGGCACTGACGTGGGGCCGACCGCGCTGCTCCCCGGCCCACGGCGGGCGGCCAGGCTTCAGGCGTCGTACTCTGGTGGCTCCAGGCCTTCGAGGGGGAGCTGGCTCCGGTGGGGGGAGTTGGGGCTGGGCGGGCCGCTGGGGTTGGAGCTGTTGGAGGGGGTCGAGTGTTTGGTGGAGTCGGAGTCAGGCTGTCAACACAAGAAGGCCGCGTAAGCACCGCTGCCCCGGGCCGGGCACCGTGTCGGCGCGGGGCAGGGGGCGCCGCTCGCGCCTTTCTCGGCACGAGACCGGTCACGCTCTGCACGCGTCTGCACGCGTCTGCGCCCGCGCCGGCTGGGGAGAGCCCCGCCCCCTCCTGGGGGCCGACGGAGGCAGCGCCCGGCAGTCGCCACCGAGGTGACGTCGTGGTAAAGCAGAAACGGGGGACCCCGGGCCGCAGAGCACCTGGGAAAGGCCCGTGGGGCTTCCCCTAAAGAGCGGCCCGAGGCGCCGGCCCCCCCCCCCATGCCAGCGCACACGGACGGGCACCCCACGCGAGCCGCAGGCGAGGACAGGGCAGCCAGCTCAGACGGCGCCACATGGAGACGAGCGCAACCTGCTCCCAGGGGCGGGCGGACTCGGCGCCCCCCGCGGCATCACCAGCGCCGGGGGTTGAAAGCTGTGCTGACTGAGGATGCGCCCTGGGCACGCGGCTTGGGGAACCGCAGGGCACCGGGGGCCGTGGACCGTGGCTCGCTGTCCCCTAGCTGTGCCCACAGGTGTCAGAGGAAGTGGGGCGCTTCCACGCCACCACTCGTGCGACTGCTGGGGCTTGAAAAATTTCAGAACAGCCGGGTGAGGAGAAGAAAGCAAAGAGGGAGAACAAAGACCTTCAAAAGCATGACCTCAGCGGTCACAGGACGGGTCTCGGGACCTTCCAGAAAAGGAAGCCCTGCACCAGGCAGCCGCCAACCAACTCGCGGGCTGGGGTGAGGCGTGAGGGCACAGGCCAGCCCCAGACACGGAGGCGGCGCCGTCCGTGGGATCCACCCGTGGGCGTGAGAGGGGCCGGGTAGAGAAGCGCCTCTTCAGCCAGGTGAGAGGTGCCCGCAGAAAGGACCACGTCCGTCTCACGATCCCGGCCGGTGGCAGGACTGTGACGTCACAAAGGGAGCCCCACCACGTGCGGGGGTGACGCCCCAGACATGCCACCCATACACCAGGATCAAACAAGCACAAAGCCAGCCACTGAACACCAGAACCAGCGGAGCGCGGGGGGGCTGGACCCAGAACATTCCAACACCAGCTGCGGGGGCACCAGCCGCAGCCGCCGGAAATGTAAAAGAAGCGCGTCCCAGACACACGGCAGCGCATGAGCCCCACGTGACCCAGGAGGGGCCCGTCAAGCAGGGAGAGGCCCAATGTCCTCCCAGGAAAGGTCACGGTGGCGGACACCCTGACATCACCTCCGAGCTCGCGTAACCTTGGTGAAATACAAGCCCTGCGTCTACTCCTCCGTCACGCTGCCCAAGCCGGCTGCGGGACTGATTAGAAGAAGAAAATGAAACACTGCAAAGAAACTGCCGAAGGGGGACCCTGCTCCACCCGCAAGCATGGGTGGCCCTCGCCCTGCACGGCCGAGCGAGCGCCCGCGGAGCCAGCTCAGTGTGGCAGACGCCCTTCCAGGTGGAGGACGAGACGGCGAGGCGGACACCGGGAAGGTACCTGCGAGAGCAGCTCGGGGATTCCCGCAAGCAGCAAGAAGGCAGGGGTGGCCCGCAGACCGGTGACTTGGGCAGGGGCGGCCGCCGGCCTGGAGAGATGGCCCAGGGCATTGACCTGGCTGCAGGCTGCAGTCCGGGTGGGCGGAGGGTGCCTGCCCCCACCGAGAGCTTGCTGCCTGTGCTGACCCCAGGCAGAAGCAGGCCCACCCCACCTCAGAGGGGAAACCGAGGCACAGAGGGGCGCACCCCCAAGTGCATAAGGACGTGGTGAACTGGAGCAGGGCCTGGAACAGGCTAAGAACAGCCCGAGCAGGGGGCAGCCGCCCACGTCTCTGAACCCAAATGGTGGGCAGAGGACAGGGAGGGGGGCCAGTGGGGCCAGCGGCTCCCCATGACAGCCGAGGCCGGCTGTGCCGGACAAAGACCACAGCTACGTGTTCGTACAGCGAGGGGCAAGGTCTAGAAGTGGGCTGCATGTCACAGGAAGGCCTTCCCTGCCCAGTCCACGCCCCTCAACAGCACCTGGCGGGGAGGGGGAGCTGCAAGGAGGCCCCAGAGTGGGGCCCCTCACCTTTCTCCTGCGGGGTCAGGGTCCGAGAGCCCATCGCGTCGTCCCCCTCTGCACACCCCACAGGGTCCTGGGGGCGCTACAGGGCAGAGGACCCCCAGGCGTGTGGCGCGGGGCCACCGGTGGCCAGGCGGGTGCCCGGCAGCGGGTCATACCTCTTTGTCCAGGTCCTGGTCGGGGTCCGACATGCTTCTCAGAGGCATGGCCACACCGGGCTCCGGCCCACCTAGGGAAGCAGACGGCCGTCGTCTCAGGGAGCTGAATGAAAGGGGGGCCCAGCACCCCAGGCCCCACCCTGGCGCCCACATACCTGCAGAGGGCCAGGAGATGTAGGGCTTGCTCCGGGATGGGGGCTGGCGGGACAGGCTGGTGGGGGCCGGGCCGGGCCTCTCCTCCTGGGCGGGGGGCGCAGCGCTCTGGGGGACACCCACAAGTGAGCAGCTCGGGCACCCGGCTAGGAGCGCAGGCAGACCCCAGTCTGCACCCCAGGCCCCCGTCTGGGCAGCAGTCCCCGGCCAGTTTTGAGCTAAGAGTCAGCACGAGCAATTTCAGCCCTACTGGAATCCCACGGCAAGCTCTGGGCGAACAGGAAGAAACTGTCGCCTGCTCTTAGGAACGAGCTAGTCGGACATGGCTGCCGACAGCGGATGTGAGGAGCCCAGGAGAAGTGGCGCGGGCGGAGCAGCCCGGGAGGCGCAGGCCCAGGGGCAGCTGGCCCGCAGGGTGGCGGCAGCGGGGACAGCGCGCTCACCAGAGGCAGGTCCATGAGCACCTGCATCCCGTCGCCCGGGCCCATGTGGGCCACGTGGTTGAAGTTGGTGGGGTTGGAGATCATCTTGGACCTCAGTTCCGGGTCTCTAAGCATCTCCCTGGGGAGAGAAGACACCGAGGTCACCCGGCATGGCCCAGCCCCTGCCCCACGCAGCCCGCCCCCGCCCCGCCCCGCTCACCGCCGCTGCTGCAGCCTCTCCTCCTCCGGCACCTTGAAGACGAAGCGCCGCTTGCTCCGGGTCCGCAGCATCTGCTTCTTGCTGTTGTCTGAGGTGTCGGGCACGTTGAGCGCCACTCCTGCGGGGACGGGCAGCCAGTGACGCAGCCCGGGGTGGCAGCGCAGGCCCCGCCGCGGACCCAGCCCCCCGGCTCACCCGAGAACGCGCTCCGAAAGTAGATGAGGCGCGGGGGCTCACAGCCCAGCAGGTTGAGGGTGCCTTCCGCGTTCAGCGGGCGGATCTGTGGGGAGCCGGGGCGCACGTCGCTGAGCACCCGCGGCACTGGCAGGGGGGGGAGGGGGGGCGCCACTCGGCCCGGCCTTACCCTACGCAGGCCGATGGTCTGCACCCACTCGGCGGTGCAGGCGTCGAAGACGTCCACGCCATACTCGCTGTACACCGTGACGTGTGAGGGGCTGCAACCTGGCGGCGGGCGGAGTGTCAGCACCTGCCCCCGCGGCCCAGGCGCCGCGCGGCTGCTGAAGGCCTTTCTGGGGAGCAGCTGGACGGGTGGGGCAGGTTTTCGAGACCAGACGCGGGAGCGCATGATCACAGGCGCTGCTGCCCAGGCAAACTCGGGGACAGCATCTGGTCTCGGCAAACACTTAAAACCCCAACACAAACTGGGCGCGGCTCCGCCCACCCCGCAGCAGGCAGACACCCGCGCCTGCTCGAGCTGGCCCTCTCTGGTGCCCTCAGCCCTCGGTGACCACACGTGCAGGGAGGCTGGGTCTGCGCCTCTGGTTGGAACAGCCATTGGGGCGTAGCAGCCGGCCCACCTTCAAGACCTCAGGCCAGGCCGTGGCAGCGGGAGCTGGAAGCTCCAGGCCTCAGTGGGAAGACCCTGCGCGCCCCTGGCCTAGGCTGATCCTCCTGAGCGGGCCGGGCTGCATCACAGGGTGCAGATGCGAGCGGCTCAGCCCGGCTCTGGGTGGCCCCACCCTCCCGGGCCCAAGGTGCACCCTCGTTCCCAGGGAGGTTCAGATTGCTGACCGCACGGCCAGCCCTTGCTTTTGAATAAAAAACAAAACAGGGTCCAGGAAGTAGACGGCAAGTGCCGACCCAGTCACCAGACGCCTGAAAGTGACGTGCGGGAGGCACCCTGTGGGAATGCCGCCCCTGCCCAGCAGGCTTGCGTGAACGCAGGGTGCCTCAGCTGGGGCTCCCTTGGGCATGTGGGCAAAGCTGGGAAACCGGCTGGCAGGGCAGGCGGGTGTCCACTGCGGGGTGGTGGGAGCCCGGGTGCAGCTCTGCCCGCAACCGCCTGGTGCCCTGGAGGGCCCAGGAGGGCTGCGGACCCACCGCCCACACGCAGGCTCCAGGGGCTCTGCGGCTCCAACTTCACTGGGCAGCAGCTGCCTCCCAGCAGCTTGAACGGCTCGTGATGCTTGGGGTAAGGGCAGGAGCTGGGCTCAGTGCACGGACAGCGGCCACCAACCTGGCCACGGCCACCAACACCTCGCACTCACAACCTGTATCCTCGTCACGGGGGCGATGCCCGGCACACGGGGATGCTGTGGCTCCGAAGCTGCCCCGTGCCGGCAGGACACATGGAGGAGTGCAGGGTGGGCACCCTGTGCCCCTGCCACCTCACCTGTGTGCCCCTCACAGGCCGCCCTCGGCCCACCTGTGCCCCCGCCCTGTGCAGCCCATCCGCCTGCCAGCGGGTGGGCTTTGAGGACCGGGGTCTACTGCGAGCCACCGGGAGCCGCCGCCTGGGCCTTGCTCACTGAGCTCTAAGGACTGACCTGGACTTCAGAGCCCAGTTTTTCCGGCCACTGAAACCTCGAGATGGGTTTCTATAAGTGGGAATGTACAGATGAGGTGGGGGTCTCTCCGGCAGTGCCCTCTGCCCAGGGAGGCTGGGGTACCTGGGTACCTGGGCCCACCCGTGGCCACCGCCACCGTGGCCCGGCCACCGGCGGGCTGACCCCACACCTCCCACAGAAAGCCAGGGAGCCTGCCCTGAGGACGTGGCAGGGACGGAGGCCACCCCAGTGCAGTGGGGCGCAGTGGACGTGGGGCGGCAGCGCAACGGATACATACTGCAGGCGACGGGCACCGCGGGCCACATGAGCTCCTGCACGCGCGCCCTGCGGCCCTGTGGGTCCACATACAGCCCCATGTGGCTGAAGCACAGCAGGAACTCGTCACTGTGGAGAGGCACGGCACAGAGGGCATCAAAGGGCTGCTGTGCGAGGAAGCTGAGCGAGGGGTCGGCGGCATTCACCAGGCTCAGGGCCTGCCCATCGCCCTGGGGGCTCAAGAGTGAGAACCCAGAGGGGTAGCCGACACAGAGCTTGTCCTGCACCGCAGCCATCCACTGCACATTGCCGGGGGCCATGAGCTCGTTGAACTTGCGGTGGAAAGGCCTAGTTCTCTGCAGCTCATAGCACAGGATCAGCCGCTTCACGGCCACAAACAGGCAGGTGGACGGGCTCTGCTTCAGGGTGGCAGTGGTGATGAGCTGGCAGCCCTTGGTCTCTGGAAGCTTGACATCAACGTTGCTCTCTATCCCGTCAAAGCAAGACCACGGGCAGAGGTGGACGTGGTGGTTGCGACCGCAGCGGAGGATGGCGACTTTCTCTTTGGGTGCGAGCTCGATCTGGGACACTTTCTTGTAGTCAGCGGCGCGGATGATTACTGCAGGACAGAGAGGGGCGCGTCAGCCTCGCCCAGCAGCTAGCTGGCCAGCCCGCGGCTCCCTCCCCAGCCTCCTCTGAGCAGGCCCCGACCACCAGCCTCCCAGCCTGGGACGCACAGGCAGGGCCTCGCTCAGCAACTACCCCCGGCACTGCCCAGGCCGGTGAGGCTCTGTGGGGTGGGTGTGGACCCCTCGTGGCTCATCCTTTACCCCAACCACCCTTGGGTTGCATTTGGGGAAAAGGACCATGTCCACCCTCACTGGCGCCCCCCCACCCTGCCTCCATGGGGCTCTGACACACGGGCCCGTCAGCCAGGGAGGCGCAGGGCCTAGGGCCACGCCGAGAGTCCTTTCCATTTTCAGAGGCAGCCAGGATGGGAGGCCACGTGGAGGTCGGTCGCCTACACTGGCTGGAAGCGTAGCCTCAGCAGATGCAGGAGTAGAGATGCACAGCTCTGCCCGGGCCACCCCCTTCCCGGCCTTCCAGACCCCTCCTGGAGGGCAGCACGGAGTGCGGGCCTCCCGGCCACTGATTGCCGAAGTGGCCAGGCTCAGAGCATCCGAGGGCATGCCTCGTGTGCCTTGCTGCGCTCTCAGTGTGTGCTACCCTCGCCTACGTCCTGGGGCGGGCGCTGAACTGCACCCCGCTGGGCTCCCGCTGCTACCCCCGCTTACCGTCGTGGGCCAGCTCGATGACGTACAGCCCTTCTTCCAAGCCCAGCGCGATCCTGTCCCCATCTACAGGGCAGAATGGGTGTGAGCGTGTCAGGGCAGTGGGCAGCTGATGGCTCCAGCAGGCGGCCCCCAATGCCTGGAAGTCCCGCCCCCGGCTGCGTACCCAGGACGGCGGCTGCCACCACAGCCTTGATGAGGGGCAACGAGCTGTCGTAGGCCTCCTGCGGCACGTGCACCACCTGGCCACGCAGCTGGTTCTTGTGCAGGATGGACTGCAGCCCCTCTAGGATGCCCACCCACTTCCTCTTCTCATTCTCATTCTCCGTCAGAATGAGCAGTGAGCTGGTCTTAGAAGGGCTACCTAAGAGAGAGGCTGTCACCTTCAGGACAGAACAGGACAGACAGAAACAAGAGCCATTAGATGCAGGCCCCGGCGGGCAGCACCGCGCCCCGAGAGGCCGCCTGCCGCGCAGTGCAGGCAGGTGGGCAGTGGCGGCCATCAGGTCTGGGTCCCGGCTCCCGGAGCCACAGCCCCTTGCTGCTGGAGCTCGGCCAGCCCTGACCTTGCCCATACTTTAGCCCACGCTAAAGCCACTTGCTCCAACGCCCTCACTAAAAGATTCTCAGCCCATGTCCCGGGAAAACAGGCTCAACAGCACGGGGCGGCCGAGCCCCGCCCCAGGAGCCCAGGGCACCAACCCGCCACGGGCCACTCGCCCTGTCACATGGAGAGAGAATTTGCGGGAGGGCCCAGGCTCACTTTGTGTCGCCCCTGCTGTACACAATTCCCAGTGGGACGGAGTGGGTGGCCTGACTTTCCAGAAGCTTCCTAACCCTGTGCTGGGCTCGGGCCCTCCACCCAGCTGCCCCACATGCTGCTGCTACTGCTGAGCAAGCCCTTGTTTCCTCCTGTCTGGTGCAGGAGACGGTCGGGCACCCGAGGGGCAGCACCAGGCCGGGCCAGTACCGCAGCCCAGCGCTGACAGGAGCTTGCAGGGCACACGACGTGCGGCCCACGCTGGGGCAGGGAGCAGGTGCACGTGGCACAGGAACCGTTTTATCTTAACCGTGGGATTTTAAGTGACTGAGTAAACGTCCCTAAAAGCAGACCTTGAATATGCACGGGATGTCTCGGCGTGTGGCGTGTATGACGTCTGAAGACAGGACGGAGCTCACCGAGAACGCGTTGTCTCTGGGGAGACACGCAAGAGTCAGAACATCGGGGCGACATGTGCACCCTTTTCCACGCGGTCTCACAAGGACAGCACTTGCTTGAGTCTGCCGTCTAGGACATCTTGCAGGCCCTTTGCCTCCACGTGATGAGAACACGCGGCACCAACAAGCCCGCGGGCAGCTGGAGACCCACTGCGTACCCCAGAGGGCGAGAGGAAGCCCCCACACCTGGCGCACACCCTGCCCTACAGGCACCAGCACACCAACTTGGCTGCCCCCAGGCTGTCCCCTGGTGTCACTTTAAGTCAGGGACCACTGTGCTGAGGCGGCCAGGGGCTGGCTCAGTTGATGTGGGGCCAGGGGCGGGTGACGCCAGGGGACCAGACCAGGTGGAGATGAGGCCAACGGCAAGGGCACCCGCTGCAGCCCCGGCCCTGCCCGCGCCAGTGCTGGCTGGGGATGTGGGGCCCCGGGCCAGCCCCGTGGGGCAGGCGCAGCGCATGGTGCTATGGTGGGGGCCGGGCCCCAGGCGCCAAGGAGGGGCTGTGAGGCGGAGCATCCTGCCTGTCCCGCACCCTCACCACACCCGACCCTGTGAATGTTGTCACCACGCTCAGGTGCCGGCGCTCAAGACCGCCTCATGCAGGCGATGACCAGCGCCCACAGGCTGCAGAGTCCGAGCACAGCGGGGCTCATGGGCCTGCAGGCACATGTGATGGGACACCTCAGGGCACGAGAGGAAAGGAAGACGCAGACCTGAGGTCCAGGACCTGGCTGGCTACCACGCCGGGCTGTGTGGACTTCCCCTCCGGCAGGTCGTACAGGAAGAGCTTGCAGTCGCAGACCACCGCGTACGCCCGCTGCCACCCTTTCTTCACCCCGGTGGGCTTCGGAACCTGTAGGCGACAGCAGCTGTGTCCCACCGGCCAGCAGGACCTAGTGGCTGCGGGTTCTGGGAGGCCTCTCAGAGACCTGTGCCCACGGCCCCCTCGGCAGGCACAGCCCATCACAACCCTGGCCAGGCAGGACCAGAGCTGGGCCAGGGCACCTGTGGGGGTGGGTCTGGCACACGACAGAGCTTGTGCCAGGGACGAGGAGCCGGGGCCTCAGTGGGTGGTGGTCAGGCCCTCAGCGGCCCAGCAGGTGAGGGGGGTGTCACCACGCTGGGCGTGGAGTCCCGTGCTCCACGCTTGGGCCAGGATGGGGGCAGGACGGTTCTGTTTCTGGGAGCCTGCTTCCCGGTGCCCCGTCTCCTGGGGTGGGAGGCCCCCGCATGCAGCAGGACCTATAAGACACCTACCTTGACGTAGCCCTTATAGGCGGTGCCTATGCCCCGCTGCACGTCCACGCCCAGGGGCCGCTTGGCCTGCTCGGCGGGGATGGGGCACACCTGGGGGGCGCTGTCCCGGCAGGAGGAGTGGCAGGCGAAGGAGCACACTGGAAAGCAAGGGCAGGTCAGCAGAGCAGAAGCTGCCGGGTACTCGCTGGCAGCCCACAAGGTCCCCAGATACGGCTCCCGGGCAGCGCAGGAAGGTGGCTGACACTGCTGGGGCACTGTGGGGGCCCCGCGGGTGGAGCGAGTGGCCGCAGTACCATGCTTCCTGCGCTCCTGAAGCCGCTTTGCCCACCACAGGCACCCCACGCCTTCTCCTGATGGGAGGTCCTGGCTAACCAGCGCAAGGGAGCGGCTTCTGCCTCAGGGGGCATGAGGACAGGCCAGAGCAGCCACTGGGAACCTGAGACTGCCGTGCGTGCAGCCTAGGGTGAGCAGCCAGTGGGCACTGGCCGACGCGGCCCCTTGAGTGGCCAAGTCCTGGGGGACTGACTCTCAAAATTCAGCCAGCTCAGCCCACAGCCGGGACTCTCCCAACACAGTAGGGGTCACGGGGTCCACTCCCAGGCCTGCCTGAGCACAGAGAACCTGCCCCTCAGGCCCTGTGCGGGCCGGGCCCACACTCACCCTCGCAGGCGTAGCCCTGCCGGATGAGCCCCACCATCAGGGAGGTGCAGTGGCTGCATTGCGTGGGGCTGGAGAAGGACTTGACGCTCAGCTGGTGGGCCTTGGGCTGCAGGTGGGACACAGGAGGCCACAGGCTGTAAGGGATGGGCGGCCTGTGTGCCCGCCGCCTCTCTGGGAGGCACGCACCCTCCCTGTAGCACCAAGCACCATCAGAGCCTGAGCCAGAAAACAAACCGACAGGCGCTGCCTGAGGGTCATGAGCTGGCACACACAGGGCCGGGCCGCCTGGGCTGAACCGCAGCTCGCCAGACACCGTCTGGGACACAGGCCGCGCAGCTGCATGTCAACCAGCCCCATCACGCTGGGAGGTGCCGCCTCCACCCGCCTGGCAGACAGGACACAGAGGAGACTGCGGAGGGGCTGTCACAGGCCACCACAGGAGGCGAGGGCAGGACTGGGGCGGGACTTGAGCCCCTGCCCCAGGGAGCGGTGCTTACGCACAGCAGGGCCCAACGCGCCCGGCTCCCATGATGCAGGCCAGCAGTGCAGCCCTAATACCAGCCACCTTCTGAGCGGGCGGCGCTGGAGCTCTCACCTTTGGTCCAGCCAGAGTGAGGGCTTGGGTGGTGGGATGCGACCCGGCAGGCGGCCTCTGGGGGTGCCGAGTCCCGTCCTGGGAGGTAAGCAGGGACATGTGAGCATGGCCCTGGCCCAGCACTGCTCCGGTGCCAGGCCCTGCTCACCATTCGCTTCCCTCCAGGACTGGCTGATAGTGGGCAGTTCTGCACTCTTAAATGCCTGCATTGTTGAGACACCTGTCGAAGCGGTGCTCACCCAGCGAGCCCATGCACTGACAGCAACTCCAGAATACCAGCCGGGTCTGAGCCTGGAAAGAGGCCTCCCAGCTGGCCGGGAGCAGGCTGGGGCAGGCAGCGGCTAGCTCTGCACACCCAGGACAGCAGACGGGACGTCCCTGCAGGCCCAGGGTGTCAACAGGGTGACAGGCCTTACCTCTTGCTGCCCTGTGCTTGCAGCCACAGCAGGGGACACTTCCGGTTTTGAGGCGTGTGTGTCCTGCTCACTGGCTGAGCTGGTCTGTGAAAACAAGGGCAGAGAAACAGATGAGCGTGGTCCACGAGACCTGGGCGCTGCAAGGCGTGCACTGGGTTCACACAGCCAGGCCACCGGGAACCCCCTCCCCCGAGATATCCTGTCACGGACCCACTTCACACGCAGCTGTCCTGCTTCCCTGAGGCTGAGAGTGACTTCCCCGGGCACTGGCATCCCGGTGAGCAGCAGAGGGGCCACCCCGCCTCTTAGGGGTAGCCTGATACACGCTCTCCCACCCGCAGCCTGACAATGGGGCAGGAATCAAATGTGTCAGAAGCCATTTCATCTACACCTGGGGTGGCCAAATGCTGCTTAGCCCCATTTCAGAGACCAAGAAGAAAGTCTGACATCGAAAGGTCTGTGGCCTGTGACCACAAAGGCGCACTTCCCTGAAAGTTTCACCGCACAGGGAAGCAATGTTCTAACCGCTTGTGGTTCCCAAGTCAACCTCACCATCTGAAACAGGCTAAAGCTCTCAGGCTAGTTTGTGGCTCAAGCCGCTCCCAAAACCACCTGAAAAGGGCCTGGTCTTCATGAGGGTCCTGCCAGTCAAGGCCGCGCCTCCCGCACGGAGCTTGTAGCGGAGCTTGTGTCCACATCAAAACCCCACTGACCCGACAAAGCAGAAGCTGACAGTTCAGGGCCTCCCCTGGTGGCGCAGGTGGTTGAGCACCGCACTGTGAAGCGGCCCTCAGCCTCTGCAGCGCCGCTTCAATCCCGGCCGTCTGGCGAGGGTCCCACATGGCAAGCAGACCTCTCCTGTCTCGCCCGCTGCTCCCCTCAGCAGTGTATTTCATCAGTCTGCCTGTTCTGTTCCCTACTCTGGCTCTGCCAAATTCTCTCACCCTCCCGCAACTTCTGGCCTGTACCCCGGTTCTTATATAAATAAATAAATAAATAAATAAATCTTTAAAAAAATAAAAGAAAAGAAGTGGCAGTTCAGGCCATCAGGCCGCGGTGCAGGGAGCGGCCTACAGGTGGCGGCAGGACCGGGACACAGGCCGCGGCCTAAGCCCACCCTCGTGGAGATGGGCCCATGAGTTAGAACCCGCCTTTAGGTGAGTGAGGTGCAAGAGGTTACTAAGCCACTTAAATTTAGCCACGGAACAGCCCCTCTAGTTTTGTTTAGTTGGTTAATTAATAAAAGGATGCGATTAAGGCAGGGACGGCCAGGGTTAGGGCTCCGGCAGAGTGGGAGGCGGGCAGCGGGCACCACAGGACTTACTTCTTCCCCAGAGGTTAGCAGAGAGGAGGTGGAGGAGACAGAGTCCTTGGTGTGACAGACAGAGGACAGAAACCGTCACTTCCTGCCCAGTAACAGCGAGCATGAAAACACTGCTTCAGCCGCCGCGTTTAACATAGGACAAGGTAGCGAAGCTTCTAGAAGATGCAGAGTACGTCTGGAAAGGCTAACAGACACAGGTTCTGACCGCGGATTCTTTTCTGTCCACCAGCAGACGTCCTTCCCAGTGCCCAGAGGCACTGGGTGGGGGCAGGGGCGAGAGCGAAACACTAAGAAGGCAGGGGCCCGCAGACACCCCCTGCCTCAGAGCGAGCAGAGGCCCCACTGGGAGCCTGCTGCTGGGTGGATGCTCTATCCACAGCAGAACAAAGCCTTGCTCTCCTGGCTCCCTCCCGTCTGGTTCCAGCACCCAAGCCTCCAGCACGGCTACAACCACAGGCAGCTCTTGTGCCGCTTCAGACTCGAGGAGGAACCGGCCTGTGGGCGACAGTTCTGACACCTGCTTCTCAAAGCAGGGCTCCAGGGAGGACGAGCTCTTCCCTGGAGGACGCCAACAGGGGTCAGACTCAGGTGTGCCCCCAACACCGGGGCCACTGGGGCTTGTGGTGGCTCACCCAGCGCGGCCACCAAGGGCCGACAGCCCACGGATGGACGGTTGCTGGTGGACAGACAGCCAACGGCCCCTGTCTGGGTGCTGGCTACTGGGCAGGAAGGCCCTTTCAAGGATGCGGTCTGGCAGATGCCTGCTCAACCTCACGGTGAACCTGGCGTGAGCAGGCGGCAAATGGGCCTCTGTGGGGGGATGCGCGTGTCCCATCGAGAGCAATGATAGATGTTCCACAGGACAACGGCCCTAGCTACGAAAGCACCAATGCTGTTGGAATAAGGGGGCAAGGAGGGGCCCTGCTCTGGCCTGGAGGTCCGCGGGGGCTGGCCAGGTGCCTCAGCCCGTGCACACTTGTGTGACAGCGACACGGTGGCTACTGGAGCCCAGGAGAGAACCAACGCTCTAGTACTCAGGGGCCACCGCCACCTGCGACTTCTTTCGAATAGCTCAGGGCAAAGGCATCTGCGTGACACGCCAGGGCTCAGCACCGCCCCTCAGCTGCCCGGCAGGCTTAAGACCTTCTGAGGAACAAGTTGGAACCAAGAAAAACACGGACCAGCCCCTCAGACGCCCCACCCTTGAGCATAGGCCTTTCTGCTGCCTGAGTGGCGCGGGAGGGCAAGGAGCCTGGTCCAGGCTGTGGATGGGGCTTCCCCGAAGGTGGGGCTCTTTTGGGTGGGGGCTAGGGTCAGCGCTAGCCCAGGCTGCCGCCTGAACTCCAGCACCAGGGCCACCATGGTGCTGCCCCCGGACAATCGCCGGAGCCCACTGGGGTCACAGACGTCTCCGAGAGGCAGCATGACCGGCCTGTTCACCTGTGAGGACGTGCCGGAAGCCCCTGCCCAAGGACCCAGGCCCTTTCTGCATGAACTTCCCTGAACTTAAGCCGCTTCTTGAAGACAGTGCACATTCCTTCCGCCTCTGCATCTAACCTCTGGTCAGTCCTGGGCCAGTGTGACTGAGAAAGGCTGAGGGACACGCAACTCACTGGCTGGCGTTGGGGGCTTACGGTGAGGAAGACGTCACTTACCCTGAAAGGCAGGTCATGTGCAAGAGGCGCAGAGTTGAAATATTCAAAAATAGAGTCCTGGAAGCCGGGGAGCTTGAGCCCTGGGAGAGAACAGAGGCCGTTAGGGTGGGTCTGGACACTGCTGGGCATAGGCGGGCGGCACTCCCCAGGTGTCACTGCCGCCTTCATGAATTGGTCGGGCTGAGGGGACCCCAGTACAGCAAGGTGAAGAGGAAGCTCACTCCAGAGAGTAACAGGACTCTACGAAATCTCTGCATGAGAGGTCGGGCCGGGCACCCACACACCCGCTACTGCCCCCATGACAGAGCCGTGTGGGCTCACCCATGGGCACAGGGCTGGGCAGAAATCCCAGACACAGAGCACGAGCCTGTGGCGTGTCACGCAGGAAGGAGTGACAGGAAACCAGCAGGGAGAGGGGCTCTGACACCAGCATCCACTGCAGGAACAGACCCAGACCCCACCCCACCCACCAGGCGTACGCAGGGCCCCAGGGTGCCTGAGTCTAAGGAACGGGCTGCACAGGCCCCAGAGAAATGCATGAGGACTGCCGGGGCGGTCACGGCGCCGGGCTGTTCCTCTATGGCTTAAAAACAGGAGAAAAGACTAATAAATATGACACACAAAACCTTTCAAAAAGCTTTATGCTTGCCAAGAAAACAAAGCAAACCAAAAAATCACAAGCCAAATAGGAAGAAAACAAGTCAGGAAAAGCCCTTTCAGCTGCACTAAACCAAAGGAGCTGACGCAGTTTCTAAAAGAAAAGACGATGGCTCAACTAGGGTTTTTTAAAAATGTCACAAAGCACAAATATAGAAATCACAGAGTGAGAAATCATAGCACTTAGACACCCGGAGAGACGCCCGTGCAGCGCACCAGGACAGGGCCAGGAGCCGCGCCAAGAGATGTTCCCTGGCGGTGCAGGAGCACCCCGCAGAGCAGGGCTGTGCCCACCTGGGCGCCGCGGGGGGCCTGCCTTCCTTGTGTTTTCAAGATGCATCAAAGGAAGAATTAACTAAAAACTGGTTACCGGAGAGATCGTCGAACATGCCAATTTTGGGATTTTAGCTTTGCGTTATGTAAGTACTTTTATATATAAAAACTATTAAATCTAGTAGAAAATTAACCATTTTATTAAGAAACATTTCCATAGTCCAGAAGTTTATGATTTTAATTTACCTGTATCTGCTCGAAATTTTTCCTCCATCTTTTTCTTCAAAATTTCCATTTCTTCTAATAATTCTCTATTTCTGGCTTCAGAATCCTTTAGTTTACTGAAAAGAGAAGTAAATGCACTAAGACCAGCCCTGCATGCGCTGGCTCAGGTGTGTGAGGCCCGAGGGCGGCAGAGCTCAGTGCTGGCGGCACCTAGCGCCAGGCAGACACCCCACACGCTATTGGACCACGCAGCCTGGCCTCTACTTGAGCCCCCGTGAAGGCACTTTGCAGTTGGAAACAAACACAATTTGCAGTTGTGCTTTCTGGAGGTGTCTGCACGACGCCCCAGTGGCGCTGATGACATTCTTAACCCCCTCTGATCTAATCATCTGTCCTCAAGGACACAGCCTGGTCACTCAGCTGTCAGGCCTGCAAGCGTCGCTCCCACGGCCCACATGGTGAAGCAGAGCCACAGCCACCCAAAGCAGCGTCCCGCGCACTCATGCAGTGACAGAGTCCAGCCAGGCTGCACCGGAGCTGGGGCGAGCAGGCAGGCCATGTCTGTGGGACGGGAACAGTGGGGGCGCCCACCTCACGGAGCTGCTGAGGGTCACACCGTTTGAAGAACACATGCACAGCAGCTCCTGACACAGAAGGTGTCTGTCTAAACGCAGACACCGTTGTCATCACGCCCTTAGTTCAGACCAACAGGACTGGGACACAGCAGCCCAGCTGGGGGCCCACCTCCTTCCAGGCAGGTGCCAGGACTTGCCCTTGGCTTCCACTCCCCAGCTGCCTGTGCAGGCGGGCAGGCCCCGTTTCTATGGGGCTGCGTCGTCGCTAGGCCTGAGTGTGTGAGAAACCATCCACAGACAGCAGCCACATCTTGAAAGGTGGTTAATTTACCCCTGGCGAAAATGGCATCCTTGTTTTCAAATAGGTGCGCCAACTTCAGCCTCTCTCCAGAGAAGAAAAAGCCCTCGGCTGACACCCGCACTTTAGCAGGAGGTGTGCAGAGCGGGTGACAAGCACACAAAGGGGGCTACAGGCCAGAGACCCGGTTCTCATCACCACAGCAAGGCTGGTCGCCAGCCAGGCTCACCGGGCACCTACAAGCTGCAGACACGTCACCCTCTTGGCGCCCTCACTGCACAGCGCCTGTACCTTTCGAAGGAGAGGTTGACATCTTTGACTTTCCTCAGCTCCTCCTGAACCACCTGCTTGGCCCGGATCTCGGCCTCGAGAGCAGACTGCAGCTCCAGCCGGGCAGACATGTCCAGCTTCTGGCTACGGCGAACTTTCCAAAGGGGATCCTGTTGACAGAGGTTCAGGTGTTAAAACAAAATTTTAAAGGTATTTAATGAAAATCCATGCTAAGAAATAAGAAATTCAGCTCTTTCCAATCTTAAGCTTTTATGTTTGAGTATCAGTCCTCAGATGCTATTCAAGCCCACTGAGCTGATTTTAGCGTCCTCGGAGGTCTTCCCAAGAATCAAGCTTACTTTTCCAACTGCAAAGCTGATGCTAAGCATCACTGCACGTGGGTTGCTAGACTCATAAACCCTGGGGGCCCCGGTCGACACAGGTTGTGGAGTGTTTGGCCAGGTCACCGCCCTCGGAGTCGTGTCATCATGCAACTCCTGCCTGGGCCCAAGGACTGGCGTGGTAAGGAGAGAGGGATGTAGGGCGGGGAGGGCAAAGCAGGGGGCTGAGAAAACGGGTGACAACAGTGTCGCCCTTCTTCCTGTGGTGTGCCCGGGAACCGTCCACTTCTGTGAGGCATGAAAGGAATCTGGAGGTGCTATCTTCACAGATGCTTTCTAAAAGGTTAATTCCTTGAACACAGCCAAGATTTTCCCATTGTCCTCGCTTAACAGTAAATAAGAGTGGGCCTTAGGGGTGCCTGACAGTCAGCGGCTAATCAGAAGTGGGCACAGAGGGCAGAGCACGCTCTCACTAGATGCCAATGAATGCATGAAATGACCCCAAGAGGAAATCCAGGTGGGTTCACATGCCCACACCCCGGGCACAGGACGGAGGTGCATCCCGGCACTCGGCCCTTTGCCACGAGGCTGGCCACGAGACCCCGGCCTGCCTGGCTGGCTGAAAGGAACCATTAAAACACGGCGTGCTCTCTTAGGAGGTTTGGACGAAACTTACTTCCCGCAGCTCCTAAGTGCCAGTGCAACATGCAAAACGGTGATGGTGAGAAGAGACAATGCTGAATTGAAAAAGGTCATCGGTCTTTCTAACTGGTATTTATAAACCTAAAATCTAAAACTGAAAATGTTTTCCAATCACGCAGCTAAGGCCACGGCTGTGCTCTTTCCTTCCGTGAAACTACAGGCCGCTGACACCTGCGGTGTCTGTTCTGTGGTACGAATGGGACCAGAGCCGGCAGGGCAGGGCGGGTGCATCCGGCCTTGGGGGACCGGGAGGAGCAGTCAACCACATTCGAAGGTGCTGTTCCCTCACATCAGGAAAACGTAGACCGAGAATTCGGGTTTGCGGAGTTTAAGTTCTGAGTAAAACCCGAGTCCGGTTGCTGCGGGGGGCCTTCTCTCTCACTTCCTCGTGTTGTCACGAAAGAACTTACATGGGCATTTTTAAAAGGGTCCACTGGACCCAGAGGAATGGAGGGAGGCTGTGGCCGCCGCCCGGAACATGCCGCGGGCAGCCCCAGCCTGGGCTCATCACACTCCGGACAAAGCTGAGCAGACACCCGGCTGAACGGCCACCACGTCCACCAAACCCTCCCAAGGCCTGAGTCCCAGCCGGCGCCCCACCTGCCCAGGCCGCCCCGGGCCGCAAGCCCACCCACCAGCGTCCTGGCGCCCAGGCTGGAGCTCCGCAGCGTCTCCAGCTCTTCTGTCATCTTGGAAGCAAGAGCCTGAAGGTAGCCCCGGGCGTCCTTCTCGTCGCTCACCCTGGGGAGGAGCAGAGGAGTGGGAGGGAGGTGCCTTCTCTGAGACACCCACACACCGCCGGCCTGGTTCTCCCACCTGTTATTAGCAGAGGCTGGTCCCCACCCGCTTGTGGGGCATCTGTCCCCAGCAGCAATTGGCGGGATCTGCCTCTGTCCCCAAGGATGGGGGGCTGCAGTCTGACGCCCCTCCAGAGACACCTACGGCCCAGCAGGTTGGTCCTGGAGACCGGGCCTCAGAAAACTGGCTCCAGGTGGAGGAAACAGAAGCAGGAGGGGCGCCCTGTGCCCCCAGGGCACAGGACAGCACGCACCACTGGATGATTTCAGCGATCTGGGCCTCCCAGTGGGCAACCGACTCCTTCTTGGCGGCCAGGTCCTGCAGCTCGTCCTCCAGCTGTCTGTTCTGGGCCGTGAGTTTATCCACAAAGGAACAAAGCTGCGATCAAACAACAGAGCCCCCCATGAGCCCTGGCGAGATGTTAGTGCTACCAGGAGCATGTGCTCTTGCAAAGATGTTAAAGGTTTTAATCCAACACTGTGAGATCTGTTCACGCTGGTTTCTGATGTGGACATTTTGACTGGAATTTTCTCTGAACGACAAGCATCCCATTTAAAATTTAAAAGTGAAGCTCAAACACCTTACTTCACTTTCAAAGTTAAAATACAAAACTTTCAAGACTTGATCATGAGAACAACTCAGCCCCCCGCAGCGGGATCTCCAATCACCCTTTCGTTCTCAGCCGTCAGCTTCCTGTTCTCCTCAAACAGCAGCGTGCGTTCCCGCTCGTACTTCTCTCTCACTGTGCCCACAGCCTCCTCCACCTCACTGTGCCTGGGGAGGGGACAGGGGTCTGAGGACCGCGGCTTCACCACCGTCCCCACCTGGCAGCAGCCCACGAGGCGCACCGGACTCACCGCTCCCGCCTGCACTTCTCCAGCTTGTCCGTCAACATCAGGACCTCCCTCTGCAGGCCCAGCTGCTGGCTCTCAGAGTCCTGTGCCTCCTTTTTCACATTTTTTACCTCCAGTGCGTGGGAGGCCTCACGCCGGACCAGTTCTTCTTCGTAAAATAAGACTTTCTTCTCCAGTTCAGACTTTATTTTGGAAATCTCCTGCTGATGTTCTAAGGTGGCGCCTGGTCCCCGGCCTCCTTGCTTCACCTGAAGAGAAAGGGTGAGGGAATTAACCGCCTCTGCGACCGCCCTGCAGGCCCAGGCTGTCCGGCACCCAACACCTCGTGCAGGCGCGGGCCCATGGTACAGTGGGGTAGGGTGGGGCAACAGCGTCTGCCTCACTGAGAGGACGTGCTCGGCGCCCAGAGGCTCCATCTCACGCTAGACAGCTAGACACGAGCAGTCCTCCAGGCCACCAGCCCTGCCCTCATGCGGAGCAGTGTTCTTCTGAGGGCTGCCCGCTGCCAGGGGCTCTTCTGTTCTCTGCTTGCATGGGACAGGGGCGAGGCTGGCAAATGAGCAGCGGGGCCATCACCAGGCAGGCAGGGCAGGACCCCCACCAAAGAAATGAGGATGGCATCACTGGGCAGTTCCCAGTGAGACGCCAGCAGGGGCTGGGCAGCAGGGTGAGGTGGGGGGCAGGGGAGACCCCTGAGCCGGGAGGCTGTTAAGGGCAGGAGCAGGGGCCAGGAGGGAGCAGGGAGGCCCTGACTAAGGGCATGGTGGGGTAGACTGTGGTTTAACAAGCTTGCTGTGTCTGAGAAGGGTGAAGCAAAGGGCCACGCGAGGTGGCCACCAGCACAGGACAGGGAGCCTGCGCCAACGCAGGGAGCAGCACTCCAGCTGTCTCCACCGCGGGCAGGAAACCCAGCCACCAAGGGGAGTTCTCACGCCGTCTCGCCACAACAACCAGCTTGCCTCGCCTGGCGGCAGCAGGGCACAAACTCTAATGACCTTTCCCAGAACTGGACTCCACTCACTCTAGAAACCAGGTTTATGGGAACCTTAGGTGTCAGTTTATGGGGCCTTCTAGAAAGGCCCAACGCCTCTGTGTGAGGAAAGAAGGTGTCAAAGGTGAAGAGCACCACGAGACAGGGTGGAGCCACACCCCCGGGGCCCTGAGTGTCTCTTCTGGGGGCGCCCGCCACAGGCCCAGGCTCACATGGCTCCACGAGATCCTTGCCAAGCACGAACGGGCACCCTTGGTAAGAACACAGACCCTGACCATGCACTACCTTGAGGGCCTCAAGCTCACTTTCCATTTGCTTGGAGAAGTTCTCGCTGTGCTCACGAAGCTTGCGCTCCCTGGAGGCCTCGGCCACGGCATCCTCAAGCTGGGCTTCCAGCTACAAGGGCACATCCATCGTTACCCAAAGAAGGCCCCGTCGCACCCTTCACTCTTTACTCTAAAGGAACCCCAGGCCAGCACAGTCTTGAAAAATGTTCGTCACCCTCCCCTCGTCGCCAGATTTTATCACAAGCTAAAGGCTGAGAAATATACTCCAGGCCTAGTTCGTAATGAAGCATGTTGAAATGCAGATTTAAATTGATGACGTCAGATTAAACGTCAAGAAAAAGACTGATTTAGGCATCTCTGGCTTTAGAACACGGATTCAGGTTTTTTGTTTGTTTTTTAAAAGATTTATTTATTTATGCATACAAGAGCTGGGGTACAGGCCAGAGGTGTGGGGGGTGAGAGGATTCACCAGAGACAGAGCGGGGCACAGAACAGGCAGATTGACAGAAGTACACCTTTGGGAGAGCAGCGGGCGAGTCAGGAGAGGTCTGCTGCGCCATGTGGGCAGCTCCCTGGCTGGCTGGGGATCAAACTCGTGCTGCAGAGGCTGCGGTTAGCTTCGTAGGTTGCGTCTTAACCCCTCGCACCACCAGGGAGGCCCGGATTCAGGTTTTTTAAATGGACAATCTCAAAACACACAGAAGGCAGAGGCGTGAGGACACGGGAGGGTCTGGGCAATGCCCTGCTGATGCCAGGCAGGCGCAAGAGGCGTGTGGTGCTGGACCCACAGGGCTCAGCAAGGGCCCTGCTCTCTCGAGTCATACTCGGCCCCAATCACACGTGCAGCTGGACTGTGAGCAAACTAAGAAAAATGGCCATTCTGAGGTCCGAGGACAGAGTGTGATTGTGGAGGGTCACGAGCACCCCCTTCCAGGCCCTGACAGGCAAACACCTGGTTGCTGTTAACAGCGTCCCACGGGTGCTGGAGAAACGTGCTTCTGGGCAGCCGCAGCACGCTTGGCATATCTAGGGTGGAGTCCCCGCATGGGCCCGAGGCCCTCCCTGCTGGTCACCTACCTGCGGGAGCTGGGTTTCTTACACTCCTTGCTCAAAACAGCATTATTACCACCATAGATTGAATGCAGAGCTAGATATAAGAATCTCAAGTATTCTCTATTAATCAAGTTATTAAAGAAAAGTACAAAGTGTAAAAAGTCACTTTCTTGTTTTGAAGAAGTTACTTTTCATGGAAAATGTTCCGTTAACATGTAATGGACTCACTTCCACATTGAAAAAAGTCTTTCAGTTTTGACAAAGGAGGTGTAGACCAGAGAGCCATAGAGGCACAGACGGTTGAAGGGGAGGCATGGGGTGGCAGAGGGGGAAGGGAGGTGGGGGAGGCACAGGAGTGGGGAGAGGCTGAGCGCTGGGCAGTGCCACCTGCCCTTGCTGAGGGGTCAGGCACCCACATCCCGAGGCAGCCCTGCCACACTGTGGCATTTATACTACCTGTTGGGCCTGAATGCCTTTTGCTTTGAAAGGGAATTTTAAAAAATTAGTTCTGGGCCTCCCTGGTGACGCAAGGGGTTAAGCACAGCCCTGTGAGGCTGTCCCCAGCATCTGCAGCACAAGTTCGATCCCCAGCCAGGGAGCTGCCCACAGGGCACCAGCAGACCCCTCCTCCAGTCTTGCCTGCTGCTCCCCTCAGCAGAGTGTTTCAGTCATTCCACCTGTTCTGTTCCGCACTCTGTCTCTGGTGAATCCTCTCACCCTAGCCACCTCTGGCTTATACCCCAGTTCTTGTATGCACAAATAAATAGATCTCTAAAAAAAATTAAAAAAATAAAAATTCAGTCCTACCAGAGTCTCTTGTAAAAATTTCACAATAGATATGGAGGCTGAGACCACAACATAAATGCCTGCAGATCAACTTCCTTGGCTTCACATAAATAACCTCCAATTTCACTTACTCAAAGTAGCCCACAGTATCAAAGGCGTTTAATTAAGATCATAAGAAGTCTAACCGGTCAATCCCCAAGACACCTAAAAGGTCACCTCTTTCCTGAACTTCTCGGCCTTCCGCATTTCCTGGCGCATCGAGTCGACTTTCTGCACGGCCACCTCCACCTCCTCCTCGCGGTCCCGGAGCTGCCGGGACACCTTCTGCTTCTGGGAGCGGAGCTCCGCCATGCGCTCGCCAAGTTCCGAGAGCTCCTGCAGGGCCAGCTTTCGCTGCTGGTGGGCATCTTTGAGCTCTCTGGCCTGGGATTTCAGTCTCTCTGAAGCCTCAACCAGTTGCTGCATAATGAGAATTCTGGCTGTTTGAAGTTGGCTTATCAAAGGCCTGCAGGCGGATGTGCCGCTGTGTCCCAGCACCGCAGGCCCGTGACAGTCAGCTTGCTCCCTTATGGCCGCAGATCCAGGAAGCCCCTTCCTGGAAAGCCCTGGCCCTGCCCAGCGCCCATGTGGCCTGTGAGGAAAGGCCCTGCCGCCAGGCCAGGAGTCAGCACACCAGCAGGTCTGGCCCAGCGACCCCCCCCCCCCCCAGCCACGAATGGGGACAAAGCCCGAGACTGGGCCCTCCAGGAACCCATACCCCACCCTGACAGGAGATGCTCAAGGCTGCCAGTGGGTACAGAGCTGCACTGACCACATGGGCAGTCCCGCTCCCCACAACAGGGTGCCTTGGCCAGGCCCTCAGCCCGCCCAGGGGGAGCCCCATGATGCAGGGGCCTCCAGGATCCTTGCTGTGCATATGGCCTGACACCATGGCCTGACCACTGAGACTGAAAATCCTGCCATTTCTGGAGGACAGGGTGCAGGCACCCACACCACCGGGTAGGTGCAGATGGCGCACTGGGGAAGCACAAGCCAGACTGCAGCCCGTGCAACCGAGCGTCCAGCTCAGCCGGGCACGGCTCACTGTCAATCAGTCCTGAAAGAACTTGGATGGGCTGGCGGGGAGCACCTGTGGGGACCTAGGCTCTGCCTTCTGACGTGCAGAGGGGCCAAGGCCACTCAGAGGCAGCCTGAAGCCTGGGGAACCCATGTGCCCAGTTCCATAGACGTGGAGCTGAGGGAGCCCCTGACACCCCATCGCCCAGGAGAGATGGCAGCTCAGCAGGCCTGTAATGGAGACGAATGCTGACGCCTGCAAGGCACAAGGTGCCCTATGGCCTAGCAGATCCTGAGTGCTGCCCCCGGGCACACAGACAAGGCCAGGACGCCCTGGGAGGTTGTGGTGGCCGCACCCCCACCCACACCTGAGGCGCGAGGCGCTGGCCACACCTTGTGGAAGTCCTCCCGCTCCTGCCGTGCCACACGGCACTGCTTCTCCAGGCCCCTCAGGCGGAGCACGGCATCCTCCCGCTCCTGGCGCAGCGTCGCCACGTCCTCATGCTGTCGCTCGGGCCTGTTTGAATCTAGCAGAAAACACGGTCCTTTTGCGGGTGAAGCCTCGCCGACCTGCTGGAGGTGCTGCCTTGAAGACCCTCGCTCTGTGCCACGAGGAGCTAGGCCTTCTCACACATGCTCAGCCACATGTCCCCACGGACTCCCGCGCCTTAGCGGTGTCAATGCTCTTGGGGCGACTGGGGGGCGCCACTGGTCCAGCCCAGCCTCACTGACCTGCCCGAGCTCAGGCGTGTCCCCCTGGGCACAAGGTCTCTGCGAACATGGACTCCATGGAAGCCTTTCTCCAGGGCCCCAGATGGCTGGAGCAGGTGACTGACCCGAGGGCTGATGTGGAGGTGAGAGCCAATTGCAGCCCCAGTGCCGGATGCCAGGCCAGGACACCAGGGGCTGCATCTGTGCAAGAGCTGCTGACCCAGCGCCACAGGGGCCACATGGTGGGTGCAGGTCAAGCACCTGAGAGGCTGTGGCAAGGCCTTCCTGGGAAGGCTCTGCAGAGACCTGCGGCTGGCGCCCTGCCCCAAAGAACTGGGATTCTCCATGCACCTGCAGCATGGAGCGTGGAGAGTGTCAGGAACCCATCCTGGCTGTGACTATACATTACACAGCTGCTCCTGAACAGCACAGGCTCACGCCACAAGGGGTCCATGGACACACTCTTGTGGCAGAAAGACACAAACTTACAGTACTGCTAGCCATGGCCTAGCCCCGCGAAGCACCTCCTCCTTGTGGTTTCTGCCCTAGCTTGCTGTGTGTAAGACTACCGCATAGAACGCACACAACACAGAAAACTTCTTAATTGACCGTATATGTTGTGGGTGAGGAGTGCCGTCAGCAGCAGGTTTTTAATAATCAGGGTTCTGAAGAGCTGAAAGTCATCCGCAGACTGTGCGAGGGGTTGGCACCCCAAACCTGTGCTCTACAGAGCTTGGTGATGCTGTTATTCCTGCTTTTAGCCTCATGAAAAGGGCTCTGAAAGTTTTCTTTGAAATGATTACTGCCCAAGAATGGACTGTGCAGCCATACTTCACAGCTCTTACCTGCTATCCTGTTCTTCAAGTGCTCAATCTCTTCATTCAGCCTTCTGATCTCTCCATCCCGGGCGGCGCTGCCCTGGGCCCGAGAGGCGCCATGAAGGGACTGCACAGTCTGGGTGGACTCTGGGGACGGGGACAGCATGAGTGCGACCTGCAGGCTGCGCTGGGCAGCGGAGCGAGGCCACAGAGGTTGCCGCACGCACCTTGCAGCTTCCTGCTCAGCTCCAGTTTCTCCTGTTCCAGCCTCCGGATCCTCCGCTCATACGCTTCAGCCTGTAGGCTGTTTTCCAGGTCCCGCTGCACGCCCTCGTCCTTGGCCAGGGTGCTGGCCTGTGTGACACTCTTCAGAGAGCCACGATCGGAAAAGCAGCTGCAAGCAAGGCGACAGGGCTTTCTGGTCTGCTGAAGCTGCGGTGGCTTCACTAGCGCTTAAAACCTCTTAAGGCAACAGAGAAGTCTTTGTAAACTGGCAAACTAAAATACCTGTGCAGAAACTACTGTTTATGGAGCCAAAATTACACAAGAGTCTTCTTACTGCAAATGACCGGCTGAACAACAGCGGCCAAGGACCGGCTCAGAGGTGGTCACAGAAACCGGCTCTGCAGAGGTGGGTGAACAGCGTTCCTACAGAGCCGCTTACCCGGGCAGGGGCGGCAACAACGGGAGGCATCTCACACGAGAAGCTGGGAGCTCAGGCCCCACTGGGCTGCTGGCAGAGACCCCACCCAAGGGCTCGGACAGCTGCAGCATGGCCAGGACAACTGGCCCGTCCACAGCTCCACACCCACTGGCTGAACCTTTGGGGCAGTGGTGGGGGCAGAGCCTTCAGACATTGGGGTTCACTTTCCCTGAAACTGAACAACCACGAGGTTCCCCTCCAGGCCCCACATCTTGGCACAGCCAAGCAGCACACTCACAGCCGCCACGTTGGCCATTCCACATGCACCTCTCGACCAGGCCCTGCCGCCCATGGGTCACGGCCAAGCTCATTCAGAGCTTTTTCTTGGACCATTTCACGAGTTACTTTGTCCCTCCTGCTTTTCACAGGGCAGTGATGTTGGGGGAAATGGTGAGCCCCCCACACACGCGTGTGCAGAGCCCGGCCCTGCCGCCCAGCACTGTGGGGTCTGTTCCAGGAGACCAGGGGCCTGCAAGTGTGACCAGTGCCCAGTGGGCAGCAGCACACCAGGCATCCAGATGTTGGGACACCCACCACTGCTGGCACAGGCCAGGGTCCATCAACGTGGGAAGCCACTCTGGGAGACACACAGCTATAGCGGGACCTTCCTGCAGGCCCCAAGGAGCTGCACTTGTGTCATTCACCCGCCTTTCCTCCTAGCCCTCTCCCTGACCCGTGTCCCCTGGAAAGCAAGGTGGAGAGCTGCGGACAACGCCACCTCACTGAGGTCCACGAGGACAGGGCCGGACACGCACGCACAACAGGTACTGGTGAGGCTGAGAGCATGTGTGGGCCTGACACTGGCCCCCAGACGCCTGCTCACACCAGCCCTTGAAGGCACCCTTGGGGCAGCGGGCGGTTCCCAGGAGAGGCCAGGGCTGTGCATGGCCGTGGCCAAGTCCCCAAAGTCGGACTCTGTACCATCCACGAACCAAGAATGGATTTTACGTTATCTAAAGCTTTGTTTAAAAAAAAGAAGGCAAGACAGAGACCATGCTGTCGGCCCTTCGGGGGAGCCTGCCCATGGGGCATCCCACAGCCAGCCCCTCCCCCGGGCCCGGCGCACAGAGACCCTCCTGCACCCAGCGGGCAAGGAGCACTGCAGGGCAAGGCCACAGACGTACCTCTCTGTGGTGAACGTAAAGCCGACGAAGGGCAGGTGCAACCCGGAAAAGCCTGCGTGAGAGCCAGGGGGCAGCATCTCCTGTGCAGGCACAAAGCCACGGTCAGGCAAGCACGGAGGACAGACCACCCCCTCCCCAGGAGGGCACCGGGCCCCGCCCCTGCACGAACTGTCCACCATGGCCACAGCACCCAGCAGGGGCATGGGCAGAACCACAGCGCGCAGGTGCTTGGGCAGGAAGGAGGGTTGAGCCCAAAGAAAAACTCCTTTAGGTCCGTTTGTTATAACCTCCGCTCAGCCTGTCATCGTTATTCAAAACAAAAGCAGAAGGCCTCCCGGGTGGCGTAGCGGGTTGAGCGCCGCGCTGTGAAGCTGTCTGCAGCCTCTGCAGCACGGGTTCGATTCCCGGCTGGCCAGGGAGATTCCCACATGGCGCGGCAGACCTCTTCTGTCTCCCCGCTGCTCCCCTCGGCAGTGTATTTGAGTCACTCTGCCTGTTCTGCTTCCGGCTCTGTCTTGGGTGAATCCTTTCACCCTCCCGCGCCTCTGACCTATACCCCGGTTCTTGTATAAATAAATAAATCTTTAAAAAAAAAAAAAAAACAAAAGCAGAGCTCGACAACCTGGGACCTCGGTGTGGGGAAACCAGGAGAAGTCCTCTCCATGGTGATAGTTTCCTATCGTTTCTCCCCCTAAAGCACAGTCCTTCTCTACACTAAGGAGCATTTAGGTCATTTAGCACAAGGTCATTTCCCACTTGTTCAAACCTCAGTTTTTTTATTCCCGAACACATCGTGTGTGTGGGTAAGAAGCTGGGTCTGATGAGACCAGAACAATCTAACATGGAGCCAGCTTTGGGGTCAGAGGCGCTCACTGGGGCCCCATGACCAAGACTGACACAGAGGGCCCCAGCTGAAGGACACATGGCCCCACCAGGGACACAGCCAGCAGGGCGGGAGACCAGGCCCACAGGCCGCCTGGCTGTACGCAGGCTCCTCCCAACCCGCAGCCCCAGCGGTGTCAGGCTAAGCACCACCTGACGACCGAGGCACCCCACTGTGGAAAGGCATAAATGCACAAAAGTGACAGCAAAAGCATTTCTGAGGAGTCCCCAAACAAAAGGGCCACTTGACTTGATTTTCCTCAATCTGCTAACCTGTCCACCATGCTGAGAAGGACCTGAAGGGCTGAGCTAAAGGCTGGCGGTGTCTTCCTCAGACACCAGAGTCCTCACTCTGGTCACCTGACTAAGCCCACACTCGCTCGGGGAGGGGCGGGGGTGGTGGTGGTTTGGGGCTCTCGCTGGGGGCGGGGCACTCACAGCGTTTCTCAGAACGTCGTCATCCACGTCGAAGTTGGACGTGTCGGAAGGGCTGCTCACGTCGGGGATGTAAGGCGCCTCGAGGTTGCGGATGTCCTCCCAGTTCAGACCTTGGAAGAAGGCGTGCTTTTTGAAGTCTTCAATCCCATTCTGGCCCAGCCGGTGCTCCCGGCTGCAGATGAGCCGCTGGATGAGGTCCTTCGCTTCCTCAGACACATCGGTGATGTGGGCAGGGAACTGAAACCGCTCCTGGGGCAGGGGTGGAGATGAAAAAAAGGCAAAGGTCACAGGCATCGCCGGAAGTCACTGGCAGCAGCAGCCCAGCCCCTTCATCTCTCTGGTGACAGATGCCAGCCAAGGCCGTGAGCCCGGGCCCCGGAGGTGAGAAAGGAAAGCCGAGCCCCGCGCGTCCCGCTCCCGGCCGTCCGCCTACGGCACGGCTTCTCCAGCAAAGCGGCGAGGGACGCAGATGCTGGCGGGTGGGATGGGCAGGCACAGCCCTCTCGGGAGCACACTGCCGCAGCCCACAGAGCTCCACTCCAGAGCTCCACGGGGCGTCAGGCATTCTGACCCGGAAGACCGCAGTAACTACATTCCAACCAAAAGGGGCTCGTCTGAGAAAGGCGGCACGCACAGAGAAGGGGCCGCCTCTGGCACTGGAAAGAGATGCCAGGAATATGCTGACGAGCTGCTGTGACGCCATGCGTGTGCCTGCTCCCCTCAGCCCCCACGCCTCGGCCAGCAAGCCCACATGGCTCTGGGAGCAGGCTGAGCACTGACCACCACACCGCCCAGCCTCCCGTCAGCAGCGACTTCACAGAGCTGACCTTGGCCCGTGTCAGCCAGGCCCTCGCCAAGGCGCCCCCAAGGCCACGACAGCACTCGGCACGGAGAAGTGGGTGGGTGGTCTCCACACCCCCGGCAAGCACTCCAGCCCTGTCAGTTTCTGTGGCGAGTGTATTTTAATTTATAGGTGGAAAATCTATTTCTACTTTGGGAAAAGTGCTTGCCCAAAATTCAGCCTGCTCTGGTTTGGCATTAAGCAGGAGGTCACTCGCTCCCGGCCTGAGCAGCAGCTGGAGCCAGTACACGCGGAGGGCCGGGCAGTGCTGGCCCCCGGGCAGAGAGCAGGCCTGGCCCAGGAGACTTACAGACTGAGGAGGATAAAGGGGAAGTAGACGGCCAAAACGTCAGCTGGAAAAGGAAACGAGGAGGAGAAAACGAAGGGAAGGCAGAGAGCGTGGCGCATGGGCGCCAGGGATGGGGGAGGGGTCAGGAGACACCGCGAGAGGTGCGCGGCCGTCCAGTGCGAGGCGTGGCCTCTGCGGGACAGCACTCAGACAACAGAGCTGCCGGCTCACGGTCAGAGAGCACATGGGTCCGCCCACAGGCCCCAGATCCTCATCTCTCCCGGGATGGGAGGCCATGACCGCCACTGGCCCCCATGGACACCGGCCGGCCCAGCCACATCCCTCCTGGCCCCGCAGCCCAGGCTGCCCCGCCCTACGCCTCACCTCGTGGTTCATGATCTTCCCGTAGGTCTCCACGAGGGACTCGGCGTAGAAGGGCGTCTCCCCGTACAGCATCTCGTACATGCACACGCCCAGCGACCACCAGTCGCACTCGGGGCCGTACCGGCCCCTGCCGTCCTCCATGGCCTGCAGGATCTCCGGGGAGATGTAGTCGGGGGTGCCCACGGCCACGGAGGACTGGACCTGGGGGAGAGGGCGCGGTGGGTGGGAGCCCCAGGACGCCTCAAACCAGACGTTTCTATTTTCTCTAGAAGAGGAACAACGTGCATGCGAAGTGAAGCTGGCCCGCGCACGGTGCCCTTCGCCGCAGTACACACGGAGCAGAGCCCAGAATGGGAGGCCCAGGCGCAGGGGTCTCAATGCCCACATGTCCACCCCAGCCCCACAGGACAGAGGTCCCTACGGGGGCCTTTCCCCACGGTCACTGCTGCGTATCCAGGCCCCTCCCAGACTTTCACACACGGACGCCACCTGGCCCTGGAGGGTGGCCCAGCAGCTGCAGCTGCTCACGCTCCGATCTCTCCAACGAGAGGAACTGGGAGGAGGCCCAGGCACGAGTGGGGTCTAGACAGGGACGTTAACACCCTGGAAGGGAAGGAGCAGTCCCCTGGCTTGGGCCTGAACACAGGGACACCTCGACGGGAAGCTGTGACTAGTCAGGACACACTCACCCCATCACAGACACGTCTCAGGCACACGGCGAGCTCGGGTGGCCTGAGGTGTCTGTGGCTACAAGACTGGGGGCCTGGGGGGGGGGGGGCAGGACATGGCAACATCAAGATGGCCTGTCCCTTTGGGTCACCTCTGAGAAGGAAGCACAAGGTGCAAGGCAGCACCCGCTTGCAGTCCAGTGGGACTGCAGGCTGCGGGAAGGCTGGCGTGTCCCACGCCTGGAGTGCCGTGCAGGTGGGACAGGTAACTGGGCTAAGGTCCATCACCTGGCCAGCCTGGGCCAGGCACACAGACCCAAGGGCCACCTCGTCCACGGCAGTGTTGGCTCCTAGGTGGCTGGGAATGAGGAGACCAGATACCCCCTCCCGTTGTAGAAGACATGCGGATTACTACTTCTGTAAGCCCACGCGTGCGCGCACACACACACGAGAAGTTTTTAACTTAAATAGACTATTTCAACTGTTTCCTAAATAGGTCCATTTTCTTAATTCAAATAATAAACTTAGTTTAACTGTATCTTAAATTGAAGACGTACACCCCTTCTAGTTGTAAGCAGCACCCAAATCCAAACGGAACATCTCCAAGGGAAATACCTACAGTTCCGTCATCATTCATCTTCAAGCACGACCCAAAGTCAGCCAGGCGGATGTGGCCGTTCACGTCCAAGAGCACGTTGTCGGGTTTGATGTCTCTGTTGGTGAAATAAAGACACGGATTGACCATTCCCAGCATCACACACAGCGGCCAAAGCCCTGAGCCAGCTGGGGAGCAAGTCCTCTCAGCTGCTAACCCAGCCGCCTCCTGGGAGGACGTGGGGATGCAGTGGCAGGGCTTCCCAACGAGCGCAGTCGACCCCAGATTACCAGGGGTCCCTGCTGTGCCAGCTTGAGCTGGAAGCACATCCACAGCGCCAGGCACAGCTCCTGACCCCGCCGCTGCCCCGCCTCAGAGCCCCAGGCCTGCGAGGAGGGGAGGTGAGGGCGTGGCCCAAGCACACGTGTAGCACAGCTGCACACAGACAGGAAAGGGGCGAGGGGCAGTGTGGAAGCCAGCAGCCAGCAGGCGGCCCTCAGCCTTGAGCAGAGAGCTGGTGGCAGGGCGGGGGAAGACTCAGGCCAAGGCCGCTGCAGGACTCCCGACCAGGTGCCCCCAGACTACTTTACAGACACCGAGCCTCAAGAGTCCCTAGGAATCCGTCCGGGGCACAGCAGCCGGTGGTAAGCCGGCCCCACAAGGCCAGGTCTGACCCCTTGCTGTCCCGTGAGCAGTGGCAGCCAGGGGGCAGCGGGAGGGTGGGGTGGGGGTATCTTCAAATACCAGCTCCATGAAAGAGAAGAAAGGCTGAGCATGACCCCCATCATGCGTTCCAGATGGAGAGAGGGGAGACAGGATGGGAGACGAGTCCCCCATGGGGAAGACCCTCAGGAGAGGCCACAGGCCACTGACAGGCGGCTGGGCAGGAGGAGCCAGCCTGATATCCTGCGGCCAGCTGCGGCCACAGGAGAGAGTGTCTACACCTCAGGAGGCGGGAGCAAGGCGCAGGGCCCGTGTGTTCATGCTCAGGAAGGACATGTGTGGATGCATGTGTGTGCACATGTGTGCGCGCATGTGTGCATGTGTGGAGGAGCAGAGACCGGGCAAAACAGGAACAATCTCAGCAACAGGTGAATCTGGATAAAGGGATGTGATGTGCTTTGAACTGTTCTTGCAGCTTCTTTAAGTTTAAAGTTACTTTAAACATTTAAAATCGAAACAAACACATAGGAGGCCCGTGCTCACGACGGTCAGGCACTGGCCAGCCTCACTGCGAGCGCCGCGGCCCAGCAGCCCTGATGGATGTCCTCACACAGGCGAGTGTGGCCAGGCCCTGAGACGTGGGGCCTCTGAACAACACCACGTGGCGGCAGTGGTCACACCACTCACACACTGGAGGTGAGGCCCCGCCCGAGGCTACCGGCACCAGAGCAACAAGAGCCACCTCGCTGATTCTCCACAGTGGTTAAGGAAAACCGAAGTGCACACTCGGGCCCCCAGGCCCAGTGTCCGCAGCAGGGAAGCTGGCCATGCCCAAGCAAGCTCCACACCTGACTGCAGGAAGCAGCGGGCAGAGCAGGAGTATAAGGTGGCAGCGCGAGGCGAGAGCCCACAGGCCTTTCTCCCGCCCAGTCTCTGCTTCAGGCTTGGACTCTGCTTGGCACGAAGGCAGGACAATGAAGGGACATGGAAAGGTGATCAGATGCAGAAACATGCGAAGCAACAGCGCGCTTTCTCACACCCTCCCGCAGGGTCTGGGAGGCGGGAGCGCGCACACATCAGGAAGGGCATGAGGTGGGGTTCCCGGGATTGGATTGGAGGGAAGGGGGAAACACTGGGGTGCTGAAAAGACGGTGGGGGCTCCTGAGGAAGGTGGTTCGTGTCCTCCAGGCCGGCCAGTGCCAGGCACTCAAGTGCTGCCACTGTGCCCTATTCCTCATTTGTGCAGCGGGTAAAGCCAGCCGTGTGCACCAACAGCATGACCCGCGCAGCGAGGTGCAGAGGAAGGCCCTGTGGCCAGGGCGCCCATCATCACGTGTCTTGGCACGCTCCCATGGGGACCATGCTTTAGGGAGCCAGGCATGCGCTGAGTGGCAGCTTCAGTCACCCCCAGTCTCGGCTGCAGTGACTGGCTGTGGAGCAGATTCGGGGGACGAGTTTACAACCACAGGCGAGCTGCCAGCCCCTCCTGCTCTTCTGGAGCAGGGAGGCCTGTGGCCTGGTCCCGGCAGAGACATGTCAGTGCTCACCAGCAGCCTGTCCTCCTGGGCCTCCTGCTGCAGGACCACAGCCAGCCCCTCTCAGCTGAGGCAGCCGGCGCCCAGGACGTGCTCGAGCGCGTGTGCGTCTGCACACAGCCTGAGGACCTGCCCTAGTGCCCCAACCGCCTGCTTTCACGGGGTCTTCTATGGGCACGTTCCCTCCACTTTATCTTCTACTCCATTTTCTGTTTTTGAGTTTTTCTTTTCTGTAACTCTTTTGTTCTCTTTAGTCCTTCCCCTAAAGGTAGGCCCTGTGGGTTCCTGCTCCTGGGCCGGGCAGTCCCCACCGCAGCCTGCACCTGCCTTGCTGCGAGCGGCCTGGGCTGATGCTCAGGAGGAGGCGCCCTGGCCCTGGCATCTCCCCTGGCCCGGTGCTCAGGAGCTCCTGAGGCTCCAGCAGGTAAAGTCCCACCCGGGCACTGGGTGGGGCCCACTGATGGCCCGGGCCACGCTGGCCAATGCAACAGGGACGTGGCATCTATGTGGCATCAGCCTGGTGCCTGGTGTCCCTTCAGTTCACCAGGCCGCACCCACCTGAGCTGGGTCTGGCCTGCTAGAAAACCCGACTGAGCTCTCTGTTTTGGACGGGGACATTCAAGCACCTCACCCGCACAATGATGTCACCTGGGGAGAAAAGGCTGAGAACTATGTACTTTGGTACTTCCTGCTGTGCTTAGAGGCCGAACGACAGGTATCTCCACACGGCCAGTTCAGAGCACGAGGGAGAGCTTTCTGACCAGGAGAAGCAGGGAAAGCATAAACTGCTCCAAGGGTGATCACACCAAGGTCCCAAAAGACCTGCAACAGAGGAGGTGGGCGGCTCCACTGTGAATGGGTCAGGAAGACAGTATGGAAGAGAAATGCCACAAACTACAGTAATTGTTACAAAGGTGGACAGTGTCCCTTTGGGCAGCTCCCTGGTGTGCCTGGGGCCCTGGGCAAAGCAGGGCAAGCTCTGCCCCGGGGCCTCCGTGTCCTCCCTGAGCAGCGAGGCAGCTTGGGCCCGGCTGGAAAAGCGCTGGAGGAGCAGGGCTCGCTCCCCACGCAGGGTCTGCACGGGGCTCAGGCCGCCGGTCTATGCCAAAGCGGGAGTGCAGGGTGGTGACGCCCCCATGCCTGAGAGGGCGGCTTCCAGCCTACGCTCCACATCCAGGCCAGACAACCTTCGCTCCGGGCCGGACAACCTTCACTAAGCAGGTGGGTGGTGCAGGCTCTGATCCAAGAGAATTCCCTCACACGCCTCCCTTTCTGGAACCGTGGCGGTTACCGCTACCGAATCAAAAGAACACGCCGAAAAATAGAGGAAGACACGTGACTCAGATAACAAAGGGCCCAGTCCCGGGGAGGGAAGGCCCCCTCCACCTGCAAGGAGGCCCCGGCAGGAGGGCAGCGCAGAGAGCCCCGGAACCACCGCGGCAGAAGCAACGGGAGGTGGGGGGCGGCGGTGAGGACAGTGGACGGACGCTGCCCTAACCCTGGGCGTCCAGACCTTCCGATCCAGTGCTGTATCTGGGGCCCTCCGTGGTGCCAATAGAAACCAAGGCGACGATTAACTCCGGGAGAAAGACGTCTACACGGGAAGCCCCTGCTGCTGGAGGCCAGGCGCAAGGGACACACATGGTCGCCCCCATGCACACAAACAGCGACACGGCCACAGGTGTCGCCGCCGCGGCTGGGGAGGGGAGGGGGCCCGCACAGGGCAGGGGGCGGGGCCCAAGGTCTCCACGCTGAGGGGCACCATGTACACCCCTCTCCCCCACAGAGGCCCGTCACCCAGGAACACGACCACGATGAAAGAGGAAGGCACAGACAGACACGCGGCCCCTAGGGCCAGGGCCGGACGGTGAGCGCCAACTGAAGATGTGAAGCCAGGACCATGGACTCACGTCAGTAGACAAACTCCTCGAAGCCACAGCCCCACAGGGCCGCCTCACACCTCGAGGGCAAGCGCCAGGGCTAGGCAGGCAGGCAGGCTGGTCTCCTGCCCCTCACATGGCCACGCTCACCAGTTCCAGGCCCTGGTGTTGCTAAAACTGAGCCCCTCTTCTCAACGCACCCTTCCTTCTGTGGTGTTTTGTGGGATAATTGAGGCCGTGGCCTGATGGGGTTGCGTGGAGCAGAGACAAGGGGGTGGAGGCAGGCAGGCTTCTGGGGGGCATGGGCAGGGGAGGGTGAGCCAGCATCAGAGACCAGGTAGCCTCAGCCAGCAGGAGGACAGGGTGGGTGTGGAGGCAGGATGTGGGGCAGGGCACCCGCGCAGGGCCTCTTCGGCAGCAGCGTCTGGGCAGACCCCAGGGGACCCCAAAGGACCCTCCAACAAGGGACACGTGGCTTCCGTGTGGCAGGGGGCAGCGGTTACCTGTGCACGTAGTGAAGCTGATGGATGGAGTCGATGGCCAGCACCATCTCGCCAATGTAGAATCTCGCCATGTCTTCTGGGAGCTTGTCTTCAAATTTGCTGAGCAGCGTCAGTAAGTCGCCTCCCACGTAGTAATCCATGACCAGGTACTACAGATGGAGGGGGACAACACCGCTCAGCAGCCCACCTCCTCGAGGCGCTTCGACTGCAGCCGTGAGGCTCCGGGCTGTCGCCCTCGGAGCAGGCACCTGGACAGCCCTTGACACCCACAGACGGTGCCCTATGCCCCCAGCAATAAATAGAACCTGTCACCGGCGGAAGAGACAGAGGATGGCCTGACGTCAGAGAGGGTGCGTGGGGGAGCACGATGGGCAGCCACAGAGGGGCGAACCCTCTGGCCCTCACGCCACCAGAGGACACTGCACCAGAGAAGACGACTTCTCTGGACCCCGACTGTCCCTCCTTGGTGCAGCTGATCCTGGGTGGGGGGAGAGTGACCATAGCAACCTCCGAGGTACTGACGGCAGAGACACTGGGCCCAGGTCAGGGGTGGCATCCCGGACAAAGGGACACAAGCAGAGAGGCTCAGGTGACCAGCTGGGGAAATGGGAAATGGCCTGGAGGGGGTTCAGATGCCCCCAGACCCGCGGAGCCAGGGAGGTGTGCTGGGAGCAGCATGTGGGTCCAGATGCAGTGGCCAGGGGACAAGAGCGTGGCAGACGGTGGGCAGATAGCAGAGGGGCGGGGGGAGGGGCCCACCGAGTCGTCAAGCTCATGGGCCCTAAAGAATCAGCAAAAATGAGTCAAGCTCTGTGTCCTCCGACCCAGCACATTCCCACGTCCACCGGGAATGCACAGTGATCTGCAGGGTGCCCTGGGCAGGCTGAGGAGCCCGGGAGGCGCACCCGAGGGTGGTGAGCCAGGGGCATGGCACTGACCATCTCTGGGCAGGGACAGGTGTCGTGGTCAGAGCACATCAACAGGACACAGGCCCTGAGACTCTGCAGGGCAACCACACGGCCACCCTCGCACTGGGCCGGTGACCTTCCTCCTTCCCAGGCATGGCAGCTGCGGTCACTCTCCTGAGGAGTGAGGGACTTGCCTGAACGCACCATTCACGGCGGGCAGACAGGGTGCCCACCCCTGGGGTGCCAAGCAGCCCAGCCGAGACTCGACACATGGCGCAAGCTGGGCCTGCCTGTCTCTTGTGGACGTCCCCGGTGTGCTTGACTGGCCACAAGAAGAGGCTTCCCCAGGATGCTCACGATGACGACAGGTCACACCCACACTGAGAACAACGCTGGAGACGACAGCTTTCCTCACGCGCAGACCCACGGGCCTGCTCCGCCTGACAGCCTCGTTCAGCTCTCACCAAACAGGGAAGCCCGCAGGCTGTCCACTGGGCCGGCCCCACACTGCCGCCAGCCGCGGGCCTGGCAGGGCCCCCCTGAAAGGCCTGCACCAAGTGTGGGTCTCATGAAGGTCACCTTGCTGGTTGCTGGGAGGGCAGAGAGTGGCCCCAAGGCCCGAGCTCACACACGCCAGCATCCCATCTGTCCAAATACCTATTTTTATTTTTTTTTAATGCATGTAAGAGTTGGGGTGCAGGCCAGAGATGAGGGGGTGAGAGGATTCACCAGAGACAAAGCAGGGAGCAGAGCAGGCAGATCTACTGAAACCCACTGCTGAGGGGGCAGCAGGGAGACAGAAGAGGTCTGGGGCACCCTGTGGGCAGCTCCCTGGCTGGGGACGGAAGTCGTGCTGCGGAGGCTGCGACAGCTTCAGAGTGCGGTGCTCAACCCCTTGCGCCATCAGGGAGGCCCCAAACGCCTATTTTTTAAATTCTAAATAGCACGTGCAGTACCTCCCCTAAGCTGAGACGTGCAAGTTACGGGATCTCCCCACTGAACGAGGTACTCTCGGGGTGAGGAAGGGAGTCCTAGTCACGCCAAGCGCAGTGAAGAGGCGGAGCCGCGTACTGAGACGGGGCTTCTGAGCTGTGGCCGAGAAGGGGACGCAGCTGCCTGCTGAGGCTGTGGTGGCCACAAAGCACATCTCGGCCACGGCTGTCCGCTGGACCCTGTGGCCACAGCAGACAGCTCCTCTGGGGCCTGCCGGGCCCTGTCCACCAGGGCCCCAGGGTGTGCAGTTTGGATGGAGGAAGAGCGGGGACCACACTGGAAACTGCCTCAATTAGGGGGTGGCCCTGTCACACCCACCTGGCTGTCCTGATCACCTGCATGTGTGGGGCAAGCCCGCTCCAGTCTGGAGAAAGATGTGGCAAGACCAGGGGCGCCTAAAGCGCCCAGAAGCCACCCCAGCCATGAGGCCAGCCTGGCCACAGGTGATGCGGCACCCAGGGTCGTGGCCGCCACCAGAGGGACAGGTAGAAGCAGTCTTCAAGCCTCCCCCCAGCACCCCCACCCGGACACGCGACTCGAGACAGCAGGTGCTGGAGCCTGCCCTGTTTCAGCATGACAGAGCCTGGTGACTGAGCCACGGGGGACCTGGGACTGCTGACGCCGCTGGGAAGATGGGAGGAAAACAGCCCATTCCACGCATCTGCCTGGAAGGCCCTGCTGTGGAGACTCCTGCAAGCCAGCCTGGTCACCTCCACACACGACGTTTCTGTGCAGCCCCACAGAAGCCCGGGAGCGCCCGCGCACCCCACTCACCAGGTAGTTCTCGTCCTGGAAGGCGTAGTGCAGCGTGGTGATCCACTGGCAGTCCCCGTTCACCAGCACGTCCCGCTCCTCCCGGAAGCACGCTGTCTGCAAGGGCAGGACAGTGGGCCGGTGAGGGTGAGCTGGCCCTGCTGGGGTAGCACCCTCGCCTCCCCCGCCACCATAGCGTCCCCTCACATGCAGCCAGACACAGCATCAGCTCAGCCCCAGCTGGCGCCGACCGAAAGGCAGAGGCCTCACTGCTGCCCCACACTGTGGGGACTCCCTCTGGCAGGCCTCATCCCCCTCCCCACCCCCCAAACACACCCTGCACGTCACACTCAGCTCACACGTCCCCACACAATGTACACAACCAGCTCAGCAACCACTCCTCAGGGTGGCCCCGGCTCGCCCTGGGTTTCAGCAGCAGCTTGCAAGCAGGGCCCTCCACCCAGCACAGCCGCCCTCCCGGGGGTGCCTTCCCTCTCTGTGGGGGCCATGGGAGGGCATGGCGGCAGCCACTCAGGACCAGTGCTCCTGCATGCGGTGGCCGCCTCCCCCACAGGGGGTTGTGGTCAGCTACGGAGGGTGAGAGGCTTCCCTTCAGGGGGCGCAGATTTGTTTCCTTTTTTAAAAAAGCGTGTTAGCACCCAGGGTACCTGTGCGTAAGAGACCCTGCAGTGGGTCTCTGGCGTGATCACAGTGCAACCCCTCCTCACCCCATGGTATGAGGCTGTCACTCCTCATGCCTGACACTAACAAGCCACAAAAACAGCAGCACCCGCCTGGCAGGCCTGGGGGCCTGGCTCCGCCAACGGTGACCTTGGGACTTGTTTGCTCCCCAGCTTTCTCTTCTAGTGTTTTTATTGGGCTCACATTGGTCACAATGTGTACAACTTAGGGGCGCAGGTTCACATCTCCTCAGAAGTCTGTCTCCACACCCACCACCATGCAAGTCCCACTGCCCTTTGCCCATGGCCACCGGGCCCCTCCTCGGCGCCCCCACTCCCTGCTAAACGTCTGCGTGGCTGAGGTGGGCGTGTCCTGACCTACTGCGGAGAAGCCCACAGTGTCCTGACCCGGGGCCTATGGGCTCTGAAGGAGCCGCCGGGACTGCGACCGTCCCCCTAGGCGTGAAGCGCATGCGCACGCGCTCTGAAGAGCAGAGAAGTGGGAACGAACAGCCCAGCCTGGCCCACTGCGACCAGGCACAGACAGCCCTTCTCCGCCCATGCCCGCCACGCCATGCTCGAGCAGGACCGCACGTCTGACGGGTGCAGACGGGCCCAGGGAGCAGCGAGCACGGACGACCTCGTCACCTGGTGCTCTCCGTGTGCTCAGGCACTTTAAACAAACTCCTCAAACAGAAGCAGGAGTCACTGTCCCGCAGAACACACGCCAACACAGGCACTTTCACATCACTCACACGCACACACCCAGGGCACGCAGTTCTGCGTGAACAACACGACCAGCAGATGCGACAAGGACGCGGCGCAGACACTGCTCTCGGGCAAACACCACCAGCGCCCCAGCACAGGATGGACAGCTGAGTGGGGCCGGGGGCCGAGGGCGTCTGCTCCTGAGACAAAGCGCAGGGCAGTGCTGCCCTGGACCACCGCGGGCTCGCTGGCAGTGCTGGGAGGGCAGATCCGCGGCCTCTCCTCCAAGAGGCGCTCACAGTGGCGGACAGGCCTGCAGGCTCGGGAGGTGTGGATTTGCCCTGCCAGAGAGCAGGCGCAGTGGATGTTGAGGAGTACGGCCGTGGACAGGAGGGCCCCCTGCTGCCCGGAGGGGAGCCTGCCCATGGGGGCACACAGCAGCGCCAGCTCACCTCTGCCCGTTTGAGCATCTCCCACTTGTTGAGGATTTTCATGGCATAGATCCGCTCCGTGTTCTTCATCCTGACAACGGCGACCTAGAACACAGAGAGAGGTGAGCCGAAGCCCCGCACAGGCAGCAGAGGCTGGCGCTGGCCGCCTGATCATAGAAGGCCTGGGACGACCTGTGGGGAGGGCAAGCTGGTAAAACTTGCCTGGTAAAGCTTGGTAAAGCTTCGCCCTTTTCAGTATCAACACTTAGTATTTAGCCAACACTCATCTGCTCAGTTCAAAAGTCTTCACTACCAAGTGAAGGGGATGCTGGGGGCTCACTGCCTCAACGTTGGGTGTTCTCCAGAGGCTTCATCACAAACTTAACACCAGGTCGGGTGCCCGTGCTCCCCGCCACAGCCGGCCCGTGCCTGCAGCTCTTCGTATCACAGGGGCGGAGACTGGGCTCTGCAGTGTGATGCGAGCACCTCACTCCTTTGTGCCTCAGTTTCCACAGGGCTCACAGCAGGACCGTCTGAGGCTGGTGAAGGGCAGAGCGAGGCGACACAGGAGCGATCCTGGGCCACGCTGGGCTCCTGGGCAGCACTCAGGTACAATGCAAAGGACCCCTCTTCCAGGAAGCCCTCTCTACCGGTCCCCAGCGGGCTCTTCCCGCGGCAGTTGTGCGGCTCGCACCATCGCATGGCCCCATCCACCCTATAGAATCACTAATTGGCCCACGCACCCGTTATACAACCAGAACCTACGTGTCAGCAGTGACACTAACTTCTCTACCTTTTTGCTGCCAAAGGCAGACACGAAACAAAAGTTCCTCAATGAATTCTTATTTCCCTTCCTTCCAACAACACACAACAGCGTCAGGCTGGCCCACCCTCGCCAAGACTGCACGTCGGGTCCGGCGTCCGTGTCTCACGATGCTGGGAGGCGCGAGTGTGGGCTCAGAGGTCAGGCCACGGGCCTAGAAGCGGCGGGCTTGAGGTGCCTGCTTTTAAGAACTGCAAGATGATGATGGTCCAGGCAGAGTCCTCCCTGGGCCTGAGGAGGGCTCCAAGCCGTTACCACTGAAACGGTCTAACTCAGAGAGGAAGACAGACTTGACACCTGGGGGGAAGCAACACTGCACACTCTTCGGGCACGACCAGGCCTGGCTGTACCCACTCTGGCCTAAGGCCTGATTTTCTGGAAGCGGCCCCTTGGAGTACAGACCAAGGCCAGAAAGCAAGTAACGTGTCTGAAGAAAAAACGTATCTAGAAATAATACAAAGAAAATACTCGATGGATCAAGAACACGTAGAAGAAAACGCAGGCATAAACCTCAATGTAACACGCACAGCCAGCAAGCCCTGCGTAGCCAAGAAGCTCTCGCCACTCACAGCCCAGGAAACAAATAGGTGGCGGGAAAGCGTGTCTGGTTTACAAGAACCTTCTCCTGGTTAAAAACTCAGCCTCAGTTCAGAGACAGTGGTGGGACAATTACCTCCCAAATCAGGCCTCGTGGTGAAGAAATACAAACACAAGTGACTTCACCAAGCGTCAAAAGCAACTCTGGGACAGGCCACCCGAGCACAGGGAAGGGAGGAGGGTGGCGCGAGAGGAGCAGCCCGGAAACAGACGGGGCAGGCCGCGGGCAGTGGGCAAGGGACGAAGGGCCCAGGCAGGGCCTGGTTCAGAGGAAACGCAGGGCAGAGCGGCCCCCAGGAGAGCACAGGCATGGGGCAGGAAGAGCGCGTGCTGTCTGTCAGAGGCCAGCTGGGCAGAGCTGGGTAGCAGGTCAGGCTGGTGTTCTTTGAACCCTTCCACGCACGCAGCCATTGTTTGTTTGAAAGTGCGCCCAAGTTGTTTCTTGTTTTAAGCAATTCTAGAAACCAGAGCGACAGCCAGCAGGGCAGGATGGTCAGCAGGTGGTTCAGGGACCAGGCACACCCCACTGCTATCCAGCAGGGAGCCCGGCCACCGCCACACACAGCAGGCCACACATGCACTGCTGCGGGAGTTGCTAGGAGGGGCCATCTAGGCAGGAACTTGGCAGACCGGCCGGGCCCGGTGCAGGGAAGATGGTGTCCTCAAAGCAGGTGTGCTCCAGATAAAGGGCGACCTTTGTCACAGTCACCATCTAGAATTGTGTCTGCGCAGGGGCAAGTCTGCAATGGAGGCCAGTTCGAGTGCTCACTGCCGACAGTGTCCAGCTCTGCTGCCCAGCGAGTCCCAGACTGCACCCACCTGCCCAGGGGTAGCAACCCCGCGGTCTGAGCACCCGGGACACAGCCACACCACGCGCAGAGTACACGGCACAGCACAGCTGGGGAAGCGGGGGAGCCCTGGGCGAGAGGGCGGGGGCTGGGCTGCAGCGGGCTGGAAGGAGCTACTCTCAGTTTGGGAGGAAGCTGGGAGGGGCCTGGGCTACCTTCTTCCATCTTGCTCCCTCCTGCTACCCACCCCCACCATGTGAGGCACAGGGCTCTGCGGCTGGCCAGGCCAGGTTCTGGAGGCTGGCAACCTGCACAAGTGCATGCGAATGGAGTCGGACTGGCCCTGAGAAGCTCTCCTCCTGCTCATTCGGGGCCAAGATGGCGCCTCCATCCTGTCCTGCTACCACCCCGAGGGCTGCTCTTTCTGTGCAAATCTCCAGTAGCCAACAGTAGCCAGCGTTCCTGGAGGAGGGCCATCAGGAGCCCCGCCACCTGGACGTGAGGAAGGAACTTTCTTGGGGGCAGAAATGGTCCATGCTGACACGGTGCTGGCCACACAGGAACACACACACCTGTCACCCCAGCTGCACCGCCGCCATGCTCTGCGTGTGGTTATCCTCAGAGCGGCCTGGCCCTTCCCAGCCCACCATAAGTTGAATTTGGCTCAGGAGTCCTGGGTGCAGGGTTGTTTGGAGGCAAACCCAGTGACCTGGGAGGTGCTATCATCCCTGATGACAAGGCTGCCACCAACACCCCACCCCGTGCTGCGAGTCACTCTCAGGGCTGGAGGAGGGGATGCCAGGACGGGGCAGGAGCAGAGGACAGGTCTGAGGACCAAGGTGCAGGTCCACCACAGACTCGGCTGGGGTTGGTGAGGCCAGGGCCGTCTCCCAGGAAGGAGGAGGACGCAGGCACCCCGACTCTCGACTGGGCAGCACAGGGCCCCCCTCCCTCCTCTCTCTGCAGTCCCACAGGGGGGCGTTTTCTTCTAGTGCATTTTACTGAAGCCCGACAGACAGACAGGGTGTCCTCAGGCAGCAGAAGAAACACCAAGAAACAGATGTATGCTAAGACAATGACAGGCCATGATTCTGCTCGGTGGCCAGATGAGCCACGTGAGAGCAAAGCTACGGGCTCAACCACGGCTGTGGTCACTGATGCTGGACACTGCACACCAAGCCGGCTCGCACTCTGCACGCTGCTGGCTGCCCAGCAGGTCACTTCTACACACTGGGGACTACACACTGGCTCCCCACAGTAACCGCCGCGCACAGATCCCCAGCCTGAGAGGAGTCAGAGGGAAAACCAAAGGGCAGAAGTCGGTGGGTCTGGAAACCTGGGAGGCAGAGCCCTCCAGCGGACCCGAGCCTGGCTGGGCCCCGGCTGGGGGGCTCTGGGGGGCCTGCCGTCTGCAGAGGCCACGGCTCCCTGAAGAGCTGCCAGGCAGGAAGGACCCCGGGCCCCAGGCTGGAGGCCCTCATGAGGGACCCGTGGGAAACCGCTGCGGAGTCCAGGAAGGCGGCTGCCGGCTCACCCCAGGCCGCGACCGGGAAAAGACCCTACACGCCTCCTTGCGTGTTTTAGAAAACGACTGGTGCAGGACTTCACAACTCACACATTTCCTGTTGAAACCTCTTTGTCTCTGAGAAACTCTGCTGGCCCAGGCAAAATTCAGGCTAATTCGCCCGTCAAGCGAACTTTTGCTTCTCCGCCCACTCCACCTGTCAGACTGCGCCCGAGAACCCCCACGCGCGGCTAGGACCCGGCTCGGACCCGCCTCGCCCGCTGTCGGTGCAGGGAGCCGGGTAAGGCCGGGGGCTGCCCTGACCCCACCCGGCACACCGGCGGGAGGGCGCTCACCTCCCCAAAGGCGCCTCTCCCGATGACCTTGATGATCTCGAAGTCTTCTCTGTGAAGCTGCATCTCCTTCACCAGCTGCGTGAAGGGCTTGGCTGCAAATACAAAAAGGCAAAATCAACACTCTGCTCTGATAAATTGACACCGTGTAAAACCTTAACTGACCGGGGCATTCCAGAGTTTACCGTCAGTTTCTCTTTCAGCGAGTTCATTTTAAAATGTCCACTGGGGAGAAGTGGGCCCTCGCCCCAAGCACCGCAGCCCGGTCCTCAGTGCCTGCCCTTGGCGCCCCCGCGCGAAGTTCCAGGCAGCGCCTTGAGTGCAAGCCTGGCCCACTGAGTGAGCAGCTATGGGGCAGCGGCTGCCCCCATGACTCTGGGCCACACAACGCGGCTCAGAGCCCGCTGCCGGCACGGCCCGGGCCCGGGGCCGCTGGGGGTAGGGGGGGTCTCCCGGACGACCAGGGTTTCTGAGCCCCTGTCACCATCCCGCTCAGCCTCCGCACGCCCGCAGGAGAGCAGCCCTGTTTCTAGACATACTTCACAAAGGTGACCTCACTGGAGCATGTACCTGGCTGACCACTGTTCCCCAAATTCATGTCCACCCGGAAACTGACATTACTCGGAGATGGGGTCCTTGCAGACGTAAGCAAGGTCAGATGTGGTCACAAGCAAGACCGGGGCAGGCGCTCACCCCAACAGGACCGGGATGCAGCACGTAGCAGGGAGCATGTCCTGCGGAGACAAAGGCTTGGCCTGGCAAGGTCCAGCCATGGGCCCAGGCAGGCCGTGGCAGAGGAAGCATGGTCCTGCCCACGGGGGCACCTGGTCCCAGCGCCCATCTGGACCAGGGCCCATTGGTGCAGTGTGTTGGCACCGTGCTGGCACAGCCCTGAAAGCTGCTGCAGGCGGGGGCTGGTGCCTTTCCAGGCCCTGGAAGCAGTCGCAGGGCCAGGACCAGGCTCGCCACGACCAGCTCTCCTGACACTGCCCGCCTGCCCGAGCCCAGCACCCTTTCAGTGCCCTGTACCCCGTTTCTAGTTTTACCGTCAGCCCTAACCCATATGCTCGTATTTGCCCGCATTTGTTCTACTCGGCTCTTGTCCAAACCTCCCGCGATCAGTTTGGCGAAAATGTCCCCTTTGAGGAAACCGGGTGAAGTGTACAAGGGCCTCCCTGTGCACATCGTAAATGACGTGGACTCCACACTTTTCTCCAAAAAACTCCTGCAGTCTGACCTCTCCTGGGCTTCTAACCATGCTCTGCACGACGCTCCCACTCTGGACTTTCCCTCCGGACACCGGTGCTGGACCCCCGAGCCGAGGACCGGCAGTCGCCGCGCGACAAGCACCCACCAGCACAGACGTGGGCAGCCACACGGGGCCCAGGCGCTCCAAAAATATGTACTTTTTACAAAGGTCAGGCTCAAGAAAACCCTGGAGCTAGCTTAAAGGAAATCTGTGGTTCATCTCTGTTTCAAATATCACCAAAAATAAACATTCCCCAAATTCCTAATGGCAGTGTGTACTTTAAACAGCCACTGAAGACCAAGCTCTCTCGATATCTTTTGGGGGAACTTTTTGTTTTACTACAGAGAAAAATCGTCCCAACAAGCCGCGCTGTCCCATTTCACCAGGAGTCGGGACGGACCTGACCGTGGCCGCAACCACATGGACCTGGGCCGACCGCTCACAGTGTCCCCTTGACAACGCCCGGACACGCCACCTTGCTGGCCACCGTCTCAGGCGTGCAAGCCCAATGGGCATGCGCACGACGGAGGGAGGCCCCCACACAGCCCTCTGGGGCCACCCTCCCGGTTCCCGGCCACGGGGGCTCTGCTTTCCCTCCTGTGCCGCCACGTCTCACCCCCCACGCTCCGCCCCACCCCACGCCACGCCACGCACGCCAGCCATCCCAAAGCACACGTCTACTGAACGCCAAGCTTAAAAGGTTAACTTTAAACCTGACTTTCCTACAGTGAACAGTCTGCAGTGACCATTTTCTTTTTTTTTTTTTTTAAAGATTTTTTTTTTTTTTAATAGAGGCATGTTTTTATTTATTTATTTGTTTGTTTGTTTGTTTTGTTTATACATGCACTGGGTACAGTCAGAAGCGCAGGAGGGTGAGAGAATTCACCAGAGCCAGAGCGGGGAGCAGAGCAGGCAGAAGGACCGAAGTACACTGCTGAGGGGAGCAGCGGGCGGCAGGAGAGGTCTGCGCGCCATGTGGGACCTCCCCCCCCAGCCGGCTGGGATAGAACCGGCGCTGCAGAGACTGCGGACAGCTTTCACACTGCAGCACGGTGCTCAACTCCCTGCACCACCAGGGGAGGCCCCAGCCTTTGTACTATTTTAAATTAATTTTAGGATGAAGTTCTAGGGATCTCCCACGGGCACCCTAAAATTGTCCTCAAAACCGCATCTCCGGGGTCACACCCACGCGGTCCCGGCCTCCCTGTGCCCCCCTCTCCCTGCTCCACGGCGAGCTCCGCTCCTTTGAGAGGGACAGTCCCTGAGGCCTGGCCTGTGGTCACCCAGTCGGGACATCCACTCGCCACTGCAGAGGCATTTTACTCTGGCTTGTGGGACCTAACGGCCGTAAACCCCTCCCTGCTGCTGTTTTTATGTTATAGGAAATAACCCTCCTCACAAGAGCGTCCCTGCTCAGGAAACCCGAACTCACTTTCCACTTCTATCAACCCTAAGAGCTGACAGGGGACCTTCTCTCCGCTAACCTGTCTCCTCACCACTGGGCAAGAAGAGGCCACGCCGCTCGGGACGGGAGGCCCGGGGCTCTGTGCTCAGTCGTGCCCGCCGAGACAGCCCTCCACCCCCGGTGGCTGAACTTCTTCCCCAGGAAATAGGCTAAAGGGCTCCTCCCGGGCGTCAGCAGCAGCCAGGCCGTGCGCCCCCCCCCCCCATCTCTCATTCCACGGCGATTATCCGGAAGCTGCTCCGTCCTGTTTCCACCTACTCGTCCAGATAAAACATTTTGTTCCTTGTGCATTTTACGTAGTTCTGTCCACGCTCCCTGGAAGTGGACGGACACGGGTTCGTCGGGGTCAGTCTGATCAACGGGGAACTATGGAAACAGACCCACGGGAGCGGCTGGGAAGACAACAGTGAGAGCGCGGGCGGCGGGGATCCCACTATGCGCGTGAAGGCGGACGTCCAAAAGCAGAGGGCGCCAGAGGACCCGGAAGGGAAAGACTTTGTTTCCAGGCCCCGATGTCTCGGCCCTCTGGGGACACAGCACAAGCACCACCAGAGCGTGACCTCCCGTGGAGGGGCCTGGCGCGCAGGCCGGGGAGGCCGGGATGGCAGGAGAGGCTGAGAGCCGACAGCTCGCCTGGTGGAGCGCAGTGACATGGCAGGTGGTGTCACTCCGTGTCCCCGCAGAACCTGCGGCAGAGCCCAGAGACAGACCCACAGCTGTGGTCCAGCTCTCTGCACACAGAAACGCGAGCAGCAGGAACTATTAACTAGGTAGCAAAAGTAAGCAAAGGGGGACACCATTACGATGGAGACAGCAGCTTCGGGAGCCTGAGGACCAGCGCCCAAAGGAGGCACTGGAAGGGATTCTGGAAGCCTGGGCTCTGCAGAGCTGAACGCAGACGCTGATGGCAGGCTGGGGGAGCCCGCCAGCCAGGGTCCCTGCACGTGTGGGACGCGGCCAGGCTGGACCTGCTGGACCTGCTGTGCCCGGCTGGAAGGAGGAGGAAGGGCTGCCGGGGCGCCACCCCAGGATGAGGGGCAGACAGGCAGCTGGCTCCACTCCCGCCTCAGGTCCCGCTGTCTCCCTGAGCGCCCCATTAGGCAGAGTCCATCAGGGAGCAAGGCCAGGGCCCAAATGGCGTGGTGCTGGGGTGAGGACCCCCAAGCAGGTAGGAGGCAGCGGGGAGTGTTGGTACACACAGGACGGCTCCCGTGAGTAGGCAGAGGAGAGGTTAACAGGAAAGAAAACCACACGGTCGTGGGGCATCCCTGGTGGTGCAAGGGTTGTTAATCACCGCACTATGAAGCAATCCTCAGCCTCTGCAGCACAAGTTCGATCCCCGGCCGGCCAGGGAGCAACCCACATGGCGCAGCAGACCTCTCCTGTCTCGCCCGCTGCTCCCCTCAGCAGTGTGTTTCAGTCAGTCCGTCTGTTCTGCTCCCCGCTCTGTCTCTGGTGAGTCCTCTCACCCTCCCACACATCTGGCCTGTAGCCCAGCTCTTGTATGCATAAATAAAAAATCTTAAAAAGAAAAGGAAAGAAAAGAAAAGCACACTGCAGTACCAGAGGGGTGCAGAGGCCAGGGTGAAGGCAGAGCTCCCATGCGCGAGCAGAGGGGCGACACAGGTGCCTGTGGTGCCCACAGAGCCCTGGTGCTGTCTGCGGGACGCTGCCCTCCAGCACCAGAGCCAGCTCTGCCATGGGCTTGGAGCTGGCCCAGAGTGCCGGGCGCCACACGGCCGGCAGTGCGAAGCGCCAGGCGGCACAGGAAGCCGGCACCCGGGCTGCACTGAGGCTCCATGCACCTGACAACGTGAGACATGGCGTCCAGACACTGGCCACCACAGCTACCTGGCCGGGCCACGGGGGAGAGCCCAAGGCAGGCTGGCCCTCCTCACCCTCGCCAGAAAGGGCCCCGGAGTAGGGGGGCAAGGGCGCTGCCCACGGCCGGGATTGGGGGGCAAGGTGGGAGAGGAGCTGGTCCCGAGCCGGGCGCCCACTCAGACATTCAGGGCACGAGTGAAGCCAGAGCTGGCCAGGCCAGGCAGCGTCTCAGCGCCCCTTCCCTCAGGAGACAGTCAATAACTCTGGGAACACCCGCCCACCAGCCCTGGAGAGAGGCCGGGTCCTGGCCACAGTGAGCACGTGGACACTGAGGACACCACACAACTCCCTGCTGCCCCTCAGGGCAGCCGCCAGCAACATGACACCCGCTGTGCGAAGGACAGGGGTGAAGGGCTCCCTCACCCCTTTTTCTATTCCAGCGTTTAGAAAAAGTGAAATTACCTTTCACATTCCAGCAACACATACCAAAAGCTGCTGTCAGCAAATATTCAAGGACCACCCCGCAGGACAGACAGGAACCCCTGCGCCGGAGTCCA